GCGATGCCATGACTCTCTCTGTTCCTTGGTGAGCTTGCTGAGCTTGATGCCTGCCTTCACGAGCTCCTCCTCATCTGGTATCGACATAGAGTGGTAGTCCTTGATGGAGTCCGCAACAAGCTCCTTGAAGTTTCTCGGCCATTGCCGAAGTTGAGCACGGCTAAGCAACGAAGGAGGGACACAGTCGTTCCCAAAGTCGTAGTTCTTGTCGATCTGAAGGACTTCTGGGTAGGTTGTTGCCGCCGTTGTTGGTCTCTTCGCCTTGTGGCCGTAGGCGCCCATGTAGAAGGAGACCTCCCTTATTCCGGTGACTGACCGGAATGCCTTCCACATTTCCGTAGTCCACACTGAAGCTTTCACAGGATCATCTGCACGTAACCGCTCTTCATCAGCCGGAAGCTCCATGAGAAAACCAACATCCCTTTTTCCATTCATCTGTGCCAGCAGCCATACCAAAAGCGGTTTTGCCACAAGTGCAGTTTCTGCATCGACTTTCTGTCTTTCAGCCGCAGTGAGGTCCTTGATGCCGTAAGGGGAAGTGGTACTTCTCACTGGATACGAGTCCGGTCCCCTGGTAGGCATAGCTGAAGTTGGCCACGAACGGTGCGGAGGGGAACTTATCACATCTGCGATCCTTTTTTCCGAGGCTGCCCACAACAGAAGCTGGTATACTCCACCCTCCCTGTTCACATCCCATAGTCTTGACTTTGAAACATCAATGTCCAGAACAACCTTACCTGCCAAAGGGATCGCGTTGAAGGGGTCATTCTTGTAGTTCTCGCTTCCTTGAAAAAGGTTGACTACCCAGCTCCTTGAACACATAAGCGCTCTCCTCTTCTTCCTTGGCAGGGGCATATTCTTTAAGTATGTCTCTCCGTGCTCCTTGCTGAAACCTTCAACCAAAAGGGATTGAACATCAGGAGGTAGGTCTCGGGTCACCGGTGACGTGAGGACTGCCTTGAGCAAGGTTGGCTTCGAGCCCGTCTTCGCGTAGTCCTTCAACAACTCAACCCAGTCCCTTCTTTCCTCCTTCTGTATCACTTCAAGCCGCGCTCGCAAAGTAGCAACATGTTCGTTGAGGGTGTTCACCTTCTTGAGCTCCAGCTCCCTGATAAGGGCCAGCGCATCAGCGGCCGCCACTTCCGGACAGTGGTTCTTGATCCTGACCTTGATAGCTTTCTTTTCCGGATGAGTTAGCCGCAAAGTCTTCGGTGTCCAGTGGAGCGTATAACCCAGTTCAGCAATCACCGCCCCCAATGGCACGATGGGTTGAATCGCTGCCGTCTCCTCCTGAACCAGGATGGTCCCTTCTTCGTTTTGTCGAAGCACCCGAACATCTTCTCCTGCCAGAGTAACTTGTACAGGTTGTCCATCTTGATATTCTCGTTCCTTGGCAGGTCTCATAGCATGGCTTGCTCCGCTGTCCAGTAGTCCCGTGGCTCCCGAAATCGAGGGAGGATCTTCACACACTGACTTGACGATCCTCTCTTCCTCCAACTTCGTCTTGTCCCAGGTAACCCTCATTGCCTTCAACGTAGTAGCCGACATCGCCTTAAGGACCTTGCCGACATCTGCCAGGACTTCCTTGAGGTCCACTTGATCACTTGCAGAGCTAGTGCCACTCCCGTGTCGACCAGGGATTTGCTCCACCTGCGGGATCTCATCGATGCGAACATTCTTGTTGGAGGTAGCATTCGTTGTAGTAGATGAGGAACCCGGCTTCTGAGCAGTCGTTTTCGCCTGCGGGGTTGTCGTAGGTGTGGTCTCCGATGCCGAGGGAGGTTTTTTATTCGGACAGTCCTTGGCCGAGTGGTTCTTTCCCCCGCATGCCAGACATCTCCCTGTCTTTTCAATGCCGTCCCATGAGTGCATGAAAGGGCAACGACCTGCTCGAGCGCAACCCTTGTAGGTCTTCCCAAAGAACTTGCAGGGAACCTTGGATTTTTCGTCGTGGACGCGCTCCCCGTTTTCTCCCTCAGACTTTGTCGTTGACTGAGATCCGGAGTGGATGTAGAAGGAGCCGTTGTTGTAGGGACAGACACCGCCATTGCCTCGCATTCAGCCAACAGGTGGTGGTAGTACTTCTCGACAGACTCGAAGGACGGCTTCGTATCTACAGAGAGATGACTTTTCACCAAAGAAGTTCGGAAGCTTGCTTCTGCATCCCTCTCTAAGACATTCCTGGTGATCGTTGAAAGGCCTCTTGTAAGGAGGCTTGGATCTGGAGCCGAAACTCCCAACTCCTTACACCTCCTCAGCCATCTCGACCATGTCCTCAGAGACTTCACAGCTTTTGACGCATTGCTTTCCGCCTCCGGTTGCTGGAGATTCTGCAAGATCATCACCTTCTCCTGCTGGCCGCCCGGCTGGTACACCAGTGCAGTAACGGATCCCGTAGACCTCCGCTGAACCATCTCTTGCCGAACAGATTCTGGAAGAGCCAACATAATCATAGAAGCCCCTCTTGAGTTGACACGTCCCCAACGCCCCGTTTCCAACTCCACCTCCTTTGGTGGCTCGGTGCTGAGCTTCTCCACTGGTGATGCGACAGTCCACTTCTTGTAGGCCTCATCCGCCAAAGCACTTACGCGCAACCACCATTCCGCACCCCCATCGGACAAGTCCTGCATGATTGTAGTGATCACCTCCAACCAGTCCATGATGTCCACTGAGCTTGTCGTTGGGTTTACCTCCGGCAACGCTGGAAGTGTCGTAGATCCCGGCTTCACCGCCTCTGGGCTCCGGTCCTCGTCCTTAGTCTTGTCCTTCTCCTTCATCTGAGTGAGCATCGCCGCTTGAAGCTGGGCAATTCCACCTGCCAGAAGAGACATAGGATCCGGAGTGACCGAACTCCCCAACCATTGACTTGGGGTACCGGAGGAAGCAGCCTTTGGAGCTTGACCGCCATTCGTAGGACCTGGTGGCTTCTGCTGTTTATCGTCATGCGGGTGACTGTTGATCTCGTCCTGATAGACATGGGTTGCAGACTCCGACTTGTACTTAGCACCATCAGCATTTTGGCCCAGACTCCCTTGAGGTCCACTTGAATTTCCTGGAAGCTGGCCTGGAGCATCTACTGGTACGCCGAAACCATCGCTACGAAGGTGAAGACTCCCTTGAGGTCCACTTGGATTTCCTGGAAGCTGGCCTGGAGCATCTACTGGTACACCATGACCATCGCTACGAAGGTGAAGACTCCCTTGAGGTCCACTTGGATTTCCTGGAAGCTGGCCTGGAGCATCTACTGGTACACCGTGACCATCGCTACGAAGGTGAAGACTCCCTTGAGGTCCACTTGGATTTCCTTGAAGCTGGCCTGGAGCATCTACTGGTACACCGTGACCATCGCTACGAAGGTGAAGACTCCCTCGGGGTCCACTTGGATTTCCTTGAAGCAGGTCTGGAGCAGGTGGCTGTGGGTTTAGGGGATATTCATCACGTTCCCTTTGTGTTCCCAAACTGCTTTCACCACGAACAATTTCTCCTCGGTCCCCACTAAAGACATGTGCACCTCTGGCTCTCACTTCCCATTCGTTTCTTTCCTGACGAAGCCTCTGAACTTCACCCTGAAGGGTTCGTAGCTCTTCCTGGTACCGCATGGCGTATTCTTCCATCTGTCTCTGAACCTCAGCCTGAAGTCGCGAAGAACGATCCGATCCCTCTTCTGACGCTTGTCCATATAGAAGAGGGTGATCTCGCTGAGCTTGCCTGAACTGCGCGGCCTGCGCCTGGGAGAAGAGCGGTTGCATAGGTGGGGTGGTAGCCGCAGACCACGAAGCTGGGGGTGGCATAGTTCTCGTTGTTGTCGCAACAGGTAACTCTTCGGGTGGGGAAAAACCCAGATACCCTTCACGAGGCCGCCCGGAGAACATGTTTCCTTGCTGCTGCGGGGAAGCTTGGTGTCCATGAACCAAACCCAAGTTGTCCATCATCCTGTCGAACCCGCTCGCACTTCTATTAGCAGCAACTCTCATGAACTCTGTAAATCTCGACATCCACCTTCCATTTCTCTCCTCTGTTGTAGTAACCGTTGACTGAGCTGAATAGAACTCCTGCACTGTCACACCTGCAGAATTTGCCGTCGGAGTAACGGCCGCTGGTAGGAAATTTGGTCTTGTAGGAGTTGCCGGGGTAACCTGCCGTTCAGAACTTATAACGTTCGCGCTCCGATCCGGTTCCTCGTGCGAGGGTTCGGCAACGTCCGGTCTAAGTTCTGTCGACGTAGTGGTATCTGAAGACTGTTGAGGTCCCATTCCTGGTGCAGGATCATGAAGATTAGGATTTCCCATGACTTCTTCACCCGTAGTTCCAGACGTAGATCTCGCTTCAGCCACAACAGGGCTTACTCCATTCACCCTCACATCTCCAGGTCGTACAGCACCGTAGGTGTTCGCTGCAGGGTTCACTGAGCTGCGCTCGGTAGCTTGGGCGCTCATAACCTAAAGATTCTCTTCGATCACAAACTTCACGTTGTTGGGTCGGGGACTTATGCAGACGAAGGCTGCGCCACAGACCATGCACGAAAGAAGTCCTAACTTTTGCGACCACAGCACATGCCTGACAGTCTGTCCTATGCATAAGCTGCTATCTTGATAGCCCATATTGGGCTCTTTGGTCATCTAGGCTGCTTGGTTCGCTCGCCTCGAACTTCTTCACAGACTAGAGCCAGAACATTCATCACAACCGGTTCTACAAAGCGTTCTGCACATGCTAAGCTGGTTCCCGGCACTCAAGAGCTTGCTATACATGAAGGCGGCTAGAGTTTTCTGCATACTGCTACTTCCAGTACTACTACGACTACTTTTGCCGCCACCACCACGACAACTACTATTACTGCTGCCGCTGCTGCTGCTGCTGCTACTACTACTACTACAACTGCTTCTACTACTACTACTCCTCCTACGACGACGAGACAGCCCCAGCACTCGGCTAATCAGAGAGCAACACTGCGACGAGTTAGGGTGGGCACGGAGATAAAATCAAGACTACGGCAGGGCTACCTTCCACATCCAGCGGCAGAGTCGTCTCCGAGCAGCTGAACGTCTTTTGGATGCCGGCGCTGTAGCGACCTTTCACAAGGAGGTTCACTATTTTTCTGGACTTAGAGATTGGCTTGTCTACTGAATCGGCATTCGCGGCCACCAATCTTATATGAAAGCTTTTGGATGGAAGAGTGCCATGCACTTACCAGATCCATCTGACAATATACAAGTCAATGATTTTTCCTCCGGTTCAGTTCAAGCGCCCCACATGCGGACAACCAGGTTCGATCATTTCAATCGGCTTCGTCTGCGAGCTTAGTGCGACCGTGCCTTTGGCGATAAGGTGAAAGGAATGTGTATTGCTAACAGCACTGTCTCCTTTTGCGACTGGCTATGACTATGACTGGATCTAATACCAAAGACTCCCGCGGTTCCATTAATCTACGAAAGCTTTGCCAGCTGTCTGCCTCGAATAGTCGCGTTTGCATGCAAAACACTGACAATGCAGCTCAGCATGAGTTGCCGCCCGAACCGCTGAAGCCTGAGGACTGCACGGTTGCCCATCGTCAGATGCAGGGCGAGCGGGCACTGGCTGCATTTCGAAGCACGCACAGCCCCGCCCAACCGCAAAGTCCGACCCAATCAATGAACAATCACGCCAGGCTGCGTTGGCGGGCAACTGTGGAAAAGTGCTGCAAATGGCTGCCTAGGCCATGGCTACCGCCACAGCACAGCAGTTTGAGTGCGCATCAGACTTCAGACCCAGGCAGGCTGCAGTGTGATGCGCGGAAAGGACATGCCAATGCCCTTAATTCTAGAAGCCAAGTACACCTCCGGTTTGGCCTGCGAGAGGGACACGCAGAAGCCAGTGTCCAGAAGCTTCAATCCGCAACCATTTGACAGCGCCGCCTTGTGCACGACATACACCTGCACATTTCCTACCGATGTGCCAGCATCATTCCTGCCAAGTTTGCAGGGGCACGATTGCACTTGTCAATCTGTGCGACATTGCCGAGACCCGTGCTGTATGTTGCACCATCGCGGATCAGGATCGGTTAAACCTCAGCCAGCGCACTCTGGAGTTGCTACTGCCTCGATTGCCTGCAAGATCGGCACCTTCTTGCGTCCAGCTGGTGATTGAGAATGTGCACGAACCTCAGCTTCAACCAGACTGGAAAAGTGACTCATAGCAAGCAACCTGGCTCTGACCCATTGTCGTCACCGGGCTGGTCGGCTCGCTGCCATGTACCTGCACAAAGCCACCAACCATGTTCAAGTAGCGCCTGCCCATCCAGACTCAAAGACACTGGCGCTGCACCTGAATAAGTGTCACTTTGACCACCGCATTCATGACTTCAGCATCTGTCGCATTGCCGAAGATGAACTTTGAGACAGGGTCATGAAACCTGCATCTAGCACGATGCAGTGATGATAAAAAGTGGGCTTTCGGAACTGAGAGTCGCACTCGACCTCTCCCCAGCTGATCGCCGCATCAGACACCACTTCCTTGCCCAGGCAACTGATTTGAACCTTGTACCTGACAGGGGAGATGCACTCTTCGCCCTTCGTTCATGATGTCGCAAGCACATGGACATGCCTCGCCTGGTGTCGAAGTTTACGGTCGCCGGCCCAACTACCCGAAACGGATAAATCACGAGAGCCTCTGCAGAGAAAATCGCGACGAAATAACACTGGAAGATGGCTCGTGAAAGGCGTCCACAATCCACAACAAATCCAAAACTCAACTGATTCGCGCCTTGTTCGCATCCACGTCAAAGTGAGCTGCACCGTCGTGATAGACCGTCACATTCCTGTGAATACAGCCAAGGGCCAAGGTTGCATTGAAAAGGCTGCCTTTCGCAGGCTCAGGAACTGACTGGAACACGTTGATGTGGAAGCATGCTTCCGCATTTTCGAAGCCCGCAAAATCGCCCCTGCATTTCCCATATCTTCGAACCACTCTGATTCCCAAAAGGTTTTGTGTCAGCAGAAACACATGCTCGAAGATAGTTCCTTATCCGAGCCTTATCCAAAGTTTGGGCTGGCATTTGATGCCCATCTCGAAGGCCCTCAGCTTGTCTCAACTAGGCCCGACCATATCCCAACACTGAGCACCAAGGCACTGGTGGCTGACTTTGCGAGAAGCTGAGCTTGCAGACTCTGTGAAAACCTTGTACATAGGCGGCCACACATCGGTGTCGCGGAGCAACCCTTTCAGAGTCTGATCAAAGCCCTGCACGGGCGAAGGGCAGCAGGATGCAGCAGGTTGCAGCAGGCTGCAAGGCCAGCACAGGTGCAGCCGAGCCTTCTCTGAATCGTAGTGCAGCACTGGCTCCATGATGCCGTGGGTGCTGCACCAGGACATTGCTCTAGTAAGAGCATGCGCTCTGAAAGCCGAAACTGCCCGTGACAGCAGCTATGCCTGCCACCAAAAGACAGAAATCCGCTGAAGGGGCCCTTGTGGTAGAATTCAACCTGCGAAGCGAAGTGTCCGACAGTCCTCGGAAGGCTCTGAGCTGTTTCCCGTAGAACGGCCTGCCTGGAATTGGAACCCGGGCGTGATCTTCGCGGGCCTGCCGATCGCCACGAGATGCCACGATGCTTAACTTGGAAGATCTTGGAAGCTTGGCACGAGGGTTACTTCCGATACAAATGCGCAGATTCTTTGGCTGGTTTGATATGACTTCAACACAACCTGCTACCACGGATTGGTTTCAGTGAAGCTGAGCTCAACACAGATTGCCCACGCCGTGCTCCATTGGAGCAAACCTGGCAGACATGCCAAGATGTACAAGGTACAATGCACAGGCAAAAAAATGTCCAAAGAGAAGCAAAACGCGCAAGCTTCGCCATTTCACTTTATCGAACTTCGCCAACAGCCGCAGGAACGGAAAATTTTCCTGCGAGTTTCTGACAAAATGATTCGCATCAAGCCCCAACTTCAGATTGGCATGTCCAGAACTTCTGCCGGCAACTTGTATGATGATGCTTCCTGGCGAGTGCCAAGGACATGTCGATGCGTGGGCATGGAGGCGCGTAGCAACTGGTGGAGTCGCCAAGTCCGCTGAGCGTGTAGAGTTCATCGCAGCTTCCAAACGGCCCTCCAAGCAAAGCTTCTGTTCAGATACATCAATCAATGACCAAACAACTAATACTGACTCACACTGCTGCCTGGACGATGCCATGCCCCCTAAGGCCAGCTTGCCATTTGACGTGAGGGGGCTTCATGAAGCCTCGCGAGCGAACGGTCTCGGATCTGTAAACTGCATCAAGAATCAAGCATGCGGGCATAGACCCAAGCAGCGAAAGACCACAGACTACCCCAAGCCCTACTGTACACACCCAAAACAGTTCCAGGACGAAATCCGAATGCGAGAAGGACTGTGGCCGGAGCATGATTCGCCGAGCCGTTTTTATCTCCAGGGGTGTTAGCACCATGGTTTGGCCCGAGAACCGCACCACAGCGTGAGCTGCAAACCGACCGAAGACCGGAATCAGTAGTCAAACACTCGTTACGCATCGTTACGCTCATCGCAAGGACCCCAGTCCCTAATGTTACCACTCGTAGCCGCCTGAGTCCCTACATGACAAGACATTCCTGCAACATCGGCAGTTGACAGTGTAGGCAGTCACGTGATGGACCGGTATTTCAGCTTCTGATCTGTGCCTACGTACTGCGAGGTGAAGTTGAGGAAGCATCCAGCGTGTGCCTGTTCAGCAAAACCACAAATGCTGAAGCTGGCGCCTCAGCGGCGCTTGCTTCAGCGCATCAGGGAAGCAGGGTTGCGAGCTGTCCTTCTTTCTATATGCTATTCCTATGCGCTTGCGTGTACAATCCAAGAGAATTGGCGAGACGGCTTGAACTTGGAGGAAGACTTGGCCTGGATGTACGGATTTTTCAGAACAAACTGGCCCTTCGTGTCTGGCTGGTCAATGGTAAACGAAGGCTCCTGGTGCACCGTGTGCCAGCATCCAAGGAACCAGCACATGTGAAAGCCAGATACGTGGCAGCACTCAATGATGATCCTATGATCGGCAGAGCCGGCTGCAACAAGCAGCTGGCCCAGGCACTTTACTTGAGTTGCTTCCGACTCGTATTTCCCCATGGTGTTTGCAGACTGTAGCGATATCGAAATCGACACGGGAAAGCCCACTCCTGTGAATTGTTCAAATTGAAGTCCCAGTTCCAGCCGAAGTTAGAGACCTGTCATGAGGAAGTGTCCATACTTCTAATTGCTTTGCTACTGCCTGGCCTGCTGCGGTGAGAAGTTGACGATGCCATTCTGAGTCTTCACGCTTCCGGATGTTTGGCCTGCGAAATATGAACCATGCATGATCCCAAGGCACAATCTCGCTGTGTGCAGTGGTGGCGAGGCATGTATAGGCATGTGATGTCTGATTACTGGAGAGAGAGCACAAGAAGCGGAAATGCGAAAGAAGCCAATCCGCGGTCTGCCTGCGATGCGTCGACCGTTAGGATGCCACTCTCTTTCAGGCACTGCGTGCTTGCAATGTCTCCGTGGACGACTGGTAGGTCGCAACTCTGAGCGGGGCTGTTGACCCCCACGAGACATTTCCATCTCGGAACATCACAGCATACATGCTGACATCATGTCAGACCATGCCATATCATATCATGCCATGTCAGACCGTGTTCTATCATTTCCTGTCATGTCCTAGATGTCCTATCACAGCATACCATACCATGCCGTACCACGCAGCACCATATCATACAAACGCACCATGTAGACTACGCGGTGGCACAGAATTCGACTCAATACCTGCGGCAGGGCCTATGCTTCAACCGCAAGCCCGAAATTACAATACGATATAAGAAACATTAAAAAACTGCACAAGAAGCTGTCAAAAATCTGTGAACGAGGTCAGCCACTTTGACGAGCCTTGCCCGGCAAAGTTGCCAGATGTAGGAGGGGTGAACCCTCGGCTGCGAAGACGTGAAAGAGAGCAAAATCCATCTGTGAGATTGACTGCTGCTACGCTCGCTAAGCATCCCCCCACACTTCCAGGTCACGAAGTAGAATCTCAAAACTGCTCCTATAATCTACAAAGGCCGTATCGTTGCATTCGCACTCCGCTTCTTTGTCATGTTGCCAGTCTCTGCCATTGAGATGCTCCCTGCACTGCGACCCTCATTGACGTTCTCGGCTTGTGGCCGGGGATTTTCGGGAACTCGAACAGCCTCTCGAGCAGAGCAAAAGCCAGAGAGCAGAAACCAGTGCCGTCCGGACTGCCTGCGATCGTTTGGAGGCAGATCAGAAAACGTACCTCTGAGAGCCCGCATTAAGAATGCATTCGCCAGCAACAAAGACTCGAGACTCGAGACTGGTTGAGCACGTCTTTCAGGATACTTCTTGTGAGTCTCGCGCGCCTGGACACGTCCAGATATAGCCACAACCCGCAAACCTGTCTCATAAATCCATGCCTCAACGGGCATGTAGCTGAAGTTGAAGGAGACATGTCGCGCGACGTGCCCCATGTGAGGCAAGTTCTGCAAGAGTCAAAACAGAGGCGGAGCACAACTTAAATTCACTGTCAGTAACAGAAACAACGACTGGCCTGCGCAGCCAACTGAAACCGATACATTCGTGCAGCACCATCAGACAAGCGCTTGCTGTGCACCTTCCCAACATCTAGTTGCCTAACCGTTGTGACCATCAAAATCTTTCGAGACGTCTGCCTTTGCAATCTTGTGGAACAAGCTCTGGCCGTTCATATGGTCGCAACCATGGACATAGTGGGATCCGACAATGAACTTGCCAACTTCCAGATGCCTGGCCAGGCGAAAAGAAGCGCAGACCTGAAACATGGCTCAAGCCGAAGTCATGCAAGGATGTCTGCAGGTGCGTCTGCGGAATGTCCATCTCCAACCTGAGTAGGACGTCGCTCAACTCCATCATTGCCCTACTGAACTGACTTTGCCGCAGCATGACACAAGTTGAAGATCACTGAAGCATATTGGGTCGCCCTTCCGAAAAGTTCGCTTGCACCACGCACGCCCCTCTCGTCCCTCCGCCGCCCTTTGCCAAGGCAAGTGCTTAGCGAACGCATTCTCAACGACTCGGCGAGCCAGTGCAAACAGATAGACATCCCGAACCCCTGTGCCGCAGCCCGGTGCTTCACATATGAACAGACACAGAAAACAAACAGAATGACATATACTAACGAAGATTGACAATGGTATGTTGCATGTCTTCGCTATCGCCAGCGCAGACCTGCACGATCCCTCAGTCCTGAATCAGCCCTAACCACGCGCAAGCGCAGTCAACAGCCAGACGTCAATGAGCACGCGAGTACAAGCAATGCACACTGACTCTTGCACCTACATCACATAGCTTGGCGAGTACGTGCAGAAAGAGTCTTGGCTGATATCACGGTGGCTTTGCGCTGTCTTGTTGCCTGACGCCAGTCTCGAAATACCGACGATTCAACACGTATATACATGTAGATACACATTGCCCATAGAATTATTGTAACAAAATACTACCAGCATCCGCCAAAAACAAGGTGTTCTGTCAGAACAGTCGTAAGACGTAAGAACACAGCTTCCCGGTTGGACGTTTTATGCAATTGGATAGACACAAAAATGCAAAGGCTGTTCAAACGAAACATGCCCCTCCAGTAGACAAGTAAATCGGGCCCAACAAATTTATCGCGTGGGCCACTAAAGCAGTGAAACATCGGGAGCAATACTGCAAAGCATCAACTAAACCAGCAATTTCGCCCGAGGACTGGTGCGAGCCCGTCTGACTAGGAAACAGCTGACAGCATGACAGCGAACGGTCTGCACGAAAGCAGCGGGGCTGCTTCAACTCGCGTGCTTGTTGCGAATTGGACATGACGGTCATATTCTGCTGCAAGCCTAGGCTCCGGCTGACCTGGAGAACACCGAACCATTCTGACACCATGTTCGGCCTTTGGGAAACAGTGGTTTCGCTGTTGAACTGCCAAGGTTCGGAAGCCCGGCCTCTGTGTCCAAGGACAAGATGGAATCTGGATTGACATGCATTGACCAACTCAGTTCCACATCGGCGCCATCCTGCCGAACAATCGCGACTGAATCTCACACGATTTAACCCCACCTAGACTGGGCAACGGCACCACACCTCACGAATTCTGACTTCGGCACACACACACACATGCTGCACAAAAAGGCACAGCACAGCACTCCCGTTTCCCAGCCAACGCCCTCAAATAACCCTGTTAGAAGCGACGGGCTTGCTCTGAAGCAGGTCAAGTTACCAGCCAAGACCCAATTCAAGGATGGCATGCAGCCATATGAAGCCGCTAGCTGGCGCCCCTGCCACTGCCGGCCCGTCGGCCCCGACAAACATCATTCTCACAGTCCCCATCCCTCCAGCCTTCAAAATGCAAAAACGGCCAGTGCACATGTTTGACCCATCAAATGCGATGTCAACAGCGCGAACCCAGTACCGATCTCAATCAACCATCGTCCATTCACTCACGCATTGGCCGTAGCATGATTTGGTGTCGAAATCCGCATCACGAATGGACCATGCTTCAGCACCCAAGCCCAACACCTGGCGGAAAAAGGTGTTCCTCCTCTCCATTTCATATTTTTTCCGGGCCCATCCGGGGGTTCCAGCCGAAAGTTGTCGTTGCAGTCATCCTCTACGTCTATGTCTGCCTCGTTGCCGTTGCTGCCGTGGAGACCAGTATAGAATAATACTTCTTTTGTAGTACTGGTGTAGTGGTCGTCAAGAGTAACTGGACGTCGGTCGGTGTACCAAAGGCAAGTGCGTGCACGTTTGGGAGAAGAGACATCGAAGGGAAGAAATGTCGGGATGCAGTTGACGAGCAACCGAAGTAAAAAATACAAACATGTGGACCAGGGGTAGGGGATCAAAATCTACCTGTTCGATGCGAAGCCCTGTAGGTCCAGGTGGTGCAGCCTTCGAAAGAAACTTCCCAACATCCTAATTGGCTCTTGCATTGCCTAGAGCATTCACAGCCGATGAAATTAACGAAAAGCGCTCTTGGGAGAATTCGACTCGAGCTGCATCCCATGTTAAGTTAAAGCCGACCAGGGACAAAAGGGAAGAGGCAGGCCTCTACTGTGTTGGGGCAGTTGCCGAAGCTTCTTGGGTCAGGCCTAGATCGCTGCCGCTTGCAAAGGCCAGTCCTCAAGACGCTTCCTGAAAGATCGAGAACACCACCGGTAGCCATCCTGCAATCTGCAAACCCGAACCAGCTCCTGGGACTGGGCTTCGGCGAGCATGACCCTCCACCCTCCTCGCTGATGGTGGTCTCGTCACAGTGCTCGTGGATACGATGCGGCTTCAGCTCCTCGCACACTCCCCGAAGCGAGAAATCTAGATTCCAGATGCGATGCCTCGACTCCGGCAAATGGCACAAAGCTTGTGTCGGCCAGAACGAACAGGCCTTAGCCATGCAGCTTGTAGCGACAAGAATGCACAACCGACTACAGCACGCCGGGGCAACGCAAATATTTTATTTTCGGCCACAAAGACAGGGGCTGAGAGTAGCCAGCCACACAGTCGAGCAAGCCATGGTATGTCCACCTGTCAGGCTTTTGTGAAAACCTGGACCTGGTGAGGGAAGGACAAATCGTGCCCCTGGACATGTTGGGCAGCTGTCACAATCAAATCAACCTGAGGACTATATATCCTAGGGGCCTAGCGAATCTTGGCTCAGGTAGCGCCTTCGCTACAGCCACTGCGCACAGCGACTGTGCGGAGTTGAGCTGAAAAGGCCGCCGCTGAAAAATCTGGTTCTGACATGGAAGTACACAATGCATGTTGAAATTTTGCGCAGCAGGTGAGCATGAATGCACGGAGTGGACACGAACAAGTGGCAGGCACCAGGTTTACTGCGGTCAGCGCTGTACAACTCCGGAACCTGCCATCTCAGTCTTGAGGATGGCCGTAGCCACACGAGCTTGGACCGAGAACCCGACATGGCCGCGACCACCTCGAAATTCGTTATCCAGCTCAGAGGGGCAAGCAAAGGCCGTGTTAGCACCGGCCTGACCGGTGAGTTGCGGGCAGTGCATCAGCCATGCGATCTCCATCTGAGGATGCTCTACCTGTGCTGGGGCCACATCCAAGGGGAGGGCCACGCGAGGGGAGGGGCTCGGGCCGTCGGAGCTGTCAGACTTTGACATTCCGAGAGGTCCACGAAACGAAGACCTCGAAGAATGGAAGAATGCGTTGGCAAGGAGGCGTAGACTTACAACTTCGAAGACATCCAGCAAGCACTTAGGTGAACACGCGGGTTGTTCGCCGGAGACAAGATCTCAGTAGCACACTGGTCCTGCCCAAGTCGTCAGCAGTCGTTTCTTCGGCATTCACGGCCAGCAGTGCAGCAACCGCTCCGTCAGTTGCTGGCAGTGTGTCACCTAATCCGGCAATCAGCTCCGTCCCTGCAAAAAGCAACCAAACCAAGCGTTCTGAGGCAAGCACGGAAAGAAGCTCCAAGTTCGACAGAGCAAAGGAAATGTGAGAAACATGGCATTTGGCAATGTACAGAGACCTCAACAGTCATAATTTGGCTCTTGCGACCCATGTTCCCATGGCATGACACATGGCGGCTCGAGGACTGTGCCGAAGGTTTTGACAGCTGGCGATCAGCTTCGACAACTGCTCGTCGGGCAAACTCGTGATCTGCCATTTGCGGTGTTTGTCTAATACCAAATCTCGCCCAAAAAATACACATGCTGGGCTTGCCCCGGTCAAGCTGAGGCTGCTCAATCTTTGCGAAATCGCCAAGGGCATGCTTTGCAATCTGCTGTCGACCTCGGTGTGTCAGACCCTTGGGTTTCGGATCCACGAGTCGGAATTGTTTGGGGGAGCCCAAACGGTCATTTGGAAGCTGCGAGCTAGCATGAGCTAGCAGACGTCAGCTTTACTTGTCCAAGAACATGTTTCCCCATCCCGTGACGACTCTTCTGTCAGATGTTGTCAGATTCTCTGTTGGCGAGCTTGCAGAACCTCAGGCAAGAAGTGAACAGCCAGTGCGAATTTGAAGGTCAACCGGTAGCGGTAGCGTAAACTGGGCGTAAGCTGTTGGAGCTGTCTGAACATGACCCATGGGCCACGTGTGCACGTTCCCTATGGGCCACGTGTGCACGTTCTCTCTATGTATCTCTAGGTCCTAGGTTGACCTTTGGAAGGGTGGAATGGTTAAGCCTGGCGTTTGAGGCTGACCAACACCTCAGTGCGCTGATTAGCGTTGTACTTCATTCTCCAAGTCAAGCGACTCAGGCCCGCCAACTTGTCGCTTTGGGCTGTCCTCTCGGCGCTCTTATGATCTGCATTGGGATGCCTGGTGTACAATTATGACAGACGGTACACGTCAGTTCCGCGGACTGGTCAAGCATGTTACAGCACTGGAGTCAGCTTCGCGCGCTGCAATGCAAGCTCTCCGTAAGGCTTTCTGTCAGGTTTTCGAGGGGGTCGTGAGAAGTGCAGCTGCCGCCATTAGGGTGAGGCTTGCCTCATTTGCCGCATTCCCATTGGAGCTGCATGGGCCGTTCACGCTGCTGAGAAGCAAGGCTAGCTTTCTGCCAATCGTGGGCGGCTCCGTCGGCGTCTGCTCAAGCGAAGGCGGAACTGGGCTCGCTTCTCCCCTTCCAAAGTACCCTTTGAGCCTCTTCACAGCCCCGCTGCCCCGCCACGACCCGTCCTGACAAGGGGCTCTGCATCAAGGCCTGCTCGGTTGCTGCGCTCGACAGCTCGACAGTCTTCGGCGTAGGCCCAAGTGCTCGTGGAATTGCCGACGCTAGCTCTGGAAGAGTGTCGGAGGACTGTCGGAAGCCAAGGCAGGGTAGGCACGGACAGAGGCCATCCGCGGCCGTGATCTTCCGTGGAGCCGCCGCGTGATTGCCGTTTTCAGTCTTATCGCGCGTGAGGCTGAAACCTCGAGGAGTCCCCCGCTCCGCCGCTCCGCGAGTTTGCGTCCCCTCCAAGCCGCTCCGCCTCTCGCCATCTCTCGCGAACGTCGCGACCAGCGGTTGGAACACCGTGACCTTCTGGGCGCTTGCTGCTTTCCCTGCAGTCCCGTTTTTCGCCTCGAATCAGCGACTTCCTGCTTCTCCAAGAAGGTTTCGTCCGCTCTGCTGAAGGGGTTTCGAGCGTGTTTCACCAGAGTTCACTCTGCATACTCTGCTAAAGGCACGTTTACTGGATTCTTCGCCTTCCAGAAAAAAGCACAGACAAGTTGCAGTAGGTGCCCTGCCAATTGAAGACTCCGTAATCGAGGGCTTACGGCAAATAGCGACTGGATGATTTCGTCCGAACAACTGGTCAGCACTGGATGGGTTGTATCGCTAAGGAGCTTCGCACGATGACGCAATGCCCAAGTAGCCTTCGCAAACACAGCACCTGGAGGCCAGACTCGGGGAAGGCCTCAAATTTTCCGTTTAGTGAAGCAACTTTACTACTTCCAATTCTGAATTTGGACAAGGCCACTGCTTTCCAGCTGCGCTGCGCCTGGCCAGCTCCATCCTTTCACACTGCAGAGTTGCTGCAGTGCATGTCATGATCCACTACAGAGCATCCTTGTCTTCCTGCGGCATGAGCGACAATCGCCGAACCTCACTGATTGGTAAGGATCAAGGATATACATCGCTGCACTTCACTGTACCATCTGTACCAAGCAAGGACTGTCCGGGAAGTCGATCCCGGGTGATGGGCACAAAAGCGCTGCAAGAGTTGTTCAACTTCGTGGCCAGTGACCTGTACTACACAGTGCAATCTTTGCTTCCCTGAGCCTTTGAACAAGCCTTGAACTCGAACACGAAGCTGCATCGGGTCCGAGGCGGCAGTTGCAGCTCCTAGCAAACTTTGCTCTTGACAGCGGCAACTGCAACTCTTCCAACCACCGAGAACGGCACCAGGAGCAGTAAGTGAGAGAATGTGTCCAGGTAACTATGGCACAGAATAAGGAACAGTGTCATCGATCCGGTGATATCCGGCACAATCCCCTTTCTTGATTGCCCAAAAACTACAAAAACAGGTTTGCTCATGGTCACGGAAACTCGGCCTGGCGTTCTGCAAAATAGACGAATACAGTACATGCCTTTTCTGCACAACTTTCCGATGTTGCCGATTTCCTCTGCCAACATCCCGTGCGCGATTGTGCGTGCTCCGCATCTGCAAGGCAGCTCCATGTTGAAAAGCACGCTCACGAAGAAGCAGCAAAAACACAACTAGGAGGAGACTCAGAGCCAAGCTCGATCGGCCACTCACCGCAATCGAGCCGGGTCCTCAGCTTGGTGCCCTGTCCAGATCGGCGAGACAGTATCGCGCGCCACGTCTGCTTCTGTACCGGTGGCCCCGTGGGTTTTCTAAAGCAACCCGTGGCGGTTTTTTATTAAAGCCCGTCGAAGGGCGAGTCGCCTTTACGCCACCGCAAGGTAACCGCTCCGGCCATTCCGGTCGGCAAAAAGCAGAAGTGTGGAGGCACACGAGAGCCCAACAACCTTCCGATGCAAACTCTGTTTTAGCTTGAGCATGTTCATCGGTTGCATGGATTCTCAAAGCTACCACGTGATCCTCATCTACGGGTGCAGTTCCAAGCTACAACTGACAGTAAGACTTGCAACCAACAGCTGGGAGTTCGCACTCCGTTGCTACGCGCGTGGGGTGCTTCGTCTTTTTCCACGTACTCAATAGTCCATGTCGTCGTTGCCGTCATCACAGGCAGCTAGCGTCAAATCCCAACTCCCCAGGAAAAATTCAGCTTGGCCTCATTGATGTCCAGAAAATTGGTGCCCTACCGAACAAAACGAGAGAACTCAGGCATGTCTCAATCACGGGAAGCTACACGCAGATATTTGAGATTCGAAGAACCCGCTTTGCAACTCCTGCTTCCTTCAGACGCGAGGCCGACCAAACATCAAGCCGAGTCACGTGGGTTGCGTTGGTCTTGCGTGGCAAGTATGGCATGCCTCTTGCTGCTCGTCCGCTTGGATGTTTATCGACCCAAGTCAGGCGCGGTCTGAAGTACCAAAAACATGTTTGAACTTATGGCATCGTTCCGGAAGAAAGACATACATAAACCAACATGCAAACGGACTTTTGTGTGTCCGAAATGGTACGAAAGCAACCTGCGCTTCCACATGCTGATGTAGACGGGAGCTGGCACGTAACCAGCATTTACGCAGGATTCTGGCAGTCCAAGCTCTTACGCATCCAAATGCTGCACATTTTATCGTCATTCTGTCGCAATCTACTAGTTATGTCAAGTTCACATGCCGAAGACTGTAAACACGGGATGCTTCAGGCCTCCAGCAGGATTCTGAATTTGGCGGCCTCAGGCAACTAGCATAAATGAGCATACGCAATATTCACATGTAAACATGTACATGGTGTCGTTTCTGTAATAAGTGCCCATATGTATCTTATGCGTGCTCGCAGGCACCGGCTCGTCCATGAGCAAACAAGATCATACGCAGTATGCCCTCTTGTTCATACAACATGTTTCATGCACACATGTCGTACAGTCAGACATAAGCAGGCAAGAGCAGCATGGTCGATCTCCTGCAAGCCTGCTACCGGCTAGCGAAGTCGGCGACTGGCGACCATGACTGCATGGTGCAAACGTACCTGCAGAAAAGCTGAGCCTTTGCGCCAGCAAGACTAGGGTTTGCCGAACCCTATTGAAGCCAGTGCAACCCGCAGCTTTCCGGCACACATTCACACCTGCTCGGTTGCCGCAATCTAATCATGCACCCAATCAACTTTTTGCAAGACAACCGGGGGATGCCTGGGGCATAGCAGCATCTCCGCTGCTACGCTGCCACGCTCGCTGCGAGAGCACTCGTGTTGGTGCTGTGTGGCTGTGGGTGGTGGTTTGGCAAGTGCATTTCGTCGCCAAAGGCACAGTCCTCAATCCTGCGACATCCGACCCGAACTGTGAAGTTGCTCATCGCGATATACTTTGGCACGCCAACCCCGCGGTTGACTGCGTCTGGTTTTGGCGAACGGGCGGCGGGCCTGCGAGGGCATGCCGCGGCTGCACCGTTGCATTCATGGCTTTTCTTTGTCTGCTGACATCTCCTGCCGGGTCCTGGAAGTGCGTCTCCTGTAAAGAGTTTTTCCACAGTATTTCGAAGCGGGCGACCCACTGTTCCTTGTCGTAGCTAGCTACCCCTTCTTGATCTTTCCACACCAAACAACCATCACGCCAGCAGACGAGTGTTGAATCCTTTCACCTTCCTGCCCGAGCCATACCTTACCAAGGTTCTTCCATTCGGTTCTCGAACTTCGGCTTCGGACCGCGCTCGACTGAGCTGCTTCTATGGGCTTTCCGGATGTAGAGGTTACTGTACGTCCCCGTCCCAGCCAAGCGCCTTCGCTGTCCTCGAGGATTGCTGCGTCCGCACAAGATTTTCTTGAATCTGAAGAGCTACTGGTACGAATTCATCTGGCCATGCACCGGAGAACCAAGTCAAGTCGACGCCCGAACTGGCCAGCAACGACTTCCGGGCCCCCGCAAGGAAGTCTTGCCTTGCACCGGTCAAACCGCGCTGGCAGCAGGCTGCAAGGGGCGCGGCTGAACTTGCCGCCGTTGCCTATGGTCGTCGCGGTGAGGCCCCAGGCGATGTAGCCCAAGCCACTCTCTTCGAAAACCTGTTCGATGGCGACAGGAAGTTGCGACCAAAATCTTCTTTGCTGGCTCGGTCTGTGGCCCCATTCCCCGATCCGTGAATACATCCGACCCTTCTCTGGGTACGGCTGTGCGACAATTGGCATCCTCACCTCGTGCCGAGTGTCGATTTTGCTTCATGGTTGACAAGCTCGGCAGACACCGCCTGGACAACTGGGCCAGCTGAAAAGTCATAATCACCACATCGCTCCGCCTTTGTCACAGGCTGTGAGGAACCCACCACGACGAAGAGAGTCAGCTCAATCCGACGCTGTCGCGGGAAGCACCGGCGGGCCTTTTGCTGTGAAGAGCGAGTCGTGCTGTGCGAAGCGTTGACTCATTTCCTGGGTCTGGGCCCTTGCCTCGGCCTGCTCCTGGCGCTGCTCGTGCCCTTGCATTTCAGCCCAGCAGCCACTGCAGTCTGCGAGCCTACGTTGCGGACACTGTGCGACAAGCATTTTTGCTTGCATCTGTGTGTGGAACCCGATCAGGCGCCAGATTTTTGGCACTCAGGCTTCACATTTTGTCAACACCACAGTAGATACAGCATGATACTCATCGAGAGGGAAGACCGCATGGCACCGAATGACGATGCGCATGCACTTGCTGCGCTGCCTGATCCCTCCCACGCAGCGTTCAGGTCTATGGGCTCGGTGCGCGAGATCATTGAACACATGCTGCAGCGTCGATGCTTGCTGCGGTTTCGTGTAGCTGGCACTCCAGCAAGTAGATGTGGCTCACGGCCCAACTCAGTTCCTCTGGGTCCAAGCGATGGGTCGCCGTGTAAGATATCAATCCAGAGGCGCGGCGGCACGACCAGAAGCACAATGACCCTCTTTCTGACTCTGGCACGAGACAGGGGGCTTTTCTCATCACATCCACACGCCACCACTCCGAGCCACCGAGACACAGACACACACACACACACACACACACACACACCCACACACACACACACACACACACAAACACGAAAACACACACACACACACACATCCGGTGGTATAATTGCCCGAGTTCGGCGTTTTGAGTGATGCTGCAGGTAGCCTTTTACATCATATTGCTGCCAGCGAACTTGCAAGGTTATGGCAGCGGGCAAGATTGGCACCTGAACACTGGGCACACGTCGATACTATTGTACTATTGTTGGGTCTTGCTGACATGCTCAGCCTGCTGACTGAACCTGGGCAATTGCAAGAAGAGCCAAGGCCAGCAGGACAGAACACGAGAAAACTTCGCACCCCGGGTTCGCAACGCGGCACTATGAAGCGCAAACATTTGACACAAACCCCGCGGCGAAGCCTGACGGCTCTCAAAGTGTCCCCGTATCATCTGAGAGGACAGAGGACGGTGGAGATAGTCTATGAGCTCGGCAGTGTCATGTTGGCGCTTGGGCTACGACCGATAGGCCATCCTTGCCAGCTACTTGGCCATGTTCGAGCGTCGTGAAGCGAGCCTTCCCAATAGGAGGGTCATGGCATTGTTGTTGACCAAACTGAGAAGACCTTCGTGAACTTCGGTCGAGGTGCTCCCCGTGACGAAGGAGATGCTTCGCGCACCTGCGCTTGTGGCATTGGCGGGGCTGGTGAGAACGGCAGCTCAATTGAGTACTCTGCACTACTGAGAAAAAGACCCCATGGCAAGGTGCCAAGCGGCCCAGCATCGGCCTGCCAGGCGAAGGTTTCTTTGCTGCGTTTAAGGACAGCCTGCATTTCTTGGTCTAGCGGCATGGGAGTACCGTCCGCGTTGCGCACACGGGAGGGGTGCTGCCTACATTTCGCACTTGGGCTTCTCGCTACCTGACACAGGCCTCGCTGAACGCTGCGGGCTGCAGCCTCTTCAGCCTGCTGTACCTGCCAAAGGACGTAAGCTCGTTTGAGCTGTTGGCTGTTTTCGGTTGTTTTTAGAAGCTCGCCCGACAAGAACGAGGTAGCGCCACTGCTGGATCAGGCGTTGCGTGGCTGAGTGCTGATGCGGACATCCGGCTTGCATGGAATGCCTTTGCAGCCAACGAAAGCAGAATTTGATTAACCTGCTGCCTAAGCGAGACACGATCCTGGGCCTCGGGTGAGTGTTGTAGCGACGGGGCGTCTATGTTCCTGCGGGTCGTTGCCGTGTGACCGTACGGAAGAAAGGGCAATGCCGCCTGGAGCGGACGGTGGCCCGACTCTCTCGACGCTCCTACTGGAAATGTTCGACAGGGAGGAGAGTTTCATGGCCTCGCTTTGCCAAGTGATGCGCCTGACGCGAGGATCGTGTCCTTGCATCGCTTGCGCAGGAATTCAGGACGCAGAGGTCTTGGCCCGCAACGAGTGACTGCAGTTCGGATGAGCGGTTGTGTGCGTCGGACGCAGTGGGTGACGGGCCTATGTCGGGAGACTGTGACTTCAGGATGCTACTGACATCTCCACACAGGACTAAGTGGGCCGAGCAGGAATTCGCTGCAGAACTGAGCTGATCCACATTTGCTGGCAATGGCGCGGCGCAGGTTTTTCTGCAGCGGTCAGACGTGATCTCCACGTGGTGATAGACTGCAACGATAGTTATCGGGAGACCACTTGTTCTCAAAGTGGCCCGTAACTGCATGAGCCTGCCTGGCATATGTTCCAGGAGTGTGACATCCGCAAAGTGACGCCTCGACAGCATGATGAGTATGCCACTGCTCCGGTCTGTGCTGGTGGGATTGTCGCGGCCAGAGCTGTGAACACACACCCACTCACAACTATTGTAGTCGGTAGTGGAATGTCCGTGGGTTTCTTGTAGAACAATCAACTAGTACTCGTGCTGAAGCTCAGTCCACGCAAGAAGTTTCTAGGAAATCTTTGCTGAAAGCCCACTAGCGTTCGAAGACAGAATGTTCACGCGGTACGGACTGGCCTTCTCGTGAGGGAGCTCCGGTTGGACTTCTGCATTTGCGAAGGGTGTTTTTCTTAAGTTAGGGACTGTAAGGCAACTTGCGAAGGCCCTGTGCTGGATGCAACAAGCCTTTTGTGCACGGCAAGCATCTGGACCACCAGGCGTTGCACCACGTTGCTTCCCTGCGGATGAAGGTCTCGCTTCTTGCGTCGTCCAAGAAGCAACCCTCGACTTGGGACCGGAGTGGCACCGAGCGTTAAATTCTGAGGCCACAAGGCATTGTAACTACAGGAACCCATCTTAGGAAGCTTAAGGAGAGCAGGAGACCTGGGGTTGGGAATAGGTCTGCACATGTCAGAGCAGGTGAGCCTGCTGGGCAGCACTTCCTGCAGCTGTGCATCTCACTGGTCCACATTGGCTGGTAGCCAACGCTTCCTAAGCGATTTGAAGCTCGTGAACGGTAAAGCCTTCAGCCTTCAGCTATCGAGTCGCAAGGGACTGAAAGATGGCTGGACGCTGAGCTTGGATGCCTGTAGTAACTGGCCGCACACTGCACGCGGTGAGGAAGTGCTTAACTGCGCCCACTTCGCCGAGGGCATGATGGAATGCAATTGGCAATATTGGCATCAAGCCATCCGATTGAATGCCATCATGGGGGCACGGGGGATCGGCGCGCTCCGGCTCGTTGAACTTGCCAGGTAAACAAGGTGGAGTGACAGAATCGGCACCGGGGGAGCCATGGAGACCTGCGCTCAAACGTTATTTCTGGATGTTTGGCAATGTAGTGCTCGTTGAAGCTGTGCTGACCTGGAAAATACAGGCCGCAGATCGGACATCCAAAGATAACATTGGCTGGCGGCACTGGCCTGAACTAGCTCGCTGCTTTGGCGACACTGGAGTACTGCGGCCAGCTCGAGCTCAATGACTCGGACGCGCTCTTGTTCAATGACTTTCAGCACAGAACTGCGGCCAGTGTCCCAGTGTCTTCAGATATGCTAACAACAAGACGGCGAGCGCTGGCTGTCAGAGTAGCGGCTACGTTGACAGACGGACGCATGCCTCACTACATCCACGCTGTGACCCCTCCTTGGTAGATCCTTTCTCCGCTGTAGCTCCAATTGTGCTGCTGCGCGCCTGACTTTCAAGCTCGACACACGCAAGTCTGACCTGACCACGCCTCGCAGGCAAACACAAGGAAAGAGGTGTTGGGGGGGGGGTAATGGCTAACCTTGATCTAAAGAAGGCATTCCTTACTGCGGGGTGTTCAGATCCCTTCTTGAGGCTAGTGTGCCTGAAGTGCTGTGTCGTCTCAGTTCACATCCACAACAACACAGTCTGTGTCAATCTACACGGTGAACATTCTGGGACCGCCCAAATGAGTCGGGGGGCTTGGCCAGGTCGTCCCGTGGCGCCCCTTCTGTTTGCGGATGGTCGGCAAGCATCTGCTGTCGTCCTGACAGCAGTCTCGGTCAAGGATGGACTGCTTCCCATCTTATGCTTTTCTCGGATGACACACACTGTCAATGGCAAAACCATTCGATTCAGTCACTTCGGAAAGCAGCTGCGCAGTTGATGGAGGCTTTCGAACGGCTACAATCTGCAGGCATGACAATCAACTTCACAAAGTCTGCTATCGCTTGTGTATTGAAAGGCGTTTGCGCGCTCTCAAGGCCGCGTCGCTTCTTCAGTTGGCGGGACGTTGCCCTGACATTTCGTCTCAGACACGCAGACTCTGACATCCATATCCCTCTAAGGGACTATTTCCAGCACCTACAACTTCGAGCCACAACCCGCCAAGCTCAGAATCCAGGAGGCCCAGGCCAACTTCTGCCGTCTCCCAAGCTTCCAACATTGTGTCGTGTGCTTGCATGCAAACCGCGTCAAGCGTTGAAGCATGATTTCGATAGGCGTATTGCGGGAAGGCTACAAGCGCTTGCATGATAGGGTCGCGGAGGGTTCCTTGATGATGCGCAGTAATGCCATTTGGTCACCTGACATTAAGCCGCTTATGCGAAAGCGAGCTGGGCAAGAGGGGTTTTGCCTGGTTTAAGTAATTATGCAATCTGGATGGATGCTCATTCATTCCATCGGGATGCACGGGCCAGAGCGAAAAACATAGTCAGCTGCCTGCGCGCTAGAAGCCCACAGATCCGCGAAGAAGTATGCCTCCAAGCTATGGCTCGACGGGTGAAGATGGGGGTGGCTTTATCTCTCGGGAGTTAATTCAGTGCACCATTCCAACGTGCAGCCGGGAACAACTCAGCACTCAGTGGCATGAGCGGTGGTAGGGTCCAATCGGGGCGCGTGAAGAGCGTCTTGGCATGCCTCGTCAGAAGCTCGCACTCCGCCCTTTGATGGACAACACTTGTGTGCTGCGGCGGATGTGGCGCCAATCCGATAGGTAGCCTCAGCCCGAATTTAAGATGCGGCCACATGGACAGTTGAAAAACCTCACGAACTACATGCGAGTGGAAATGAAGCTAACAAGCGATCAACTTCCTTCCATAAGCGTTGCGCTTTTTGTAGAGTCGCTGAACCTTCTCTTCGTCACCATGATAGACCACGTGCTAGCAAGCGCAAATGAAAGCCATATGCTCCTTCCCCTTCATGCCCTTTCGCGACCTCCTTTAAACTAAGGCTATCAGAAGCGAAGGTAGCGCAGATGCCAATCAAGACACCGCCAGATTGCCTCTGACCTGCGGCCGAATGACAAATATACCCAGTCGTCAGATGACCCTCCATCGATTCAGCCCAATGTATCTCTTGTAGAAAGACAACCGTAATCTCTTGATGTTTGCAGAGCCAGACTGTCAATTCTGCAACAAAAAGTGTACCACTACAATTCCAGGAAAAGATCTGTACTCTAGGCCCAGATGGGTCCTGATTAAGTAAGGGACAGGGCCCGAACTGTAACGCAACCACGGTAAGAGCTTGTTGCCTGTATCGTGCAATGCCAAATCTCCTTGCTTCTAGGACCGGCCGTCTATGTGACCACTTTCGCACACCTACCAAGCTGGACGCAGCTCCTTTGTGGTATCTACCGATTCCACTCTACGTGGACCCAGAGAGGAACCATTGGCGTGTTGCGAAGCGCCTGGGCATGACTGAGTCCGGACTTGAGAATGGACTGAGCGCAGCGCACCCCTCCCTCGTGCTGCATGCCTAGTTCCGTAGCCAGAATGACATGGGCATGTTCGGTGTCCTCCGGTAGGGGAGCTGGTTTAGTAGAAGGTCTCGCGAAATATTCGCGCAGGGTGAGGCCTGCCATAACTCTGTTCTGCATTAGCTTGATTGGAAGCACGAGGAATCAACAATCCCGTCAGAGTGAAATCAGTGCAAATGCAAGTGAAGCAGAGTTCCGAGTGAATCCTGCAAGTGTTGCACTTCGTCCAGCAACTCATCCGCCGGGGGGGTCCGACACGCGGGCGATAGATTGATGCAGGGTTCGTTGACCGCGACGTGTGGATATGTCTTCGCTTCAGCAGAACATGGGCGGTACCAGAGCGAGAGCAAGTGGGCCAGAGACAGGGTGCTATTCCAGACGGAAACTCTCAAATCCCAATGCGGGCCTTTGCCCATCACAGGGAGCTCGGGAATATTATTCAGTCTTATTCAGGATGTTCATCATCGCTTGGGTCTCATGCCCGCAGTTCTGAAGGGTAGTGATCGGTGCACAAAGTGAACCATCCACTTGCTGGTTGTCGGGCCTTGCTGGCGTCCAAAACATGATCAGATTGCTGCAACCGTGCATGCATGCAAGCAACATGCTGCCTGCTAGTTCAGCTCCCTGACATGCACTGTCGACTGCGCTGCTCTCCAACAAACATGTTGTAAGATGCAATCTAACAAGCCGACGGCAGCGACGATAACCATATGCAGCGAGGATGCTAGATATTCGGCTACGTCACGTTTGCCATCACTGATCCGCAGGTACACCAGCGTAGCCAACTTTGGCTTCCCACACCACTGGCAGCTTCGTTGGATCCCTGCAAAATATTTTCGACTGGTATTGCAAATTGCTGAGTGTGACCGTCGCGAGCAAAACTGCCAGACGATGGCCCCGAAACGCGTGTGCGAGGGCAGCTCATACACCCACACTCACACACTCCAACAAACACACGCACACGCCCTGTCGCCCAACTGCTGCATTCCACAGCCAGAGACAGCTGAGAGCAGTTCACTCCGAACAAGGCACTCGAAGTATTTGAGTCGCGGGTGTCTCTTGATCCTTGCAGATCACACTTCACATTGAGTTGATGTTGTGGATACGCACCACATACGCTGAAGTCCGAAACAAGCAGCCAGGTGTTGAGGGCCAGAATTTCGTCACGATCACGGCTCGGCCCATTACCTAGAAGGCTCCGTGCTTCTAGATGCGACGAGCACCCGCTGAAATCAGAGATGCTAGCCAAGACCACAGGTATCATCATAGTTGAATGTCAAGCACCTTAGAACCAATCACACTCCTGCTACTGTCGTGCACGCACTCTGTTCCCGGATCTGTGGGCTGCGCTCCTCATCCACCTGATCACGAAGTTCTCTGCCTCAAGTGGAACACGAGTTTGCACCGTTTCATAAGAACAGACTCGACTTACTCGAGGATCCTGGCAGGCTGATCGGACAATGCTCAACTGCAAGTTCACCTGAAATCACGGCTACCAGGTCTACGGGATCCATGCCGGTCGTGCCTCTGCCTGCTCTTCTGCTGGCCTCGTTGGCTCCACTGTAGCAGAGGAGGTCGCCCACCAAGTTGAAAAAGATCTGCGACCTTCCCGCAATGACCATTGAGCAGGCAGAGCACTCAGATGCCATGATCTGCCTGATCGGAGCTGTCAAATCAAGGAAAGACCACGGCCTCAAAAGCAGAAATGGAATCTTGCCGTGCATGGTTCAATTCCTATCAGAGAAGAAAACTGCTCTTGCGCATCTCTTCGCGATCAAGCGAGCTCAGCTCGCCGCAGGTTTGAGCTGACTATGCCCACGGCCCCACCATTCCTGGACACGCTCTCACTCAGCCAGAGCTTCAGCGTGTTCGTTCTCAGCTGAGGGACTGGATCAATGGCTCCGGCGGTGGCCATGCAGGACAGGGAGGGCACGCCTGGCATTTGGCTGCGACTCTGTGCTTGGACCAATGGACTATGCAAGCAAGCCAGGCACACATTTGGCCGCGAACCCAGCATGCTGATTGCGATCGCATGCAGCAGTCCACAAGCATTAATTATCGAGAGTTCTTCGAAGCTGGCTATTCCAAAAAGGCGTCCTGAACTTGAAGACACAGTTCTTGTAGCATTTGTTTCATGATCCATGCTCGAAAACTAGAACGTCATCATCCCGATGCTCTGGAAGACCTATCATCGGCCCATGCTCCAACTGTATAGATGTCATTGCAAGCCTTAATACGGCTTCCCCCGCCAGCCGGCCTTTGCGTGGAATGCCATGCAGCGTTGCGATCTGCGGCTATCTACCGAAAGCTCTTTTCGTCTCATTCATCCCACAAGTCCCATTCACAGCAGCGCTGTAGCCCCTCGGCAACAAGACCACGGAATCCTCATGAGTCTATGAGCACCGTTTTTGGGGTGAAGACCACGCTGGCGGCTGTCTTCTCGTACACCCTGACCCAGCTGTGCGGCAAAGCGTTCCACCTGCTGGAAACGACGACGGGCTACATCTGCGTCTGTGCCCCTCTTCGTCGACTTCTTTCTGACTCGCTAGCTTTTTTCGTACTGTCTTTGAAGAACTGACTGTAGAACTCCTCTGGAGGGCAGGCACTGTGCTTCTTTTTGTGCCCCAAGAACAGCAACGGCAACAGCAACAGCTACAGCGGTGGTCCAGAGTCGAGGCCCCACGCCCACGGCGGGCTTCTAGAGGAGGGCGATACAAAATCCCTCCAGTTTGAACTCAAAGGTGGCATTCGCTCGCTGTCTTGTCGGTGACTGCTTGAGGTGAGATTGGTGCTGGAAAAATCCGCCTTGATCTCCCTGCTACACATCTCGCTCTCCCCTCACTCTCTTTGTTTCACCTTCCTTCCTTCCTTCCTTCCTTGCTTGCTATGGGCATGTTGAGCGAAACTATCGAAACCCCTGCCGCACATGCATGTCCCCCATCTCTCTCTTTCTCAGCTGCCTTCGAGCCAACGGCCTTATTGCTTGCTCACCGTCCCGGCCGAGGCAACAGTGCCTGCCACATCGCCGTAAGAATGGGAAAACTCACCATGACATGCTTTGAACTTGAACCCTGACACTGTCTGTGCCGCCTGAGCGAGATGTTTAGGCGAATCATGCCTACTGGCAGGTTGGCACCAAGAGCCCTCGCCTGCCCAGCCGCCAGAACATTTGCATTACGACTTTACGTGGACGCGATGTTGCGCAGAGGTGCTTCGGAGCTCTCTTGGTTTTGGCTGCACGGACGCAGATCTCTGATCATCGGCAAACGCCGCAGGGCTTGGCGCAGCTGCATCTCACTTAGGATGGGCCGTCCCTGCAAAAGGTCGAAGAAGAGCTTCCCCTCCGAGCTCGAGCTCTTCACTTCCTCCTTCTTCTCCTTCTTCTTGCTGCTCTGCGAGAAGGCGGAGAACTCCTCCCCGGTCTCTTTCAGCGCCTGCAAGACCACACGGCGCAGTGCAATCTTGCAGTTGGAGAGACTACGGGCTCCGAACGCGAAGCTCCACGAGTCGAGTTGGTCCTGCAAGGAAGCCTTCGGGCATTCGATCGCTTTCAAGAGCTCTTTCAGGGCATCGCCAGCCAGATCGGCTAGGGGCCCTGACAGCAGCTCTGGAAGCTCTTCTTGCAACTTCCTCTCCAAGATCTCACAGCTTTGTCTCCCTCTCTCCGTCAGCGGGATCAAAACACTTACGCTGTGCTGTCCGCTGCTTGGATCGCAGCCGTGGCTCACATGAACCACCCGTGCCCCCTGTCGAAGCCATAGCTTGATAAGCCAGGATGTTGCTCCGAAATGCGCCGCGACAGCATCCACGGAAAGGGACATCAGACGATTGAGACTTTCCACGAGTAAGCGCTCACCCAGCCCGTAGCCACGCAAGTTCGGATGCAGACACCATCTCATGACACGCACGAAACGCAGCTTGGAGGCTTCCAGCATGCCAGCATCCCTTGTTAGAGTCTGTGCAGTTAGGTTTGCGGCCACTTGGCATCGTGCCAGCCAGAGCTGCTGTGCCCTTTCTTCCTCCAGCACGGGTTCCTCTGTGCCAGAGATGGTGATGCCATAATACTTGTTCTTATATCGCAGAGCAAGCCATATAACACCTGTCGCATCAAGGAAAGTCTCCAAGTCAGAAGGTTTTGTTTTGTAGTGGCCTACTCGTAGGAGACCATAAATCTCTTTCAGTCGATCATCGTCCTCAACAATGGCACCCCGATCGATGGCCTCCAGCACAGCCGACCGAGCGATCGTTTCTGCTGTGGTAGGGCTCACTGCTGCGGGGACTGCATCCAGGAGTAAAGCTGCCCTGGAAAGGACCTGCACTGCACTCACAACGATAGGATGGAATGGATAGCAGTTAAGTGCTCTAACCGGGGCTCCCAACCGCCGCAAGCACTGCCAATGCCTCCAGCGGACATCCACGAGCCCAGCGCCAAGAAGTTCGTAGTTCACGAGTCTGTAAACCCGCGCGCGCTGCTCGAAGCTGCGGTAATGCTCGAACCATGAAACCGTTGCCACTGCCTTCGTAGCCTCGTCAAGAGCCGCACGTAAGCCCCTCCACTACAGTGCACGTACCCGTCTTCATGCTAAGACAAACCGGCTGGTTGACAGTCTATCGTGATCTGAGTTACCGTCCAGTGTGGTAGCAAGCAAGACTCGACCCGCTCGGTGGAGCATGCGGGCAGTGAAATTGACGGGAAATCCCGCAGCCTCATCGATTATGAGGAAGGCCTCTTTCAATTCCGTTCGGCTTAATTCGGCAAGGCGTTCTGGAGCAATAAACTCGAGGCTTCCTTTCTTGCCATAGAGGAGTTTTTGCCGTTTATCGGATGCGCCAGTAGTTCCGAGAAAGCGTCCAGCGGCCCAGAAGAGCTGAGAAGATGCGTCGCTACTTGGAGATGTCACGAGAATGCGGCCACCTGTTCTTTGCAGCAGCACCGCAGCAGCCATTCCAAGAGTTGCAGATTTACCACGGCCACGTCTTCCCGACACCAGCAAGGGTCTGGAGGTTTTTATTCCCAGAATTATCTCAATCAGCTCACGCTGCTCCTCGCTAGGCCGGAGCTGTGCTGATTCCTGATGCAGAGACTGTCCATGCGGCAGCATGTCTGCTATTGTCGAGATTTCTAAGTCCGTCTCCTGGCTCTGGTGAAAGGTGCGGACTTGGCCTTCACCGACCTCAAGCTGCTCCAACAACCTGCACCATCTGGACCCGATTCGCTCAGCTCGCCACTGCTGAAAAGGGGGAGTCTGAAAAATCAGAACTCCACCCCCCTTCAGAGCTCCAGACACAGCTCCAAAAGCATCTAGAAATCTGCGACGATGCGCCGACAGTACTACCGCATCAAGCTCTTGTCCCATCCACGCCCTCTGCGGGGGATCACGAAAATCTGCTCTAAGAATGCGGAAGTTACTATGCACAGTCTTCCACGATTTGAGAATTTGGCTGGTCACATGTTGAGCCCACTTCGGATCCCCAGTTAGCAGCACGAGCTGGCGTGGCCCTCTCGCACGAGCCATGGATGCATGGAATTTTCCGGGGCCACAGGGAAAACCCTGAAAGGAGGCTCTGGAGCAGAAATTCCACGACGCCTCAACTGTGGCTCCCCATGATGCAGGACATGAGGGCATGGTCTAAGGCACCAACGCCACTGACACCGATGGCTGAACTTGACACGACCAGCTTCAGCTGCCTGCACAAACACAAACCTGGAAGATGAGCCTGCGACATCAATCTGCCTCACGCTTCGTGGAACTGCAGCGGCTAGCACTCTCATCCCGACAGCCTTGGTGTACCGGGTGGGATCAGGTGGGTGCTTGCAAGAAAACTGCAAGGAGTTCTCAGCAAGCTACGGTGAAGCGCCAGTCCCGCAGACAAAGCGTAAGGCGCTCCAGCCCTGAGAGGGCGAAGAGGACATGGGCACAAATGGGCACCGATTGACCCGCAAGCATGGGACCTTTGGGCAGGTTGGCCGCAAGCGTGCTGGCTCCATCATCACCGACATCGCGACAGCACAGGTCCAAGCCTCAACAAAACAAAAAAACAGTTCTTGAAGCTCTCGAAGACCGGCTCGCGAACACGAAAAGCCATCATGAGGTGAGGTCGCAAATCGCGCAAGGAGCTTGGCAAAGCCGTGGCTATGCTCCTGCCGATAAGCAATCGGAGTGTGGCCAGCACCGCAAGACAATGCTGGTGCAATGTTACATCTCCTGAGGTCACTCAGGTTCATGTTGAAATCGGCAAGCCGCAGCTGAAGGACAGTTAGGCCATGAAGCGCTGCTGCCAGGGCCTCGGGAGCACGTAACCGGCGGGCCCGCAAGGACGGCTAGCGGCTACCGTGTCCGACCGAGCCTGTGCCAGTGTGCTACCCGCCGTGGGATGCGCCTCATTGGAAGGGCAAAGAAGGCACGGATAAACAGGCCGCCGCCACTGCCACGGGCACGTCTTCGCTCCAGGCGTCCGACCGTGACTTGCAAGTCTAAAGCCAGCTGTTGCAGGCTCTCGGGCAAAGCCTCAGACACTACTCTTACAGTGTCGTCATACAACCGAAATGGCTCGTGCCGCCTTGCAAAGAGCGGTGGCCCCCTGACAAGAAGACCTGTCCGACATTCTTCTGACACACACTGTCGGAATCTCGCGAAACACGTTTGGGTTCGCGACTCGAGCATCAGGTGCAGCTTCTTCAGCCCCGCTGGCAACGCAGATGCCAGCTCCTGAACCCAAATCTCACGAATGCAGCACTGCTTCGAGAGGCAAATGCTATGATGTGGAAGTGCTGTCACACTCTGTTCCTCTGTACCTGTATCCTCCGTTCCGGTGCCCAGCCAAGCCTCACAGCGCCCGAGAATCTTCAAACAAGAACGTTCCAGCTTCGAACGCCAAGCATAAGTAAGATAAGTAAGCTCTTGACAAACGAACGGCCGTGGAACAGCAGGCGAAGTTCCCGTAACCTTGGTGCCAGGTGCGGCGAAAAAAGCCATCAGACCTCCAGAGAATGACAGTAAGATTCGAACCCCGTCACTCTGGCAATTACTCGTGCAACAGCATGGGCATCTCTGCAGCTGAAGGAGTTCAAGTCCTTCGAGCGAGAAAAGGCGCCTTGAGGCTTTGAAAGATTGCTCGGGTCTGAGGTCGTGGCTAGACCAAGCCGTGTGAGATGCTTGGGCGTCACACTGACGAGTTCGGCTAGCACAGAATCGTCCGCAAGAAGACACCTTACAAGCGCCGAGATTTTCACAGATGCTTGATTGAATCTTCGAAATAAGGCGACGGCCCGCCGCGCAAGTTTGCATGAAAAGAATCCAAACACCACCTGCCAAAGAGCTCCAGCATTTCATAGATGTGAACCATAACATGCGATCATGTCCCGAGTCATTTGCGGCAACGCCGCTGACAAGGCGCTGGCAAGACCTTCGGCCAGTCTTGCAATGTCAATTGCACGTGTGCGTGCACATAGCCTGCATGTACACACAAAATGTGTGTAACCATGCATCTATGTATCTGTCTGAGCAGGTACCTATGTACATATGTAAGTAAGCACGTAAGCATGTATGTACGCATGCATGTATGCATGTATGTGCGTATGCATGCATGTATGTATGTTGTCTGGTTGCGTATGTATGTGTTTATGTATGTATGTATGTATGTCGGTCGGTAAGCAGGTAGGTTAGGTAGGTTAAGGTAGGTTAGGCTAGGTAGGTTAGGTAGGTTAGGTCGGCTAGGTCGGCTAGGAGGTGGTGGTGGTGGTGGTGGTGGTGGTGGTGGTGGTGGTGGTGGTGGTGGTGGTGGTGGTGGTGGTGGTGGTGGTGGTGGTGGTGGTGGTGGTGGGGGTGGCGGTAGCGGTAGCGGTAGCGGTAGCAGTAGCAGTAGCAGTAGCAGTAGCAGTAGCAGTAGCAGTAGCAGTAGCAGTAGCAGTAGTAGTAGTAGTAGTAGCAGCAGAAGTAGTAGTAATGATAATAATACAGTATGGTACGCCATGGTACGCCTCTAACACTAACAGTAGTACGGCGTGTATCTTCGTGCAGGCACTTTGATGTATTCTGGAACAGTTATTGATACACAAATCTACAGAAAGTAACACACTACAGACCCCAGTTTTTCATGCCAGTCGGGAGTGACGGATTCAGAGTGTATCCCCCGTACTTGTATAAATCGCCAACTGTCGCAAACTCCTTACGTTTAATGTTCATGTAAAGTTTGCTTCAAACCTGGATATGACCTGTGCAGGTCCACGTGCTTAGCTAACCTATCGAGGCATGCAGCCTACTTTTCAGACAGAGGGTCGGGTGGGGGGGTCGCGCCGGTGGGTCGCGGGTCGCGGGGGGGGGTGCAAAAACAAAAAAAAAACTTCACAAGCAACGGCTGACTTTTTTTTGTTAATTGTTTTTCCCCCCCCCCTGTCCGTCCGTACGTATGCATGTATGCATGTATGCATGTGCATATGTACGTGTCTGTGTACACATGTACGCATGTACGTATGCACTACTATGCATGCGTGCAGTGCATGCATGTGTAGATGGTTGCAGGCGTGCAGGAATTTCATGCGTTCGTGTCAAAAAACCTTCTAACCTCGCAGGGATCCTGCTTTGGGCCTGGGTGTTGAGGTGAGGATTCCCACCTTTCCGCATCCCTAGCCTTCACAAGCAACCCTGTCCCTCAGCGTCGCTCCGAGAAGCCGACTTTGAACTGATTCTGCATGTGTAAAAAAGTGTGTGTATGTATGCATGCATAGATATATATATGTGCGTACCTCATGGATTGGACGTGTGCACAAATTTCTCGGTTGGGACTGGCTTGGACTTGAATTTGCTCGAGTGCTCGTGCCTGACACTGCCTGGGTACGATCTTCACGACTCTCACCCGTGACCTGAGCTGCCCAAGCCACCAAGGTCATATGATTGCCAACGAAGTGATCTTCTGAGATGCATGCTCTCGGCAGTCGCGGCGGGGCGATGTGCACAGAAACCTCCTGTCAGGGCGACAAAACAAGACGTGCTGTCTTTGCGACGTCCGGCCTTCAGCGCCCTGAGCTCACCCCTCATCTGCGCAAGCATCTTCAAGACTGCTTCACTTTCCGCACCGGACGCCAGACCTGCCAGAGAACGTTGTGGCTGCATCGTGCGAAGAACTTGCTAATGATCGTCGAAGGATATGGTTGGCAAGCCAGCTGACTGTAACTTCTTGGCGACTTTCCGCCGGAAAGCAGGATACAGTACGGGAAAAATGTCGACAGCGACACCGCCCGGAACCAAACGATTGGTCCAAAGAAAACAACGCACACTGGTGGTGTGCTGTTTTCTCTGGCTGCTGTGATAGATGTTGGTTAGACATAGTACAAGTAGACGAGAGAAACGCTCATATACGCTCCGGTTAGGGAACATGGGGTTCAGTGTTCGTGGCTCGCGAGTGTGGGGCTTTGGCACACCCTGTATGATTTTGTGACATACTGCAAACGAAAATAAGGCTGAGGAGCACACTGGGCAAGCTCAGCTTGACGAGTAAGTGGGGTGAAATCCTTCAGATTCGCCCGCACTGCTACTGCCGTTGCAAAGCTTAACGCCTTTTGTCCAACAGCCTGGCAAGCTGCTCCATTGCAGCACATCCGCGCGAGAGCGTGACGGAGCCAGCGAGTAAGCGGCCGCGTCTGTCACGTGCACCTGGGACTCCCAGGCAGCAGCAGAAAGATGGCTAGGTTATGCTAGACCCTGCGAATTTGCGCGCAGGGCCTGCCAACGTCTCGGTGCAGCAGGGCACTGACGATGCGGCCTGAGAACCAAGCAGCAAGAGAAGGAAGAAGCTGTAAGTCTCGACACAGGTTTGCACTGCCTCATGGACACTGCAGAAACTTAGCACCTTCAGCCACACCTCGGAAAGCAGCACTCTGAAGGGCTACGTCCTGACCTGCAATGGTCTACCCAGGGCGGGAACCGAGCCGATGCACAGCAAGGTGCCAATTGTTCCGGCATCGACCTGAGCGCCAGACTCAAAATGGCAACCATGTCAGAGTTGTCGAGACACAAACCTGTGGCCTCCAAGCAGCTAAGAGCCGCAGAAGGTGCCTCCAGCGCGTCATGGAGTCATGCAGATATTGTGCTTCCTGGGCAGCTCAGACTTCCAAGAGCCTCATCGTTCTCAACAACCATGGCCTTGCCTCAGAAGCTCACACATGTCTGGCAGGTAAAGTTGCAAAGTGTCCCACCTTCTTCGCCGGCGACGGCGTTTCGCCGACCTGCGTCCTCAATCAAGTTGATTTCGTGGCCCCAAGTGCTCACACAAGAACACTGCCGCAGAGTGCCTGCAGCCATCGACAAAGCAGTTGCCATGCTGTCCAGAAGCAACCCCTGCAACGAAGCAGAGTCGATGCATCCCTTCGCATGCAATGCAAGATGAGGTCGCTGTCCAATTGCAAACAAGGGGCACCGTGCCAGAAATAGGCGCAGGCGTCTCTGTAGACGTTTGGTGAAACAAAGGATCTACACTTGTGTGCTGCCTGGCACACGTATTATTCATGTTGAAACCAGAATGCAGGTGCTGCCCTGCAAAACTTTGCTCCGATTCTGTTGCTGCTCTGCCACCGGATACCTGAGTCAAGGCTTTAGCTTGCAGACTGTAGTCCTCTCTGCTCTGTAGTGCTTGAGCGCAGCACAGTGCTCGAAGAAGACGATGCACTGGATCTCAGCTGAAGCTATTCTAGTTCTTCCGCTCGAGCACGCCGTCGTTCTACGCAAACGGGTCATGCGGCCTGGACGTCCAGCAAGCGGAAGATGTCACAGCCTGTGGAGGCACACACTGTGAAGCGCTACAAGTCGTCGGCTGGTTCAGGGGACAATGCCTCGAATTAGACTCAGACGCAATGGCTCGGCCTCTGTCTTTGTGGGTGAGAAAGACAGTCTTGCTACAACTATCCAATCCTCGATGCATATTTAAAATCTGCCAACCGGTTGGGTTCCGGTTGTCTCCTTTCCAAGCGTGTTGCTGCACAAACGAAAGCTGGTGTCTTGGATCAGGTTGATGGCACCCTGTGCGCCATTCTGTCGGTCCGGAATAACCATTGTTGATAAAAACGCTGATTTCTGAACTCTGGCACAGCTATTTCTCAGGGGCTGCTCCCCTTGTGCTTTGTACCCCACTGCTCGCCCGTTTGTGGTGTTTCCTCTGCGCGACCCCCCGTGCAGCGATGCCTTCGAGATGCCGCAAAGTAATCGAACGCATGATGCTCTCAGCTCATCTTTTGGCCGGTGCAGGCTGTCGACGTTGAGCGGCAGTTCGCTCTCGGCTTGGTCGGCACTAACTAATTGCAGCGTCTGTGTCAAAACAGCCCGGGGCAGCCAGAACCGCCTCTGGACGGGTTGATTTGATGCGTCAGCAATTTCGGTTGTGGTGGGTTGAAGTTGTGAAGATATGCGCCAACACGTCCGTCCGCTGTCCACTGCACCAAAGAACGCAGCATCTGATCTCTCCCGACAAAGGTCCACCCGTTTTGCCTTCTTTTGCCTTCACTACAACGTCAAACTGCGCTGAGCGAGTTGGAGCGGCTAGTGGGGGTCCAGGTCTTGCCTGCGAAATGGCATCGGTATGTGACTCAAACTCCAGTCGCCAGTTCCCGAGACTTAAGCCACATGGTCTCTTCGTTCTGCCTCTGTCTATCTTCGGGCTTGCAAGCGGAGAACTACTACTGCTACCACTGCCACTGCCACTGCCACTGCCACTGCCACTGCCACTACGACTACCACTACCACTACCACTACTATACCACTACCACTACCACTATGCCTACGACTACTGCTACTAAAACTGCTGATACTACGATCACTACTACTACAACTACTATATACCACCACTACTACTACTACTACTACTACTACTACTACTACTACTACTACTACTACTACTACTACTATATACCACCACTAATACTAATACTAGTACTGGTGCTATCACTGTCACTATCATTATCACTGTTATGATAACTATTACGATAACTATTACTATTACTAGTAGTATTACTATTACTATTACTAGCACTAGTACTATGACTGTTACTATTACGTTTACTATTGCTAATACTAATGCTGATACTGATACTATCAGGCGTTTAAATTACTTGTTTGGGCTACTGGACGCTGCAAATTGGTGAGTGTTTTATCGTTTTCCACAAGTTGCATGTTGGCGAACGTTGACCAATCTCTGCATGCCTGGAATCTGATCGCTGCGCCCTAAAGGCTCCAAAAAAGGCAAAGCACACCGCTAGAAAGGAACCTACTAGACATTTGTGCCATTGTGCTAGTGCCCCGGAGCGTGATAGAGCACCACAGCAGCTCAGACCACCACGACAACCAAGACACCACCAAGACTATCAGGAGACCATTCAGAAACCACCATTAGACCATCAGAAGATGCTTGCGGATACAAGGACTTGACCCTCATGCTTTCCCCCCACATACTGGTGGGGTTGAAAAGCACAGCCGAAAATGCTTTGCCCCACTTGCTGGCCGCTTCAAAGACATGGCCATTTTGCTTCCCGATGCAGGACCACAGTGAAAATACTTACCTCCCGTATAGTGGCGGGATTCAGGATCACCGCCTCAGATGCGTGCTGCTAGACGCTGCCCGCAAAGTAATTATGAAAGAGCAAGACTCCCAGATCCACAGATTTGGTTCTGGCTTACAAGAGGAATGGCCAACTGCCTTCCCGACACGGTATGCCAAACAGTTCGGTTATCGTTTCGTTGTCGTTTGCGTTATCGTTCAAGACCACGGCTCAAAAAGAGACAAAACAACATCGGAGTAACGCAATCTGCACACGCTAGCTTCATGGATCGCCCGATACGGGCAGGAAAAGAACTGAAAGCTACAATACTCAGCCAAAGTGCTTAGAAACACGTTAAAACGCTGTACAGTGATACGTCCTCATCACCCATGTAAGCCAGTAGACTTATTTCATATACTCAAAGAATGACCGGTGGCTACTAATATTGATCGCAAACACCGGGTAAGGAATTGTTTTATATGCGGAGAAACACGCATATGGCTCATTTCTTTAAACAAGACGTTATCGTATTTGGTGAGTGTCTTATCGTTTTCCATGCAATCCACATGCTCTCAAACATCAATGTCCCTCCTAGTCTTGGCTGAAGTAACGCTTAAAAAATCGCGCTTCCTGCTTCTATTACTAATACTAGTACTGGTATTAGTACTATTACTTCTATTTTTACAAATACTAATACTCATACTCCTGCTGCTAACGACGACTACTACTACACGAAGACAGCCATTGCCCTTACCACTACGAAGACGAGGACAACTACTGCTACGGCTACTGCGGCGACACGGCTACTATTCTTTTGTTGAGGGGCAGGTGCGGCATGTGTGCATGGAACCTGTGTTGAATCCATAGAAGCCAAGCCAGCTGAAGCCAAGTTTAAGCCGGATCTAACGCGCGGTTGAAACCCTTTTCCAGCGCGCAGACACGGGGTCTGAGCACAGAATCCTTAATGTCAGATAAGCAGCGTCGGATGAGCTGCGCCGTGAAGCCGGAAGTACGAATGACTGACTCGACTCTACTGTTACTGGGTTTAGTGAAACATGAAAACCTCACTTAAACAATTAGGTGCCTTCGTCATCTGGGGACAAATCAAGACTCGGTTTACGGGAATCTATAGGTGGGGGCAAGTGCAATCAGGACTTTGTGATGTGTCCTGGGGGTGGACACGCATTCGGTGACGGTACATTCGGTGACGATACATTCGGTGACGATACATTCGGTGACGCTACATTCGGTGACGAAACTTTCGTTGATGAAGCCTCTGTACGTGATGCCTTCTTGGATTAGTAGAATGTCGATAACATATGTAGTGTCCGAGTCAACCCCAAGTTGCCTGGTGACTCTAATTGAAGATCCCTTGTCTGTGCATTGTATTCTGTATTACGTAATGTTGATGTCCTGGAATACTGTCATCATAGTTTTCCTGTCTCCCCAATAGCAGAAAGGCATCTTTAAATGTCTCTTGCCCCCATGATGCTCTAGGTTTGCCTGGTCTTCTGTACTCATGTCTTGTGGTAAATGTGTATGGTTCAAGAATCACTTGTCTCATAGGGTCGTTATGATTCGTTCGGAGTATGTGGCCCAGCAGTTTAACTTTTCTTTTCTTCCATGACGTCGAAAATTGTGCCATGTCCTTTTTGTAAGTTGTTCGTAACACATCTAACACTTTTTGGTTGGTGTGCGTGCGGTCTATATGGGTCGGAGGGATTTTGAGAATGCGTCGTATTCCTTTCATCTGGAATGAACTTATTTTGGATAAGTCCAGTGCGGTAAGCTGTATGCATTCTAACCCATAAAGTATTTTACTTTTCAAGATACACTCGAAGACTCTGATTTCCATTGTACCGGATTTTGCGCTTGTTCTAAAACAACTTAAGCCTGTGGAATGTCGAAAGTGCATCCGCTATTCTGTTTTGAACCTCTCAGAGGTTGTTTACATCATCCGTTAATAAAGTTCCCAGGTATGTCGCATGATGCTTACGCGGAACAGGTGTGCCGTCAATGTACTTTATGCTGGATTGTTTTTGGTTAAGGGTAAGGTTGATACATTTGTCGTAGTTTAATCGCATGTTGTAATAATCGGATTCTGATTGTATTCCATGCAAAAGTTTGTTGATGGTGTGAGTGTGGGTAAAATATGAGAGCGTCGTCAGCATATAGTATCTCGGCAAATCGCAGACCTTTTATTGGTTCTTGCTGTCTCGGCGTATTCAGCTTTGTCTTTATGTCATGGAACATGGCAGACATTAGAATGATAAATAATCACTGTGATAAAGGACATCCTTATCTTATGCCAGAGTGTTGTTTCCTATTTGCAGATAAATTTTCTTCTGCTCGTATCCTAAACTGCGGATCTTCATACATCTGTTCCACAAGTTTTAGCATTTTTGGTGGGGGCTTTGATCCTGCGTAGGACCTGTAGCAATTTAGGCTGACTTACTTTGTCAAACGCCTTTTCCCTATCTAATAAAACAATCGAGATATTGGAGTGTTGTCGCTCTGCCATATCTAACAAACATCGGGCCAAGAAAATGGCTTGCGCCGTTGACTTGCAAGGTCTGAACCCGTACTGTGTTTGCGCGATCGCATGATCATAAGCAGCTATGAACCTTCCGCGGAGTAAACCTGCAAGGAGTTTATAAAAGACTTGTAGTAGTGCAATCGGTATATGGTTTTGCATGCGTGTGGCGTCTCCGTTTTTGTAAATAGCTGCAATGTTAGCGTGTTTGAAAGACTCCGGGTACTGCTCAGAGGTGATAATGTTATTGTAGAACTTTAGCAGGGAGAGCGTGTTAGTTTCATCAAGCCAGTTTACCAATTCTGCCCTGCATCCATCTGGACCTGGTGCCTTGTTGTTTTTCTGTGCGTTAATAACTGCATCTGGTTCCTGCATGCTGAACAAATCATCTTGCATGATGGACTCACCTTCTATTCGGAAATTAGTTTCTTTGGAGCGATCTAGATTATCATTCTGCGGTTGTGCCCATTGTACTTCTGCGAAATATTTCGCAGCAGCTTCTGCATAGTCTTTTTCCTTGGTGAGATTGCCGTCCTTGTCGCGGTACTGTATAGGTCTTGATTCAATTGTTTTCCTTGCTTGCTTTAATCCATCCCATTTGTATCCATCCCGATCTATTTCTTCAAGCTCCTGTACCAAGGACTTTTCCTTATCTATTGTGGCATGTTTTCGAATCTCCTTTTTGAGTGATTTAGCTTTTTCAAAGCCTCCATTTTCGAGAGCGGTCTGCTTTTCTTCGATGAGCTGCCACGTCTTTTCTGTGAGTCTGTGAGGTAGGGTTTCTTCATGGATACAGGAACCTGTATTAAGCACTTGTCTGCTGCTTTGTGAAAAAAATCCGCAAAACTTTCAAATGCTAGAGCAGGATCCCAGGCGGGTTTGGCTATTTCATCTCGTAATTGCCTTTGGACTTCTGAGTTGTAATTGGCTTGTTGCATGTTATTCGGTTGGTTATGTTATTCGGTTGGTGATATTGCTTTGGCTGCTGATAATCTCAAACCCTAGGTTGCCAAACCCTGAACCCTACACGGAAATGTTGGCTGCAACACCCTAGCTGCCAAACGTCGGTTGCCACACGGGTTGCCGAACTCCAAACCCCAAGAGAAAGTGTCGATTGCCCAACAACCCAACTGAAGAAACTGCCAAATCCTGAGCTTTATCGAAGAAGATGTTAGTTTGCCACACCCTACCCCCCCTACGAGGAAATATTGGCTGCAAAACCTTAACCCCCCCCCCCCCCACATAGATGTCGTTGACACGACCACGAACAGCGTCGAAGCCAAGGCACACAATGGCTCAAGGTGAGGCGAGGATTGAGACGGGCCGGGCACGGCTAGGGTAGCGGAGGGTTCATCGAGGCTCTGTACACTCCTGGAGAGGCAGTAGCCGCAAGGGCCTGTTTTGACATGGGCTAGGTCCACAAAGAGCTGCCATCCGTTGATGCACTAAACATGTGGAACATGTTGGTTGGTTAAGCTTAACCCGAGAAGGAGAAGAAGGTTGCCAAACCTTAAGAGCCTAGAACGAGATTGTGGTTGCCAAACCCCAAACCCTTAAGGAATATGTTGATCGTCAAACCTGAAGCGACGGATGTTGGTTGCCAAGCCCTGAATCTGAAAAAGACATGTTGGTTGCCAAATCCTGAACCCTGAAAGGACATATTGAGCGCAACCTTAAACCTTAAACGGGGATGCCAGTTGCCAAACCCCAATACATGATGGTTGCCGAGCCGTACACTAATCCCTACACGAAGATGTCGGCCCAACGTTGATTGCACCACAAGCTGAGCCGAGCTGTGCGAAGCGCAGCAAAGCCAAGCCCAGCTCCGAGACAAGCCCCCCACAACCCTAAACCCGCAAAAAAGTTGGCCCTTGGCTGCCAAACCTTAAAACCTAAACGGAGATGTCGGTTGGCAAGCCCTAGCCCCGAAAGGGTTTGTCGTGAAGAAGTTGATAGAGTTGATAGTTGCCAAACCTCAAACGACGAAAGCAAATGTTGGTTGCCAAACCGTAAACCCAAAATGCAGATTTGGCTGCCAACCCCTAAACCCTAAAAGAAGATGTTGGTTGCCAAACCTCACACCATAAAAGCAATCGCTGGGTGCCAAACTTTTTGACCCAATAAGAAAGAATGATCGCCACACGGTAAACCCTAGGGTCCGAGAAGAAGATGTTAGTTGGAAGAAGATTTGGTTGAAAAGAGCGACCTGCATGTGGACAGAGAAGACTTGGCTCGACATCCCTTCGAGGTGAATCCGACAAATTATAGTTGTAATCTGCGTAGCGTCACTCATCTCTGTACTCCTCGCCGATCCCGACTGGGAATCTTCACTGATTCACTTACGCTGCAGCAGGAGGCAGTAGACATGAGGGCTTCTTGGAAATCGCGAAAAGCGGCAGTGGTGTGCACTCTGTTGCTCGAATCTGGTCTTTGGAGGAGGTTTCCTCAGCCCTGCGAGTCATTAACAAGTTTCACTGGCAACCCCATCTGGTGCCGCTCCTCAGAGAAGCGTCGACGACTTCTTGGTGGACATGGCTTCGAACCTGGGCTTCAGACATCACAATCACCGTCAGCTGTCTCCTCTTCTTCAGGCCCTGGCTCACGGCGGCACCGGGGGGTTCGACGGGATCACCCTCCATTCAGATACCCTTGCTCCGGTCAGACGGAGTCCTGGCTAGCAACTTCTTCGTCAAGTGGTGCAGTCCCTACCTCATTCGAGACCGACATCGATCGATGGCTGTCGTTACTTAGAAGGCCTGTATTGTCTCGTGTCCATGTGTGAGCCTTTCCAGAGCGACTGCTGCGGCAATCCGCAATCAGTTGGGCCATTCGCAATAGCCAACGCGACAACTGCAGATCTGTCTGGCTGCTGATAATTTTCGTGTCGTGTTGTGCTGATCCCTCTTTGGAAACCTAGCACACTCGGAATTGGTGAAAATGCCCGACCTGCAGGATGCGAGATCTCATTGCAGTTAAGGTGCGAGCCGGCACAAATCAGAGCTTATGTGCACATAGTTTTCAAGCATTTCGGGCTAGGAATGGGATCTTTCCAGTGCTTCACCGAACAAGGTACCTTCATGTTCTTCAGCACATGCCCGACGTGCTGCACAACGTCGGCTTCAAATATACAGTAACCTCCTACTACGTAATAGTACAGCCACAACTATGTGGAGCAACAACGCAGGACCCCAACTTCGATGAGCGAATTTGGACTTGGCCATGGCGTGCAAGTGAGAAGCTTCAAAAGAATCCCTCAGTGAAGAGTTCAAGGTGAAATGCCCCAACATCCGTTTCTGCTGTTTTGCATCAGATGTCCTTGGCCCATGCCAGATGTGCCAGGTTTCAGCTCAAGACTCGCCAAGCGCCCGGCGTGCCGCAAAAAGTCAGGTGTACCAGTACTACAGCACTCGCGACTCTGACTTTCCAGACGGCACTGTGACAGGCCATGTCAGCTGTCCTCCTCCTCATCAGCGTCATGTACAAGCGGAGGAGGCTGTGCAGTTGCCATCATTGCCTAGCGTTGCGAATGGCAGTGTGATGACGTTCAAACACGGAGGCTTCAACAGTTGAATTGCCTGGAGACGCAAGAGCAAACAAGCGACTGGTCTAGCAGCTTGATGTTCTGTCTGTCATTCATGCGGTCGTTCATTCAAATGAGGCCGCAGCACTCGCTCGTGTTTCGTGGTCATCCTCTTCCCCACCAAGATTCAAGTGCCTGATTTTCAAACACTGAGAAACTCTCTTCCGCTGTGCAGGTGGTTACTTCCATGGCGAGCAGAGCCTGTGGACCATGACCTGCTGCTGCATGGCCAGCATCCGCACCTACATCCACTCGAATCAAGCTTGTCCCATCAGAAAACCTTCAGAACATCTCATAGAACCCATGGCCTCCCAGGGAACGGCAGGGAAAAGCGTGGACATAAGTATCCTGGAAGAGTCTAAGGTTGGTTCCGAAACGGAATGTAGCCACGATGGTTTGCAGGACATCCGTGTGCAATGGCGAGGCCTGAATGCAATCATGCAGTGCTCCACGACCAGAAACAGCAGGATCTTGTGGTGGTGACTCCTCACATGAGAAATCAGATGACAGATCAGGCAATGAGAATACCCATGAACTTATCGAGAAGAGGGATAAACGTTGCTCGTCAGGGTGTATGCAATCTCACTCAAGTAGTACACCAGAGACATGTCCTGGACGTGATCTTGCACCCGGACTCGACAAACGATAGTCAGACAGAAGCAAAACCACAGATGCAGGACTTGCGACTCTCTTGTAGGCCTAGGCTGCAGATGGAGTGCTTTGCAGCAAACTTGTCCGATCTGGTCGGCAGAAGCACCGACAACGGGCAAACCGGCAGCACGGAGCACCAAATTGCTGGCCCTGTCTGAATGTTGCAAAAGGTCCCAGCATGGAGACAGTAAGACTTCAACGTCCCGTATGCGTACAGCACAAATGTAGGGCGACAGGACTCTCAGACTTGTGCCGCCTCGCGCTGCTGACGTGTGTTCTTCTGTCCCACATGCTGCACTGCAACTCACTTCCATCTTTTCGGTCCCTGTCTTCGCGAGTTGAAGCTTACGATAAGCTTACTGTACTGACTTTGATTCTGCTCTGAGAGTTGCGCTCGTGGTTTGCTGTTTGCAGCTGGTTAAGAGCAAAAGTGCTGCCAAGGACGCACGCACGCACTCAGGCAGGAAGGCAGGAAGGCAGGCAGGCAGGTTGCAGCACTAGCGGTTGAGTGCAACTGCTACAACACCACATCAAAGGCTAGTACGGAAAGGCGCGGCACCAACACAAAGAACACAACAAAATCTTTTTGCCCACAAATTCTCTGGACGGCTTCTACGATTGTTGGCAGCACCTTGCTCAAGCAACCACATCTGAGCATGAGCATCTGTCAACAGTTCCAGAAGCACGAGCTTTCACTACGACTGCGAAAAACGACTCGTAAAAAAAACTTGGAACCCTTCTAGGGCAAGGCTCCAGCTGACGAAGACGTTCGAAGCAAAGACGACGACAGCAGTGTTCGTAGCCATTGCAATCCTCGTCGGCGCAGGAAGCGGTGTTCGAAGAATCAACGATACTAATGTTGAGCTCGAAACATGCCGAATACATCGAAGGCCGTGTCCCAGGGCTCATTGTTCGAAGCTGGTGATGGGAAAGGCCTGCACAGCTGCGATTCACCTCACGTTGCACCAGCCACCAGCTGGCCATGGTGCCTGCGAAAAAGAAGTACCAGCTTCTTCTGATCCATGAAGCACCTGTTGTCACAAGCAGGCGCTATCCCAAGCGAGACCCCGCACCTTGTCAGCCTTTTGCGACCACATGCGTGCCGTCATGTTCACTTTCACTTTCACTCAGACCAGTCTCCCTCTCTTCGCGCAAGGGCAGCAGGACTTCCCCTTGGACGCAAGTCGTCCGGTCGGCATCTTGAGGTCCTCTCTCTGTCTCTGTGTCTTCCAAGTATGCTGCTGTCGGTGTGACGTCCGACTTGACGTGTGTTGCTGCTGGACTTCCAAGGCTCCCTGTTTCCTTGTACAATTCAAGAACCACTAAGCCGAGAGAAGCTGGGGATCGAACTCCAGAACAAGGCTGATCATTGTGATCAGGGGAATCTGGCATGACCGTCACAATGAGCTAGCAGCCAGCAGGAAGACGACCGAATGAAGGAGCGCACCCACGGACAAGCGACGACAAAGAGCACGGTGTAGCCGTAGAGGATCAACACCTGAGAAAGCACATCTGCGGGTCTGAAGGACGTCGCATTTGCCGCGCTGCCTCATCCATGTCCTGGTACACATCATAATCCTGCAGCTCATTGGCAGAACAGCCAGAATAAACCAGAGACTTGAGATCTTCGAGAAAGCATGCCAGCCTCCTTTTTGCTCTGCTTCTCTGGACTGGATAGATCTGGCCTTGGCAAGCCAGCTCTGCAAGCGCCAAGGAAACTAGCACCACGAACAAGAAACTCAGAGGTAGGCATGATCGTCATCGGATTCCTGACCGATCCAACGGAGTCAGGCTGGCTAAGTAAATGTACGCAAAACAGGCCAGCAATGCGTGAAGAGAGAGGTCTTGAAGGTGTTTCCTGCACGACGCACGTTGTGATGCACGGGCATGCGTCTGTGCTGGTCCACACATCTGCTCAAGAGACATGCCATGTGAACTCATGGGTTTGTACAGGCGAGCCGTGGCTACTTTCTATCAGCAGCCGCCTTCTGTGTACTCTCTGTAATACATGACTGCATACCTCAGGCCGCAACAACTATCAGCAACGTTGTTCAGGAATCGTCTCAGGAGTTGACGGAGCACCCAGTTCGATCATGTTTTGCACGGTCAGCCTGCAGGGTACGGAGGTCGACGACAACTGCTTTAGTCCATACCCATACTGCACCAGGGACATGTTGTACGTAAAGAAGATCCAACACCAGTGCTGTGCGGATCTATACGCACGAATGCAAAAAAAATCGCCTATCAATGAAGTGCTGCACAATGCCAGGCCGCAACCCCGATCAGTGCGAGTTCGATCGTTCGATCCCTGGTGCCTCATGATCATGAAAATTGCAAGCTGTGAGCCCAAGTCGTTGAGACCTGAGCTTGCGCAGCAGACTAAGGAGAAACAACGCTGCATCTTCTCATAGCCGCAGATAGATTTCACACACAGCCTGCTCTGAAAATTCAGAACCAGACAATCGTCGTTGACGCATGTCATTGGCATCCCAAAAAGATAAGAATGCGCCTGTTTTTTCGGACAATCATGCGTTCGGTTGGTGACCATCTGTTGTACGACATCAACATGTCCTTCAAGAAGGCAATATAGTACAGCGACACGTAGCAGTTGATGAACTTGAAAACCACCATCTTGGCCTTGAGCACGCATGATCAAGCAGACACTTCACACAGTTCACTTCGCATGCAAGGCAGTTTAACACAACTGGGGGCGATGCCAGTAGGTGGTTTGCATGTTCTGAATAGGAGCGATGATTCTCCCTGTCCTGCATGATGTCCGGAACATCTCGCACGATCGCAACAGCAGCTGCCAGGGATCCGCAGGCGGCAGCTTGCCCGGTTTGGTTGAACAGAGTCGGAGCCTTTTCCGAAGCCTGGGGGCTGGCTCAAGCACGCTAAGTTGTGAGATGTGGTCTTTTGTACCGGTAATGCGATGGAGTCTGAAAACTGCTCAGCACGAATGTTTCTTGAACGGCGCACTTGATGCCTTTATGCGGCGATGGCTTCCTGCAAGATCACTGTTTTTTGTTTTCCCGTTCACCCGACTTTAGCAAGAACACACTTGCATGGAGAGCAATCACGATGGTGGTCTCAGTAAATTCCGTGAGCGGCGGCCAGGGAGAGCCTGGCAAAAGCACTTTGCAGTTGCCATGCCCGCCTGAACCTGCGAGCGTCAACAATTCCAGTGTGCGTGGCTTTCGGGGCCCAAACCGTGCTACGCCGATCAGCCGATCAACCCTAAACCTTCGACCTGCCTGGCTGATCGACTGATGAGCCGACCGGCTGATTGGCTCGTCGCCTGATGCGCAGTTAACGAACCGACTTTGTGAGCACCATGTTAGATCTCTTGAACTATGAACTCAAGCAGTTGCCATGTCGACACAAACGCGAAGTGTAGAACGAACTTGGAAGGCAAGTTCTTCGGACTTAGGCTGTTTCGATGGTCAGTGGGTTTAATCTCCTTGGATAAAGCAGCAGCGGAGATCTTCCTCTGCTTGGCGACCTCACCCCTCTGTAACGGCACGAACCGGCGGGCCAAATGGTGTATGCTTGTGAAACAGGGGGTTGACTCATCGGCTTGACGTCATTTGATGATGTCTCTCCGCAACCGAGCGGCATATCGCCAGGGGAGCAACAAGGGCGCGAAACGGATTTTGCAAGATTTCGATGGTTTGGGATGTTCTAAAGGTCAGAAGGTGCTTGCGTTCTGAAGCTTCCGTGGCTTCATCAAGCGGCCGGACAAGCTATGGAGTCCAAAGGCTACTGCATGACGTGTACCGAGCCCCGTCGTGAAATGCATTCACGTAGACCCTACCCGCCGCCCCGGCAATGCATGAGCTAGGGCTGCCTCTAAGCGGTGGTAGTGACATCAAAACACAGTGAGTGACGTCCGGGAAACGACCGCCCTCGGAGCAGATGCTGCAAACGACTGCAAGGTCACTTGCGAAGTGTCCGTGAGCCAGTTTGCAAGGCTTGTGAAGAGGGTATTCAACAGCTCCACGATCAGCGCATTGATGACCTCAGAGCAATCCATCATCACGTAAAGAAGCATGAGACTTCCCAAACCAGCCTGGAAAGTGATCCGTCCACCATTCTTGTGGAAAATGTGGCGGAGAACCATGAGAATGCCGACCACGAAAAAGAGAGCGATGAGGGACACCTGTACTTCCATTGCGACGGTATGCAGCTGTCTAAGGCCCGCACATAGCGCCTCTCGGCACGGCTGGCTCCAACCAATGTGCAAAGTGCAAACTGCAGCCCAAAATCCATCTGTGCTCGTTTATGTGGAAGCACGATTCTGCTCTGCTACAGTACACTAGCCAACACTCCCGCTGTCCCAATCAGCACATCAGCAGTGCCACACGCGCCATCTAAACAGCCATGGCACCGTAATCACAGAATAGCTGAAAAGGACTTTCCATATCCGCTCGCTCCACGGGTAGAACCTCTCGGTGTCACGACGGCAAGGCAACGAACCCTTACTGCGACGCAGGAAAGCCTGTCGACTCTGCTGGTGATGGGGTTGATCCGGCTTACCTCAGGGTGTGTTCGAAATGACATCGATTCGGCAAAGCGCACAGCCAGAGTTGGACAGGATTCCGACGCCATAGAATTCTGGTCTGGTTGGTTCAGGCTTCTTTTTCATGGAAAACGTCCCCCACCTCGGCTTTGCAACGGCTGCTGTATGCGCGACTTGAGCGAGGACTGAGCCTAGCACTTCAGAGCATAGAGATTGGACTTTCTTCGCCAGAAGTGTATGAAGGTTGTTGAGAAGAGTCCGACGCCTCGATGGAAGAAACAAAATTGCGTTATATATCTGTTGCTCAACAGCAAAGAAACAACCACAAAGAGAGGAGCTTTCAGGCCAGCGCCGATGCAAAGGAACATCGCCGTCCAGTTGTTGGGCGTCCCCATGAAGAGGTCAAGCACCTGAAAACACTGCCCTCAACAAGGCCCGGCCACTGCACCGTGGCGAAGAGGCAATGCGTCCGTGTGTGATTTAAGTTTTCCAATTTGTGCCCTATGGGCGCCTGCAAGAAACAAACCCTGGGTCCGTATTCCGCAGTGTGATCACCATAAGCGACTCCACGCTGCATGCCCTGTAATCTTTGCGAAACAAACTGGCCCGAGCTGATATTAATATCTGCCTACATTGACACGGTTTGATGCGAAATGAGGAAGAAACGACGCAGGTAAAAACAAAACTAATTACAATGTCTGACCCGATGTCTGGAAGTCGCGGGGGAAAGTCGGCGCCCGCACACAAACAACTCGAACTGAGAAGTGACACATCGGGCGCTGCAAGACACAGTTGTGCTGTGTGTAAAGCATCTTCAAATAGGTCTGGAGCACAAGCGCTCGTGCTCGTGCCGCGTACGGACCTGACTTGTGCAATGCGGCCATGCTTTGCTAAGTCAGACATGGCGGACGGCGTGGCCGCATCAACTTATGTGCAAGTCCTGACAAAACCCAAACCCAAAACTCCAAAAAACATAGACCCTAAGCCGGAAGACCATGAACCCTAAACAACCCCAGGCCTATCCGAGCTTTAAAAATCTTAAACGCCAACCATGCGAACTCTCAACTTGCCCTCAACCCGAGTGTGGGGGCAATGGGTGTAGCACCTCACAGTTGCGCCGGTGCGCCGGTGCACCGCATGCAACTCGGATGCGCCGTTGCGCCGCTGGAACACGGATTCGCCGATGTACCGGTGCGCCGACCCACCACACGGATGCGCCATTGCGCCGTTGCGCCGAGTGCGCCGGCCCACCAAGGATCTTGCCATTGCGCCGACCGCGCCGGCTACGCCGCTTACGCCGGTTGCGCCGGCTACGCCGCTTGCGCCGGCTGCGCAGCTTGTGGAGCCTTGGACTGATGAGGCGCCCTGATTTCAAAATCAGAACTCTTACCACCCTTGAACTCCGAGGATGGAGCCTCGGACTGATGGGGCGCCCCTGATTCTTTTACAAGCAGAACTCTTATCGCTTTTGAACTCCGAGGATGGAGCCTCGGACTGATGGGGCGCCCCTCTTTTAGAATCAGAACTCTTACCACCATTGAACTCCGAGGATGGAGCCTTGGACTGAGTGATGGGCTGCCCCTGAACTCTTATCACCCTTGAACTCCGAGGATGAAGCCTTGGCATGATGGGGCGGCCCTGATTTTAAAACCAGAAGTCTTACCACCCTTGAACTCCGAAGAAGGAGCCTTGGACTGATGGGGTGCCCCTGATTTTGAAATCAGAAATCTTACCACCCTTGAACTCCGAGGATGGAGCCTCGGACTGGTGGGGCGCCCCTGATTTTAAAATCAGAACTCTTATCACCCTTGAACTCCAAGGATGGAGCCTCGGACTGATGGGGCGCCCCTGATTTTAAAATCAGAACTCTTACCACCATCGAACTCCGAAAAAGGAACCTTGGACTGCGCCGGCTACGCCGATTGCGCCGTACTGTGCCGGCTGCGCCGATTGCACCGACTGCGCCGGCTGCGCCGACTGCGCCGGCTGCACCGATTGCGCCGGCTGCGCCGACTGCGCCCACTGCGCCGGCTGTGCCGGTTGCGCCGATTGCGCCGATTGCACCGATTGCGCCGATTGCGCCGGCTGCGCCGATTGCACCGGTGTATGCCGATTGCGCTGACCACGCCGATTATATCGGCAGCTCGCAGGTGCACATGCGCTTGCTGGTGTGCCGGTGCGCGTGTGCCGGGCTGCACCGGCCGGTGCACATGCGTTTGCCGGTGCGCCGGCGTACGTGCGCCGGGCTACGCCGACCGGTGCGCGGTGCGCCGGCGCGCGTGCGCCGGGCTGCGCCGGCCGGTGCGCCGGTGCGCAAACCGAGGTGCTACGCTGTTGGCCCCCGCAATAATACTTAAACCTTAAACCTTGACGAACTCAACCGCAATGAACCCTGAATCCTGACCAATGCTTATGCCAAAAAACCTCAAAAAAAAAACAAGCCCTGAACCTCCAAAAGCCGAAGCCTGAAAACCAAAGTGTTACAAACAGTGCACTGGGCTCTTACAAAGTGTTCTCGTTATGAAAAAAGCTGCACTAAGGGCTGTTTGGTGACGTGCTGTGGCAAGCTGCCAGCACATGCGTATAACGACTAGAAACCGGTTTCAGGCCAAGTTGCATAAACATTTGGCTACTGCTTTGGGTTCATAACTTAGTCAAACTTTAGTCAACCCATTTGATATTTGGTCTTTGGCGAGTCACACGGCAACCCTCAAGTCATCTACCTGTTCAGACATGGAGGCTACGTTGAGATGGTGCCCTTTTCCACAATGTCTCAGCTTGGCGCCGTATCCAATTGCGAGAACCGTCAATAACGTTTCGTTGTCCAGATGGTAAGTAAAATGTTTGGCAATCAACTGTAACCGAACAGATGCTGCGAGAATGGCTGGATGCAATTTGCTTCGGAAAACATCGCCACGCTTATTGCTATCGCCTCCGCTTCTGGAGTTGAGCACGTAACGCAAGACTGCTTGCGAGAAGACAAAAAAACAGGGAATCTGCAAGATCTCGTCTCGACGGCAACATATATTATGTGATGCATCCGCCACATACTCTCCCCTGTGTACAATTCGACCTTTCCACTTTTGTTCATGTGGCGCCAGCTCTTTGTGTTTCACCCGCAATTTCTCAGCTCGGCTACCTTCATTTTCCGGATATTGGCTCTAGCCTGATTCCGAGGGCACTCGAAAGTAATGCGGATGTGTCATCCGGTGCTGTTCGCCTCGAGGCCAACAGCTTCCCCTCTGGACTCTTTCCACGGCAGGTTTTGCAATACCATGCCATGCATTGCCATGCGACACCGGTGTTGCAGAATCATGTTTAAAGAAAGACCTCGCATAAGATTTTAGCCATGCCAACCGGATACTAACCGTCGAATCTATGGCAATCTATGGTGAACCCTGCGGCGTTCTCGCGCACATGCGTGCAAACACACTCCTGCTGGGAAAAGTCGTGTAACAGGCGCACGCACGAGGTACCCACGCACCACGGACTGCGCACGGGATACTGTTCACCCACAACACCTGAAGCAAAACATAGCACAACCATCAACTCGAACCCAAGCCCTCTATGCCTCCAGCAAGGCCTTGGTTCGCCTTGTGAAGGTTCTTCTGCTTACGGCCGTCTCTGTGGATGCTGATGGCTTGCGACTTGTTGACATGCACTCGGCACAGAAAACCGAATGTCAGCACGATTGAATCTTGACACTTGGTCGTGCATTTGCTCTTCATGTTGAGCTTTCCACAGGTCTAGGTCATCAAGACATAGCCTTACGGAGTTGACCCCCAACTTCTGAGCAAACTTGTGCAAACTTGCTGAGGATGGATTCCGCACCGTCGGCATACTCATGAACGTGTTATGGGATGGAAGGCGTATTCTGCAGCATGTCTTGTAGCCCTATTGGTAGTTCTGTCTCGCATGATACAAGCTTCATCGATATCACCCGTCTCTTTAGCGACCACACCAATCACTAGCTCAAGCGGAGGCACAGAATGACGCATGCACAGAGTCACACAGAGAGGCGGACTCCTTTTGGCAGCAAATTCATGTGGCACCTGTCGGAGCTCCCTCGAGCTCCTTGTCCTTCCAATCCGTGCCGATGGGCAAAGGCACAGGGCCGCCCCATCGGCGGCCAACTCCCGCAGCTGCTTTCCACCCTGGGGCGGGCGGGAGGGAAATCGAAAGACCAGGTCAGTTGCCTGGCTACACCAAAACTTGACCACAGCTCAAGGCTTGAACAAGCATGCAAGCATGCCAAGACGCGTGCTGCACTATGCTAGTGATCGTGTTACACGCGGGTAGGCGTGAGTGACCCGACTCCACAACATCTGACTTTCTGGCTTTTTCTGGGACTGCCAGCAATGGGCAGCGCAGCGAGTGCTGAGGATTCAATTGCCAATTGCAATTCGGGCTCGGCAAACTGGGGTATGAAGTTGTCCTTCGAAGATACATTGCGCGACACGGTGGTGTTGGTCCGGACTTTACCACTATAAATCCATAGAAGATTGTGAACTGCAAGCCATAGGAATGTTACTCGCAGCAATGTAGTGGCCGAGGGCTTCAATAGGTTCTCTCCTGACTCTCTTTGTGCTGATCAAGGATGGTTAAAGCTCCGGGGCGACTCGGCGGGCAAAGCTTTACAACTGCATTGGCTAAAGCAGCCGTCGCGCCGTCTTCTGCATCAATGCCGAGTGGTCGGGGCGCACGCGAACCGAAGCAGGAGGAGGAATCTCAACACGATGGCTGCCAGAGCTGCCACTGCTACCATTGGAATTTTTTGGATGACAATCGACTCATCATTATCTGAAAAAGTCCTTCTATCCGCGAATGAATCTGTGACTTCTGTGATTGCTGAGAAATCGTGCTCATCGCCCTTGGGCCACCTACACTGGGACCTACACTTCCGTCCAAGTCCTCGCGCGGTCTTGCGGGCTACTCTGGCACCCCTGCGCCTATTGGCTGCAGCGCATGTAACAGCAGCTCAAGCAAAGAGAAGGTCGCTGACTTGCGTCGGTGATGTGCCGACTTGCACGTTCTCCTACACGGATGAACGCCGAGTGGCGCGACTCTATTTCTGCCAAAATCTCAGGGATCGCTCTGTGCGGGGTGTCAGCAAACTACAACCTAATGGTATCTCCCGTGCCGTTACCGTGGGTTTATCTCAATCCCCAAAGGCCGGTACAGTGGCTTTGAAAGCTGTGAAGATTGCCAGTGCCGTCACAGAGGCTTTATCCCAATCCCCAGTCCGTTACAGTGGCTCTGAAAGGTGCGCGCAAATTTCTTTAGCTAGGCTTCGAAGACCTTTCGGCGCTATGCATGATGATAAGGAGTGTCAACCGTTACCAACACAAGCCGCAACTCTCGGCACACCGGTGGCTTCGAACCACCGCGATGGCAAACCTTACCCTTTGGCCGTATGCTGTTTGGATCTTTGGCGGATTGTTGTTTACTCCAACGGCGGGATGCCGTCAGGAGGGCACTGAAGCTCTCAAACCAGAATCCTCAACTTAGGAACAAAAGAGTACTGGGATTGCAGGAGATGCCTTCGATGTTGTTGGGAGGGTAAGAGCACACGGTGCAACAACAGTTCTCGCTGCCGATGTTAATGACTGCTGAAAAGGAGTCAACCCTTTCACAAACATTCAACAGAACACCCTCAATCGTTGTTGATAGTTCTGGGGCTGTTGGGCAGGTGAACCTCCTAGTTAACAACGCGTGGACAAGCCAGCAGCACCGCACTAAGGACGCAACCTGCCTATCAACCCTCGCTACGTTCCAAGCAATGCCAAGTACGTTTATTGTGGTTGATACAAGTTTGTTCTGCCCCTTCTTAAAAACCTCGACACAAGCGGAACTCGACGCAGCGCACGGCCGTGGGTTAAGGATAAAACATCGGAATCCCTAAATCTATTACGTCATCAGCGTAGTGATGTTGAGTGAAGCGATGGACACGACGAAGGTGGTAGGAAAGTCTGCGATACGATACCAGGATCTTGTCAGTTTCTTCAACACCCTCCTCCAACCAAGATTCACTCTAAGCCACCTTTGCCTTCTTGCCCGGTACCTTGGCAATAAGCGGCGAAAGATGGCGATCCTGATGTCCAATTTCGTGGTATCAATTCACAATCCGGCTTTCAGTGCTGTGTACCAGGTGCGATAGCCTTCCTGTGGCGGTTCTTGCGGTCTCGAGTCTGGGGCCCACGATGTACACCAAGGCTACGGCACCCTAGCCAATCTCAAACGAAACCATTGACGAAGTGTCAACATTTATTTCAATAATCCTCGACCCTGCTTGTCGATGGATACTCTTCTCAAGACTTGCACAAATCTAGACCACAGGATCATCGGATATCACCGATTGATTGATGAAGATGCGGGTAACCCGTTTGTCACGCAAACCCTTGAGAAGCCGAGCCCAGATATGGAGATACGTAATTTATCCGCCGAGGCCACAGGCCCAGGCGTCTTGGTGGTTACCTGCAGTCCAAAATGTTTCGTGACACCCGTTTTTTGCGTTCGTTTGCAACCCCCTTGTCCGGCTTCCCTTCATTTTACCTGATTTGTCGGCCTGCCCCCCCCTCCCAGGGCCCCCTCCCCCCCTCCGCCCCCCTCCTCCTCCCCTCCCCCCTCCCCGCTCCCCCCCCTCCCCCTCCCCCCCGTCCCCCCCCTCCCCCTGTGCGTCCTGGCTTGTGGCCCTTGCTTCCTTCCACTGCTTTTCCTTCTTTCCAGGTTCCTTCCGTCGCCGTCGTAAGGCCGGAAGATGGCGCTCGCACAATCACGCTCACCCGTTTCGAGGTTGGGGTTGAGAGGCCCGCCTAGCATGCTGTATGCAACATCCACTACCGCCTCGCCCTGCCGCTACAGAGCCGAGGCGGGCGGCGTAGCGTTAAAATTGTGATGTTGCTCTACCTAGCCTACCCACGGAGCTGTAACAGTGCAAGGTAGGTCACCTTCTGGACCTGTGCGTGGCGATTACAAACGCAACACCTAAGGGCAAGTGATGGCAAGTGGAGCTATACGTATGGACGGCGAGGGGCTCAGCCGGAGGATCTAGCCCCCCTAACCACTGACAATATGAATAGCGACTAGTGAGCTGAGGCCGTTAACCAGAAAAGCGTGAGGCCAACGTGTGTTCTAGCAACGAGGTGTTACAGACAGTGCACAACACAACTGTTTTGATTGAGCCCAATATCCTGTGTTACATCTTTGGTCTGTCATGGTCCGCCCTCACTTGTGTACACTCTACGGGTCGGCGGGCCTGGTTCCTGAATTCTGGTGCCGAAATTTGTCGTTGCACTTTCTGATTTTCCTAAGTCTCTGGATTCCGTGCCCGAGTTGCTTGCTCGTTTCATGAATGCGTCTACGTTCCTCCTCTGCGATGTTTCTTCAAATTGGAAGGACTCCTTACTGTGCCTTACTGTCGCCTCTATTCGGCTTTGGCTGGCATTGTCCTTGGAACGAATGACGCCGCTTGAAACTAGAACCCCGGCCTGCTCACCGACAAGTCTACGCAGAAATTTCCGGTTGGAGCCTATTCAAGTCAGACGTGAAAGAAAGGTAGGGTCAGATCTCTTGGAATCCACACGGATAAGACAAATTCAACCAAGCAGAGACTCTGGTGTCGTTTTGGAATGAAGCCCCTGAGGCTGGCACGCAGCAGAAGCAGCCGATTAAAGTCGGTATCACCATCCATTTGATGAAGTGAGACCTCGCAATTAAAGGCTGCATGTCGCAACTGCCAATGTCGCAGCAAAAGTCGTGAGTCAGTGACTAAGGAGGCCACATGAAAAGGAAGTACAGCGCAATGCGCTCACCGAAATAGTCCCTGACCTCGAGCCACGGAGTTGTTGCAAGACTTGTGAAACGAGCATCGCAAAAGCCTTGTAGATGTTGCGTCCGATGACGAAGGTCTTGAACCAATCTTTGTCCATGTCCTGCAGCTTTCCTGCAGAAGCGGAGAAAGCATGGTCACCTAGTCAGACCTAGTCTACGATGCGACTGTCGGCCTTGCTCGTGTAGCGGGAAGTAGTGGATCAGGTCGCCACTTAGATACAGTGCTCACTGCTGGATGCTGCTGCGAAAGCCGTTCGTCACGGGAACAACCTCGCAGCCTTGGGCAGCGGCTCGTGCAACAGCTGCCCAACATCAATGCCAGCGCAGCTTCGATCACCACTGCGCACCTTCCGTGCACCACACGGATCTGCACAGCTGCACAGACACTGATGTGCAAGCGTGTCCAAGTCGTTGGCAATGTGATCGATGAGACGTAGCCGATCCACCGTGCGGAAGATTGCATCTCAGCAAAGAGCTTTTGCAAGGGGAAAAACCCTCATCATCCCTTGTCTGGTCTTCGTGCCTTTTTGCGGGTAGTCTCCCTCCTTCTCCTTGTCGGCATGCGTCTCGTACAAGTGCGAAACCTGCAAACAAAAACACGCACGCAAAAGCATAAAACTCGAACTGCTCCCGACAGCTGAGAGCTGTGCAACGCAGCGGTCACGATAATTCATATCACGTCTGCCTGGCAGTCAACAGATTTAGCATGAGTTTGCATGCCCTTTCGGAAGGTCTCTTGAATGCTGTGGCAGAGTCCATCTGTAAGGCTGGAACCTGCGTAGTCGTTTTTGTAATCCGCAAATGCCGACAAATACTGCCTTAAAACTTGGCGTGCAGCTAGCTGTCAAGAACCCCATGTGCTTTGCCACAGTTTTCCAGCACAGGGTTTCGTGCGGCTTCAACTCCAGTTGATACCGAATCATCTCTGCAACCTGAGTCGGACAGGAAGAGTCTTGCACAAACGTCCTGCGAAGGCTCAAGCACGGACCTGCCGAAGATGCTGTGGATCAGCAGCCATTCGAACCTGATCGGCACCGTGCAGGACAGGCCCAGCCTGCCCACCCCATCCAAATTAGCAGCAGGCGAAGATTTCGTCACGATCTCGCGAGTAGTACAGCATCAAGACCTGAGTTGATACTTGTCCGGCTACATCCCAGACACCCCAGGCTTGCTGTTTCCTTGGCATCTGCAGGCTCAGTGTGTTGCCAGCCCTGTGTCGCTCAAAGTATGGATCACGGTGTTGCGCTTGGCCTTCCGACCGCACGACACAGCATGTAAGCTGCAACATCCAAGGCTCAATTCACTGTGTGCCTTCCAGGATTCCATCTGACGAATCTGATCCTCTGTTGGCTGTCGTAGCCCACGAGCTTCCTGGCCACAACGTGTGTCTGATCACATGTTTTTCAACCCTCTTAGTCAGTTAGTGATCAGTTTGCATTCTCGCACCTCTTCTGCCGCAGCATCGCCCCAACGAAGATGCGCGTTGGTCTGCGGGGCTTCCGGCTTCGATGCAGCTTCGGAGTGTCAGCTTCGGCACGGTCCACAAGCACAACTTTTCCCGAAGCATCACGACGTTGGTCCACTGTGGAGATAAAGTACATCGTAGTGCCTCCAGCGCGAGTTGCAACGCTGCATCAACCAGATAAAAGGAATACACTGGCAACTCATCTTAGGTCATTGCCCAGGACGGTAGAGCAAGTACACAGGCGAAAACGGAAGGCTTGTGTCATGTGCCTCGACAGTTGGCACTCCATGACTTCTTGATCCAAATCTGAGAGATGACATGCAAGGCCGACAAACCCATGTTCGGCAGCAGCCGCGCCAGCAGATCGGTCCAAGTAAACAACAGTGACCTAGGCTTTGCACTGCCCATAGGCTTGGGACTCATGCATGGTCCTGCGCTGGGGCTGTTCTCGGCAACACTTCAACGACTTAAACCCTCCAAAACTAACACCAATCTCGCCTCGCTGTCTCTCCGGAGGAGACAGGCCACCCCTGGTGCCCCAACGATTCTATGCCTCCGACTCCTCAGGCACCGGCAGGCACTGACAGATGCGCCGAAAGTGCAAGTATCTGGAGATGATCTGCTTCAGTGTTCATTGGATCCACCTGTCTGCGCAGCAAAGTCTGAGCCACTGAAGACATCCTGATTCGAACTTATTGGTTGATTACGCACACATGAAGAAAAACAGACCATGCATAACCACGCCAATCACTCACGATAGCCTCACATCAGAATGGCACACAGAGCTTATGCAACACTGTATCAATGCAAATGTCGATAAGAATCTGCCTCCTGCGCGCAGAATTGATGGATAGACGAGTGCGATGTCAGGAACCCACCAAGCTCCTGCAATCACCCTTTTCGCAGCGTGCAAACTGGTGCGACCTGCTCTCACGTTTCGACCGTTTTCGCCTCTGCTCGCTGTTTCAGAGAAGCTGACCTCACTTGAAAAGCGGCCGGACAGCTTCACGACACATACATCCTATCTGCTGACATGCTTCGTAAGGACTCGAGTCCAACAAACAAGAGCATCGCTGCTCTCCTCCATAACAGCCTGGTTTGCTGACATTGACGCCGCACACTGATAGTTCTGTCGTAGACATCGCGTGGCCGGGCCACCAGGCCTCTGCAGTAGAGCCATCGCCAAGTCGCTCGATGCTTGCCATGAACTCCTCGTGGAAATCTTCGATGGCAACCTACGATTGGACAATGGTGGCAAAGGCAGGGCCAGCTTCAAATCATCGGCTGTGCCTTCTCGTAGCCTGCCCCAATGCAGAAATCTAATGCCCCCTTCAGGTGGCTGGCAAAAGCGGCAAGTCGCTCCTGCGCCAAACATTGGCTTTGCCATGCACAAACATGCATCGGAACGCATCCTTGTTGCCAGCCAACTGCTCGAAGATGCCAAAAAGATAAGCCAGGTAGAAGCCTCAAGTCATTACAAAGCACAGGAGAGATGAACACAACACAAGCTGCCTAAAGCTCCAAGAAGCTTCGCATAGCTTCGCACAGCTTCGCTGCTTGCTCGCAACACTCCCAAACAAAGACCGAGGAGCAGTTTCCATCAGGGGAAGTTCTGCCTTTTGCACACAGATGCAAATCTCATCAACCTGCTCTATGACATGGGAAAGGTTAGGAAAGGAGCCGACGAAAGCTCGAGAACCTTTCTTCCAAGCTCTTCACCTACGAGGGAAACAGGGTCATGTCTCGTTAACAGTGCAGCGATATAGGTATCACTGTATCACTGAATCACTGGCAGGCTCTCTGCCGTGGCCTTTGCAAGGAAAGCCGGATTTTCGGCATATTCTGCCTGGATCGACATGGGCCGATGGGTGGCCAAGCCTTGGCCCCTTTTGACACGTCTCGCCTCGAGCTCGGTCAGAGGAGCCGAAGGTCCGACCAAACGAGCCCTCGCCTGCACCTCTGCCCACCAGCAGTAGCTGCGTAGCTAACTTTGCACTTTTGGACTTGGAAAACGGGCCCTCGCGGGGCCTGGTCCATAGCACAGGAGGCACACCGTTTCTGTGTTGCAGTGCTTCGATCGACCAAAATCTGAGCTACACTGTCTGTTTTGACAAGGGATGAGTTGCTCAATGTTCATCACGGCTTGCACTCAAGACTCTTGGTGAACTCGTTGCTACAAAAGAGCCAGTGGGCAAACACAGCGCCGTCGATTCAAAGGTGTGACTTCTGCAGCAGTTTTGCCGCAGGTGGAAGGCAACTGGGAAGCCGGGACCTTGTAAGGGAAAACCATCACCACATCTGAAGGCGGGAGCTTTCTCTGCGTCTGCGGCATGGGCTGCCTAACAAGCTGGGGCATGTACCATGAACGGCGAGCTGAAGAAAGGAGACTCCGAGCCCGCAACCCGGCAACTGGAATGTAGCCTGGCTGCATGGCAGTACGAGCTTGTTTGTGGCGCGTTGGTCGAGATAGCCGATCAGCGGGAACCCAATGCACTTGCTGACTGAAGAGCAGCTGCTCCCGTCTTGCTTGCCAAACGTCTTGCTTGCCTCCCGGACGCTGTGCTTCCTCCTCTTCATCCACATCTTCTTGAATGCCACCTGCATGTGGTCTTTCCTGCAAGACGGTTACTCCATATTACTCCTTTGAGAAACAATGCGTGCACCGGTGATCACACGACGAATTCACTGTGCCTGCCGCGGCTTGTAGCTGTCCTGCTGGAGTAACTCCCGTGTCCTCATTTGTAAGTATGTGTATGTGTAAGTTCATGACAATCAAAAGCGGCAACTCGCAAGGGACAACAACGGTGAAGGGCCCGACGAGTGGTCTCGAACAAACGGCATTACCAACAGCGCACCTTAGCAGGCCACCTCAGGAACGTGACAGCACATGTTCGTGCGGCTGCGGCTACAACTGTCCAACTAAGGTCGAAGCAAAGAAACGAACGTAGCACCTATGTATAGCCTAGATACAGCTGCACCGATGCGAATAGTCAATTACCTGCTCAGCGGTTTGGTGCTTGGCATCTTGATATGCTTTGCTACTTCGGTCAGTGCTTGAGCTGAAAACGCCTCAAATCTGCATGAGGTTCCGTGGTCCCGCCAACTTGACAAAAAAGTGCAGACATGATGGCACGCAGATGCGGTTTTCCACAAGCTGCAGCACACAGCCTGGTTGTAAATTCACGAGTGCTTTAATTTGGAAATATGCATTGTAGTTCCGGTATGATGAAGCTCAACGGTCAGGAAGCTTGTAGGGCAGGAGAGAAGATCCAGGGAGCGTGTCAATCGGCATGTGGCCTTTCAGCATCTCGGAATAAAAGATCAGTCTTCATCTTCTCACAGATCGAGCCTGCTCAGTTCGGAAGAAGGGCGTCCATATATTTGAGCTGCAAGGCCTCCAAGCTGCATGGCAGCGCATGGCTGCGCTTAGCCGGCTGTCACAGCAGAGCAAGGTACGAGCGCCGCAAGAGCACCAGAGCCTCTGTCTCGCTCTGGCCTTGGCCTCGACTGTCCGAGCCTGCAGAGCCGCGAATGAAGCGAAGCCAGGAACCCCGGACCGCAGACCAGGTGCAATCCTCAGTCTCCTCACGATTCCCGAACACACTTGGGCGGCTGCTCTCGTGAAGCTCGAGTTTCTTGCCCTCCTAGGCCCACAGTTACAGGGACACGGCCATGCGAGTTTATCTTTGATAAAAGCTCGATCTTTGTGTCTCCCCGTCCTGTGAATGCTGGGATGGTGCCCGCTTGCCTGCTCAGGTCATCAAACTGACCTCGCCGCACCGGAAACACAGATTGGACTGGGCATGCGTGGCTTCAAGCTCAAGGAATAGAGGTCTGGCATAGATGGAAAGAGCCTACGCAAGGTTTGCTATGCTTACAGGCTTGAGCTGTCAGCATCGCGGTTCAGAATGTCAAGACCGTTCTACTCTTTGATGCAGCAACCACTCACTTGCAAGGACTGCACAACCAAACCGGGTAGGCCTGGGGCATAACTAATGGCCAGCACGAAATACAAGCAGTAACAGACCAGTGGCCTTCCGGCGAATCCAAGGCAACGAAGAAACGAGCAGACTGGTCATGGATCAGCCTGGCGAGCTTGCGCGAAAAGGCGCAAGAAAAAATCTCTCAGCCCAGCCGTCCTTCGCAGAGTCCGGATGCCGAGCGCAAGCTCGCAAAGCAAAAGAGCAAGCCGCACGATCCAGCATGCCTTCAGACTTCACGCACTCCGAACTAACATATTGGGAGCCCTCCCTTTGCTGCCTGCTCCATTGGCAGAATGCAAGGCAATTCCGGAGCCTCAGCAATGCTTGTATCAGCTCCTCTTCATCATCATGCGTTGAGCTGAGTGACTGATGACTAGTGCAACACAGGGGCGAAGCTGCAGTTGGCAGGTTGCAGGGACTCAAGAATCTCGCCTTTGAAATTGACAGTCAATAACGTTCGAGTTCTGCATGGCGCTTGGAGCAACCAAGGTACAAAGGACCAGCTCTGTCAGGAGAATTGCCACACATCTGAGCCGGCCCACAACGGAAAGGCCACAAATGGACACACATGCGCCATATGTCGGGATGCCACCCCATGCACAGGAAAACGAAGAGAAAGAGCTCTGGCACCTGTACAGATGACCGTGCATTCTTCCACATCGATCACATGCTCACACCGACTCGCACCTTCTCGCCCAAATTACCAGCAAAACCGAGGTAGAGGCGGCAAGGCTCCAGAACGAAGCAAAGCAAATAGTTGATGCTGTCATCATCCGCGGGTTACAGTACTCCGGCTGAAAACAAGACATGGCAGGGAACCACAACATTGCAACGACGACGGTTCCTTGAATCCTGCACGGGAATCCGACGCAGGAAAACCAGAACGTGTACCAGTCATGCGCTCCATCGATGCTTGGCCCAACCAGCAATCACCTGACGCAAGTGAGCACAGTAAACACAAGAACAGTCTCCACCCAAGCTGTGCCTCAAGCACAGCGAAGAGGAAATCGAACCAAGCTCCGAACTGCAAAAACACCTGTCGTGTCTGGACGAGTCCAAAAAAAGATTACAAAAAGCTAATAAGTGAAACATTGCCTGCAACCGGATGTTTGTGGATACACTTTTGTCCAACACCTTGTGCAACAAGCCGGCGTACACGGCAAATCATGGATGACATGAAGGGCACACCATTGGAATCCGCTCCTCTGACCGGCCTGCGAAAGGGGCGCCAAATGCCTTTTTCCAAGCACTGCCGGCATACCGACCTTCCCTTCCTTGCACGCGTTGCATCTGAGCCTTGCAGAGAAAGAGATAAGCAGACATTGACAAACAAATCCTTTGAACGAACCGAACATGGCCTTCAAATGCTCGAACCTGCACCTTCTGAATGGGCGCGTCGTTTCATAGCAAGCATTGCTTGTTCACACAACCGGACTAAACAAAACTTACAGTACAACAACACGGATGAACTAATGTTGGACGGTAGCTATCACACATTTTGAACATTCGCATGATGGGTGGGGCGGAATGCAACATTAACAAACATGTTGGGCATCTGCACTGGTAGTTTCGGGTGATTTTCAGCACACCGTGCTCGAGCCGAGCGGCAACGCTGGACGTGCCAACAAGTGCCAAAAGTATCGGCACGATAAACAAAAAAACAAAAAAACAACAACATAAAAATTATATGCACAACATACAATAACATGTCTGATGTTGGTAGGTAACTTATGGTTATGACTATGACGAATTGCAACACAGTGGGTGAAAACAACGTGTTTCGGAAGTTCCTGAGCGGGGCTCCGCATCAACCTCTTTTGTTGGTTTGGTTTCGTGACATGGCGACCACGACGCGAAAGCGCGAAATTCTTGCGAAAACCTGATTCTTGCACAGCACGAAAAAGCAAAAGAATGCGAACTGAATCCTAAACAGCAGCGTATCTCAAGTTCTGCTACGAAAATCGCTGCACTACAACCAAATCTGAAACCCCAAGCCCAAGAAAGGAAAATGCGAAAAAGGACTAACGCACTTTTTCGTGGGATGCTAGGCACCACCCCACCCAAAATTCGACGGACGAGGAGGTCGGAATGCGTGAGCGAAAGCCTCGGGACCTAGAAGACGACCAACTGAACAAGTTCGAGCTAATTGTTGCGCGTCGACCGCAAAATGTGTAACTTTACCTCGCGTTTGGGCGCTCGACCAGGCCAATCCCTGTGAAGGATTGCGTGCGGCGCCTAACATGTGTAACTTTACCTGACGTTTGGACGCTCGACCAAGCCAATCCCTGTGAAGGGTTGCGCGGGAAAGTTAAAATGCAAGACCCTGAGCGTTCACGCTTTTCCTGCTTAAGCCTAAAGCGCTGCATAGTTATTCTATACATTCTATGTGCCGTAGCCTAGGCTCTCCAAAGGTGTGGGCGTTCTATGTACAAATCTTAACACCCTGCCTCGAAGTCCTTGTGCTGTACTGCTGCAACGGTCCACGGTCGGGCAAACCTCCTGCCCTGGCTCCGCGCAACCCTCCTAGCTGTTTTGACCTTCCCCCAATTATGGGGTTTGTCAGACCGTCCATACACTGGCATCCGTACAGTAACAAGTACTTCGTCCTAGTGAAACAAAAACACTGTCGCTCTTTCCTTTTGAGCTTCTGCCTTTCCGGTCTTTGTGTGAAGCTTTTTCTATGTCTCCGGCCTACATTCACTGCTGATCCTCAACGGTGTACTCGATGTAGGTCTTACGGATATCCAGGTGACCATTCTCGTTACGCGAAAGGTCCCTCAGAACGGCGTTCCGTACTATCTGGGGTACCGGCTTTCGGTTCCTCGTCTGCTTCTTTTTCTGCCCGTTCGCAGTAGGCTTCGTAAGATTCCTGGCATTCATCCGGCATGACCATGTTCCCCATTTCTTCCATGGTTACCATCTTTCCACGAAACTGAATCATCTCCGGATTTTCCTCCTGGTCTTTTCCGGATACTACTCGGCTTCCGATCCTAAAGTCCTCTTCGCTTATGATCGGCATCTTTCTTCCGCGTCCGGTATCTTCTTCCTTTTCAGATCGTACACTGCTGCGGCTTCCGTCTGTACGCACGATATCTGGCATCGCTGCTTTTCCACGCCTACGTACTGTTCCTGATCCTATTCCTCGGCGCTGTACACTGGGATTCCATCCATGGTCTCCATCTCCAGATCCATGGGCTTCTTGTTCAGGTGCTTCCTGTGCTGCGGGTGCTTCGGTAGCTTGGTCGTAGTCGTAGACCTTCTTCCACTTGGTCGTAGCGTACTCCGCTATGCAACTCTCGCATGCACACCAAGTATGGTTTGGTTTCTGACGCACGCATTGTTTCTCATCGCACCAGTAGCATTTCTTCTGGCAGCTCGTCCTCCATACTGCCTCCGCTGAGAATTCCATGACTTCCCATTCATCACTGTCTTCACTCCGTGGTTCCATTCTGGCTCTTCCCCCTCCTTAGTTGCTTTGAAATACTCCAGGACGGGTCTCTGGGAAACATACATAGCAGTGCCGAAATCCTTCGGCTAATGCCTGTTCTTTATCCTTCCATTCGAACCTTCCGAATTTTGCTTCACCTTGAACGTGATAGCAAGTAGGTTTGACAAACACTTTGTTCCGGGACGCTGTTGATACTTTCACCTTTCCTAGCCCATAGGCCAGGTTCAGCATCCTGATCACTTTCTTGCACAAGCTCCACAAGTCGGGGCTTGACAGCAACATGACGCAGACAATCATTACCACTTCGAACATACTGAATGTTTTCTCCTCCATACTGTCCGTGCTTCTTCCACGGGATCCGTTGGCTTCCTGATTCCCTTCGAGCCAAACTGCAGTAGTCGGTTTCAGCAAGTGGAATATCTGAATTGCTCTGATGAGGTTCTTGATCTGACCACTTCCGACATACTCTTTCTCTTTTCCTGTTCATACTTCTCGTACTCTTTTTCTCCCGTGTACTCTATACTTCCATCCTCGATATACTCCACTTGTAACAAATGATACAGTAGGATCAGTAGGAATGACCTTCGGGCATACGACAACTTCTTAGTATTCAGATCCGCAACGTTCAATGCAGTCGTTACTGTTCCAAGCTTTACAAGATTGTCACGTGCCCAATCTTGCAGTTCACATAGCCTTACATCCACATGCTTCAGTCGTCCAACTCCTCTACGCTATGTCCATTGTCTAGCAGAACAAGAATCGCATCTGATCTCCACTCGTATGGGGATGTCAATTAGCAACTCAAATAATCTTCCGACAAATACAGCTTCTCCGCATGTTCTACTCAATGCGAACAATTCTGCTTCACAGCTTGATGATGAGGTTGCTTTCTGTGTCCTTGAAAATGGTAGAACTTGTACTCCATTCAGTACAATGATGAGAGACTCTTTCTTCGGGCTTTTTTTGGCGTGAACGTCACAGCGGCTGCTGCGCTCGGTTCCTAGAAGAAACATGGAGAGAAGTAATCAACAATTGTACAAAGCGAGACAAAGTGGCTGCGACACAGACTCAGCCAGCAAAGTCGTTCAGCAAAGACCAATTCTCGCTTCCCGCAACACTGGTCGCGCAATGGTTCGTACTTCAATAGCTGTCATCCTCTGGGCTGCGAAACACTGCTGCAGTGGAGGCGGAAGCGAATTCATTTAGCAACATGCACAAGGAGTTCTTTCAGCTTGTCTCAAAGAACCTGCTGATGTATAGCGGTTGCTGTGGTTGCTGTGGTTTGCTGTGGTTTGCTGTGGTTTTGGGTTGACTTCACTCAAGGAGAGCCGATGAAAAACCCGATGCCCATCATGATGTTTTGCTCATGATGCAGCTCATGATGCTTTGCTCATGATGCAGCTCATGATGCTCAAAATCATCTTGGGAAGTGCCACTTCCGAGTTCACTTCCGAAACTAAGCCCTGTAAAGTTAGGGTTGCCTGTCATGACTTCCTTGCATATGTCCTCAAGCAAGTTACTTGCAGTTCAAGTGAACTGCAAATCCATACTTGGAGGTTTATGAATAGGGAAATCCATGCTTGGAGGTTTATGAGTAGGGTAACTATACTTATAACAATACTATACTTATAAACCTCCAAGTATGGATTTGCAGTTCACTACCCCTGAACTTCCAAGTGAGGACTTCCAGAGTTGGTACGAGGACCAGGAGCTCGGTTCTTTCCTTTAAAGGGATCTAGGGTTTAGGATTTTCGGGTTTAGGGTAAGGGTTTAGGGTTTAGGATTTTCGGGTTTAGGGTTTAGGATTTTAAGGGTTTAGGGTTTAGGATTTTAAGGGTTTAGGGTTTAGGATTTTCGGGTTTTTAAGGGATCTAGGGTTTAGGATTTTCGGGTTTAGGGATTTTAAGGGTTTAAGGTGCAAATCCATACTTGGAGGTTTATGAGTAGGGTAACTATACTTATAACAATGCTATACTTATAAACCTCCAAGTATGGATTTGCAGTTCACTACCCCTGAACTTCCAAGTGAGGCCTTCCAGAGTTGGTACGAGGACCAGGCGCTCGGTTCTCTCCTTTAAAGGGATCTAGGGTTTAGGATTTTCGGGTTTAGGGTTTAGGATTTTAAGGGTTTAGGATTTTCGGGTTTAGGGATTTTAAGGGATCTAGGGTTTAGGATTTTCGGGTTTAGGGATTTTAAGGGTTTAGGGTTTAGGATTTTAGGGTTTAGGAACTTTTACACCTCACTGAGGCCGGAATCATCGACATCAGTTTCCACATTCAGGGTGTTGGATTTAACGGTCCTCTTTCAATCGGGATAGTTGGGCAGACGTTCCGGAATCCACCTTACGACTCAACCGATTTTCCATCGGACTTGTAGTGTGCATGTGAATAACTGCTAATCAACAATGTCTCCTCTTATATAACTGTAGCATACCCCAAAGCCTTAGTCTAATTCCTCAGGCCGCTAGTTGATTAGCAGTTATTCACATGTACACTGCAAGTTTTGGGTGGAGCAAAAAGGCCGACACTCGCAGCACTGGTTCTAGCATCAGCGCTGCCACCGGGTCTCCAGCAGTGCAGCTGGTTCAAAAGCCAGAATGTCCAGTGCACAACAAAGTATCCTAAGTAAATGTAGGAGATCCTTCTAGACACCGGCGTTTAATAGGATGCTTTCACCGCTATTGCTGTCGACATCTTCGGATAAAACCCAAGAGCTTGTGCCCTAATATCCCTCAAACTTCAGCCAACAAATTCTGCATTTCCAGGCGCTGTCCTCGGACATCAGCGGATGCACATGCGAGGCCATCGGACCTTTGAGTTCCAAGGGTGTAGGGGAGCGGGCCTTACAGGTAATATGGGCGTTAATTGGGGAGCGGGCTTGAAGGTAATATGGGCGTTAATGGCTAGCGTAGCTTGGTTGTTGTATCGCTTGTTTGCGAGTGCTGCAACACCCAACAACTGAACCCGCGGAGTCGAAACTGTCTGCGGCTGCGTGGTTCCTGGACCCTTAGGCCCTAGAGGCCCTTTCCTGCTGCTCGCAGTGTTTTTGGCTCAGGGTGCCTAGTGAGCAGCTTGTGCCCAAGGCAAAAGCTACACTTGCTTGCTACGCTTGCTTGCATCATGGTAAAACGCAATGGTGGTAGGGAGCCGCAGGCCAGGAAAACAAAGAAGCCTAAGCACAGAAGAGGAGGGCGTGAAGCCCTTTCGGTGGAGCAAGTGATTCACTTCTACTTTGTCCTCTTGCGTGACGTCAATTGTGCATTCGCGGCGGTGATGTTCGTTTTGGGCCTGATGCTAGGCGAGCGAGCCGAACTCTTGTGCAATATGCAAGACACCTGGTTCGCTGGCCTTGATGCCTCCCACGGCCAGCTTCCCACGTGCACCATTCGACCAGTCAATAAAAAAACCAAGTGTCGAGAAGTGCCTTTGGAATCTGGCTTCGGACAAGTCATGTGGCAGTGGGTGACAGGCGGCAAGCCACTGCTAGGCGGACAAGAGGGAGAAGATCGCACACAGTGGCCGCATCAAGGACAAATGCTGTTTCAACCCAGGCGGACAAGACGAATCGGCAAGCAACAACCGGGACGCTATTTGTTTCCGGGCAGGACCCTAGGAGGGAACAATGTGCGTGCATGGAGAACGCCTATTACCACGCGTGGTTTCTTTGGCAAATTTCAAGCAGCACAAGCGGTCATCGTGAAACAGCTCCAACAGGCACGCCAAGAAGGCCAGAGGCATCCGTTTGATGGCATTGACATCAAAAAGTGACCACCCATTCTATGAAAAAATCTGGTGTTACTCTCTTAAAGACTTCAGGCTGTTCTACAGCCATAGTCTCAGCCATCACTGGAACATCAGCCCGAGTCCTAGACACCATCTACGACATCCCTACCCAAAACCGCCAAAGGCAAGCAATGTCCGTTTTTCAGCCGGTGGTGGAGGGCATGCTGCCCGCTCGTGGTGGGGGTGGACGGCCATCGGAATCTTCAGGCTCTCGAGCATATTGCGTTCAGTGCGGTCAAGAGATAGAGAGGGATTGGCGATTTTGCAGAAACTGCGGGGAGAAACAACCCTGCGGCTGAATGCTTCTCACGTCTCCAATGACGAGGTGAGCTCAAGATTTTTCCAAGACAGGGCACAGCCCACAGCAGGGGATTTTTGACCCGGCGAGAGAAAGGTTTCTACTACACACTAGCTTAAACAACCCCTGCGCAGCAACCCTACCTCAATTGAATCTGTTTACGTTCCAATTCCTTGCCTTGAACCTGGAAGCGTAGTCTCGGAGACTCCTAGACCTTGAGCCCGTCCGCTTCCCCAAAAGCACCAGCCCCAGTACAGATTCTCTTACCCAACGCGGCAGTCGAGGGTTTAGGGAACCAAAGCTGCAGTCCCAGTAGCATGTAGGCCGCGGTCCACCAGCGCTGTTCGCCGCCCGCGGCCAGGACTGCATAGCGAGGGTGCAGAGGGACTGCATAGCGAGGGTGCAGAAAGGTCTTTCGACCCTAGGGCTCCATGGATCCTCCAAGTAGAAGGTTCGCTTTGATATTGTCGAGGTATGCATGTGTGTAGATGACGTGTAAATGCCCAATTCAGGGAGGCGAGGTTTGATCAAAAATGCTCCCGGACACACGCCACGGGCGGGAGCGTTTTTGATCTAACATAAATTGTCGCTTTGATAATCGAGGTCTGTCTCCGAAAGACTTGAGAATCAAAAATGCTCCCGGACACACGCCACGGGCGGGAGCGTTTTTGATCTAACATAAATTGTCGCTTTGATAATCGAGGTCTGTCTCCGAAAGACTTGAGAAGGTTGTCGCTTTGATAATTGTATGGGATCCAGAGTGGATGCGTTTCTCAGAGAGAGGACAGAGACAGAGAGGAGAGGGGAGAGAGGACAGGGAGAGACTCCCTGAAGCCCAAACCGTGCCTGGAAACCTACAGCTCAACCTCTTTTGCAAGTAAGTGCAGGTAACCCTAAACCCTAAGCCTAAACCCCTAAACCCTAAATCGAAGCCTTGGGTGGCGTCTTGGGTGGCAATTCGCTCTGATTTTTAGGGTTTAGGGGTTTAGGGAATTAGACACCAGACATATGAGGAATGCAGCGCCTATGCAGGCTGCCAGTGGCCTGGCCGACAAAGGGGCATACGAGCAGACAAGCAGGCTGGCAAGTGAGTTTGCATATTGTCGTCCTGGAGTGCGGCGATCTTTTTCCCCGAATGAATGGCCTGCTGCTTCGATGATAAGATGTGTTCCGGAGAGATGAGCGATCGAGGCTTTACTTTACTGATGGATCCTGATCCTGATATCTTCTCCGGAGCAAAGACCTACAGCCTGGTCTTGGTCTTGGAATACACGGCGCCGGGCATCTGTCCACATTCAGGAATGTGATCCCATACTGGATTCAAACACTTCTTCCGGACCACACCAGAAGCTAGTAAGGCATTAGGAAGCAGTCTGCACAAAACCGAAATGGACATACCGTCTCCAAAGCTTGTTCCTAAGCAGCGGTCACTGGCATGCAGCTGCATAAACTGGACAATTGATTTGGGCCAGCCTTGGAGGGCACCGATCTCGAAGATGTTCATGAAACGAGCATGCTTCATTAAGTAGTGTCCATGCGACCCACTGCGTGCTTTGGTCAGGCAAGGGGAAACGTCGTACATGAAATTCAATTTGTCCCGGCCGCTGTGAGCATCGAGCACGATGTTGGAACCCGATGGACCCGACGAGATCGACAGCTGCTGCTGGAGTTTCTCGATGTTCTTTGCAGCGACCTTGCTGACCTTGGTGTGCTGCTCCTCTCCAGGTAATTCGCTGGCAACGTCATGGGCTCCGGGAACTTGAACTTCGGACCCCCTGCCGACGTTAACGTGGCAATTATATACACCCGGGGCCGGTTTTGAGGAAGGCCATGCGCTTGGCAATTCAAAACTTCGGCTTTCACGCGGTAGCCTGCATTCTTGAGGGCTGTAGTGATGCCATCGAGGATCTTCCGATGCTTGCCCGTGGTAAGGCCCTGAACGTTCTCGATGACCGATAAGGCAGGTCGCTTGCACAAGATGTACTCGACGCAAGAGAGCAGAACTCGCCCCCTGGCATCTGAGAGGCCAGCTCCTTTCCCTGCACAGGAAAACGATGGGCATGGGGGTCCGGCGCAGTAGATGTCGCATGATGGCACTTTCTCCACGTCCCTCTCGGCCATGTCCTCGTAGATGATCCTGGGCTGGGCTAACCCGCAAACTCCCTTTTAGATCCTGGGCGCAAAACTCCTTCCTAGATCCTGGGCTAACTATAGTAGTCCAGGTCTCTCCGGCTTGTCATCATAGCGTTCATGCAAGGCCAGAAGTGCTTTGCGTTTCTCAGGGTTGATCTCCGAAACGAAAACTGTCCTGAGTTTCAAGCGATCCCCGATGATCATCTTCAGTGCAAGGAACTCACTGCCCACGCCGGCGCAATCAGACCCCAAGCGGAGGCTCCCTCCTTTTGCACGGCTCGACTCCGGCCTGTCCTTCAACGACTGCTGAATCAGGTCCTTCAGCAAGATGTCATCATCATCAGTCTTGACGGACTTGGCGCCGTCTTTCTTCAAGCAGCGCTTCTTCACTTTGCCATCAGAGGACTGGCCGCCGGTCACCTTCTTCAAGCAGTGCTTCTTCTTTTTACCATCAGAGGACTGGCCGCCGGTCACTTTGCCGCGGGCCGCCTTGCTGGTCTTCACAGGCTCATAATCCAGATCCATGTGGCCCGGTCTGTTTGCTCACTTTCCTGGACTAAGCCGGTCGATGGCTGGCAATGACAACTCATCACGGGTCACAGGTACATCTGCCTAAATGCGACACACGACGACACGACAAGGACGGGCCCGCATGCATTTTGCAGACACGGTGTGCGATCTAGCTTCCAGCTCATCGGCTGGGATGCAGTACGGCAAAATGCAGGCCAAAATGGCTTGCGTGACTGCTCCTGACAAGCCTGCTCGTTCCCATATTACTTTATTGTGTAAGATATTTTACACCACACAAAGTCAGCACGCAAAGCTCATCAGTGATGGGCGACGCGTGAAGCCGGATGGACGACACGTGAAGCTGCACGGCCTGTGCTAGGTTGTCCGATCACTTGGTTTTCTTGGCCTTGCGGGGCTTCTCTGAAGACTCGCTGGACGATGACGATGATGATGATGATGGCAGGAGCTTGCGCTTGCCCCCCTTCTTCTTCTTCTTGTCGTTCTTGTCATCTTCCTTCTTCGTCTTCTTGGGCGCTGGATCTGGCTTCTCATTCTTTGGCGCCGTCGTCTTGGACTTGCCTGCGATCTCAGCCCACTCTGCCGAGTAGAAGCTGCTGCCTTCAGTCGCCATTTGTGTCTTCAAATGGTTCACCATCTCGGTCTTCAATTGAAGGGAGTGGGCTTCAGTCATGCATATTCCCAGGTAAGGAATGCGTCTGTCCAAAGCGGCACGGCAAAGTTCACCCTGTCCTGGAGACAGATCAAGGACTCCGATGACGTTGTTGGCTTTCAAGAAGTTCTCGTAGAGCAACCGAGGAAGGAAGTTGAAAAACACCGGCTCCATCTGCTGCGCGGCGCGCGCCACATCCTCCGGGCCGTCATCGTCGTCCATGGCACTGGCATCGGATCCGAAAATGTGATTCCCGTACACCACCTTCTTGTTCTCCACGGTAGACATCCATGTGTCTGGAGGCTTAGACAGACCCCCGATGAACCCGATGATCGTTCCCCGGTTGGTTCCTGGGAAGTTATCGAACTTCCTTTCCGGGACCATCTTCGCCAGAGGATCCTGCGACAAGATGTGCCAGCGCATGACTTGCGCAATGCTGCCGCGGTTCTTTGCTCTTTTCTCCTTGACAGAGTCCTGGGCCAAAGCGAGGACGATCTCCGCATGCTCGATGTAATGGCTCAGGCCAGCACGCTTGGAGTGCTGCTTGAAAGGTGCCAACATCGTAGAAGGACACCGCCCAGCATCACAGACAACAAGGGCATCACCACTAATAGGAACATCCGGCTCAGCAGCAGAGCCAACGGGGCGAGCTCCTCGCCCGCGCAGGGCCCCATAGACCAGCTTGTTGATGATGTCCGGAGGGATTGATGGCGCACGATAGCCAGGCCGTTTCGCGGACTCCCCCAAAAGGTCCGCATCGATGTGAAGCATGACCATGTTTTTGCCAACTGCCCCCTCGATGGAAGACTTGCTCAGCGGTGACTCAACGATGGCCTTCTCGATGCCTGCTTGGGTGTCCGGCTCAGCGATGAGCTTGATGTAGACGTTCAGTTGCTGGGCCGCGGTGGCGACCCAATGCTCTGGGGACCCTCGTTGGTAATTCGAGGGGACAGGTGCCTTCTTGCCACTTGCCAGCTGGCTCTCTTCAGTCTCCTCGGCGGCAGCCTTCGTCTCCTCGCCAACCAATGCCCGTTCAGCTTGCACTTCATTCTCCCGTTGCTCCACGCACGCCTTCAATCTGACTGCGAATGTTTCCAGCTCCACAAGTTCGAGGGGCGATACACGCTGGCCTTTCTTAACACACGTCACGAGGGCGCTGTTGAGGGCCGTCCCGTACAAGACGTCCTCCCGCGCGAGAGTAGTAAAGTCAAGGAAAAAGGCCTACACCATTAGTATAGGTCGGTTCTAGCTGCCCTTGCCTCCAGCAGCTTCATCAGCAAAAGCGATGATTTCGCAAACTGTGCTTGCCAGGTGTTGTCAGGAAGGGCATCCGCTGCCATGGGCGTGACGAACTTTCGATAGTCCTGCATGAGAATTATGGTTATGAAATACCAGGACCATGGAATGAACACAGCTGGGAGAGAGAACACACACAACACACACACAATCCTCGTGGGTGAACATCTTCCGTTTCAGCGATGATAGATCTTCGACCCCGAAGCCACACTTGGGCAAGTGAAATTCCACGAAGTACTCAGCACACGACTTTCTGAATTTCAAGACCTCGACGGCACTGGCAGAAGTTGCTGAGCCTGAGAGCCAAGCCTGGGTAACGCCCTCATTCCTGAGCACAGTCGACCCTTGCTTCAAGAGGTCGAGAATCCCCTGCATCACCCAGATCTTTTGCTCTTTGCTGTCGCACTTTTCGGCCACGATCTTGAGTTTGTCCATGCTGTTGAAACACGAAGCTAAGCCATGCCGCGCCTCCAGCTCGTCCAAAACGCTGTTCACCTCCGGGATATTCAGCATGCGGTCGTAGACTTTCAGGGCGGAAGCAATGAAGCCGTCTGCGATTTCCTGGAATCTAACCCGTGCCGGCTAAACTTCGATTAAAAGAGTACAAGCAAGCACACCACAAAGTACAAAGTACTCATTAATGGATGTAAGTGTCCGTGGACGTGGCATTCGGACGGGACTTGTACAGGTCTTGCAATTCCTTGTGTTTCAGCGGTGTGCCGATGGCTGCTTCCTTGCGGTTCTTGAAGCCGACCACTTCATGGCACATCTGCCGCGCCGTGCGCTTCATGCTGTCGTGGGCTTGGGTGATCTGTTGACGGGCCTCGTAGGCAGCCCAGTAAATTGCGTCTTCCCCACTGACAATCTCGAACTGGGCGGGAGTCGATAAGAGGATCGCTTTCCACTGCTGGAGCTCACTATCCTCAGCTCCTTCGTTGATTCGACCTGCCACGAAGAGCATGACAGAGTGCACCATTTCCTCTGGCGAAATCATTTGCCAGCTCCCCTTCATCCGATCGACCTCCGCGTCTGCACCTGCGACGGCGATGACGATCGGGTTCCGGAGGTGGGCTGGCCCTTTCCGGAAGAACTGGTCTGAGAAGGATTTGGTGCGGCTCAAGTTCAGGGGCACGTTGGGTGTGGCACTTAACATCATATCCACCCAGAACATGTTCACAGCGGCTCTGTACACACCCTGGGCCTTCAGGGCGGTGGAGCAGTCAGCAGCATCAAACACAGACTGCACCCCACACTCATGAGCAGCCACTGCATCGCTGATCTTCATGGGGGCCTCGCTTATCATGTTTCTGAAGATGGGATGCTTCAGGATTTCATCACGAGCATTGATGACCGCTGTGTAGTAGCCGGTGTTGTGGCAGGGAGAAGGAGTCACCACCACCGCCGCGGAAGGATCAGCTGGCGCCGGGGCTGCGGCAGCAGGGGTGGATCTTGGCCCTGCCTTGGCTGCAGCACGCTTAGCCTTCGCCTCCTTGATCTCCTGAGCCATCTGGTTCTTCGCAGTCTCCCGATCTGACTTGGCTTCCTGCTTGGATTTGCCTGCAGCGATAGAGGCTGCTTCTGCCGCTTTTCCATGCTCCTCGCAAGTCTTCTCCTCGGTCTTGTTTAAGCGCCACTTGCTTGCGGTCATGGCTCAATCTACTGGTTCGGGAGTCTTCAGGCCTCCCTGAAAAATCACTGTGAGCGATGACGATGGCTTCCGGAAGTCAACAGTCGCAACCAGCTGCTACATTCAGGCAAACACCACTGAAAAGTCACTGTGAGCGATGACGATGGCTTCCGGAAATCAACAGTGTGGGCAACCAGCTGCCACAGTCAGGCAAACACCACACCCAAGGCAGGAACGCCTGGTTCAAGAAAGTAATCACCCGAGAAAACACACACGCAAAAAGCACACCAAAGCGGCAGCCCCAGTAGACATTCTCTTACCGGCCAAAGACCAAATCACCCCAGACCAAATCGGCAGCCCCACGAATAAACGACGGCAGCTTCGCCTCGGAGCCGAGCTCGAGGCCCAGCGCAGCTGGGCGAATGACCTGAGGGAGCCCGGGCTTTGAGGGTCACGTCTGGTTGCTGTGGTTGTGGCTTGACTGATGGTCCTGACGCTTTGACGATACACACATTCACTCAAGGAGAGCCAACGTCTGGAACCGGAATCTCGGGTAGTACTAGTTTTCCCTGTGTTGACAGCAAAAGGGAAAACCCCCAAGCTCAGCGATGCTCATGATATGGCAGCCACTATACATCAGGCCTCCTCTGCTACTCACCGTGAAGGGGAGGGAGAGATTAGAGCGCAACCGCTGTACGTCAGGCCGCCGAGGGCCAAGCAACCGCTGTACGTCAGGCCACAGGGGCCCAGCAACTGCTGTACGTCAGGCCAGCAGCAGGTGAAGTTAACTTCAGCTCAGGAGGGGTGAACCCCGCTGCGGCGAGAGACCCCCCTCCAAACCACCCCGGGCACTCGCCAGGTGAAGTCAACTTCGGTTGGCGAGAGAGAGGGGGAGGCCAGGCGACTTTGCAGCTTGGACGATGAGCACATCCAGACATCGCTGGCGAGGATGGCCTGTTGGACTTGCCCTGGAGGTGCTGAAAACTGAGTTCCCGGACTACGATGTCTTCCATGCCATGGGTCTCTTCTCGGTTTCAGGTCTCCGTCAGTCCCATCTTCCGTCGTCGCAGTTGCAGGACACAACTCAAGACATGGCCAGGCGACTAGCTCAAGTCTTCAATGTGAACCCCGTCGGCTTGATGGAGCAGCTTTCCAGGCTGCGGCCTTTGGCAGTGAACATGGTGAACAATGGCTGTGATAGCAGCAAGGATGCATGGGCGCAGGTTATGAAGAAAACACAACATCGCAAGTCCTTGCGTGCATCCTACCCAGCAAGCGACGTGCTTCCCGTACTGCTTCGTTACTTGGCATGCAGGCATCGACGAGCGGTCTGGAACAGACCTTCAGCCGGCAGGACCGCGCCCAGACTGCGAAGTCTCCGGCTTCGGTGGAACATGAGGTCCGGGCCATCAGGCTCGCCACTTTGAGCATCAGCCCTGAAGCTGAGAAGACTCTATGCCAAGAGGCTCAGAAGCTCTATTCGGAATGCTCTCCAGGGTCGGCTTGCCGGCAGAGAGGCGCAGCCCGTGTCGACAAGGACATCCGCCGTGGCATCCGTGCCAACGCTGAGTCTCAAGCCGCTTGGCTCAAGAAGCGACGAACGGATGTCCAGGAGGGCGTGGATCGTGATCGGCAATCAGCAGATCTGGCTTTTCCTTCATCTATGGAGCTCGAGACTTGGAATGAGGGCCATGAAGAAGCTCTGCAAAAGCAAAAGACTAAGCAGGCGGAGCGCCTCCTGGAAGCCTACGAGGACAATCTCTTGCTGGACCGCGAGATCACAAACGAGCTGAAGAAAAACGCTGCGAGTCACAAGGCCAAGGTGGCCAAGCTGGATGCCACGTTGAAGAAGAAGCGACAGAAGAATGAAAAAGCTGCTTCCAAAAATCATTTGCAGCTGTGCTTGGCCGAGTTCCATGGCACTGTTTGGCGGTTGGCGGAAGATGTATTCCATGACGTGAGCGCAATCTTGATGGCGAACAATATCAGCCTTCAGAATTCTGACGAGTGTTGGAGCTCAGCAGATGTTCTCGTGGTGAGAGATGCTCTTGAACCAGCAGAGCTTCTGGCGTGGGTGGCCGCTTTCTTTGGGAAGACTGTTGTGGAAGTCAGCGCGATCACGGACAACAGTGGGTTGATTCTCAAGTTCAAGCCAGTCTGCAGGCGCAAGCTAGCCATTTGGATGAGTCCTCAGTTCAGGCAAGAGGAGCCCATCATATCATCGTTCATCCGACAAGCTGTGAATCACAGAGGATCGAAATGGGAGGTCCAGCAGCGTCGAGAGGCGGATGCCTTGCTGGGGACGTCGGCAGAAGCAGCTCAAGGTCGAGACGATCGGTGGCGTGACAAAGTCAGCATGTTAAAGGAGATCTCCAAGTTGGACTATGACAAGTCCGGCAAATGCGGTCGTCATCGTTGATCGATCGGGGGTTGTCCAGTTTGTTTCTCGCAGCAGAAGTTCGACCTGCAGCGGTTAGCTTACTGAAGTCTTGCAATGTCGGGGGGGGGGGAAGCATCCTGACATCCTGGTGGAAAAAATGCTGACTCACACTGACACTCATCATTGTGGATTCCATTGCTTAATCCAGTGTTTTTCTTTGTTGTGCCGGCCCAGGTTCTGGTGGGCTCATGGGCTTGATCTCCGGCGGCTGGTGCTGGCAGGTCGCATGTTTCGATGTTTCAGAAAACTGCGAGAATGACTTCAGGTTGAGACGGGGCTGCCCTAGTTAGAGATCAAGTATCATCCCCATACCATGCGGGGTGTCTTTTGAAGTGTGCAAAGGTACAGATGTTACGTCCATTCGTGGCTTTAGAATGCACTCTCCCTCGCCCCCCTCAATCATATATAAGTAATGCATCAACAACCACTTAGCCTGTTGCGACAATTCTTCTTTCTTATTGTCAGTTGGTTCTTGGCTAGGGCGTGGGTGAACCGTGCTGCGGTGAGAGACCCCCCCCAGTACGAAAGCCCGCATGAAGGTCGCAGGCCTCAGGGCGCTGCCCTGAGGTTTAGGATGCGAAGACATGCGAAGAAACGGCAGCACTGCTGCCTGCTTGTCGGCAGCCCTGCTGCACAAAACTGGGAGCCCCGCAACAGCAACAGCCGGACTCCGCACCAAGATCTTGACGGGCAACAGGCACCGCCATCACTGCTTACTCAACAGTGAGCAGCATGCATGAAGATCTCAAGCCATGAGGAACGCGACCTGCACTAAACCTGGCCGTTTGTTTACTAAACGGGAAGAAACGTGCATGAGGACCGCACGCTCCGCCTGCACTCCTCGGGGCGCTGCCCTGAGGTTTGACATGCGAGGCATCAGCGGCACTGCTGCATGCTTGGCATTAGCGCGGCCGTACGTTTACGCTGCATTGTAAGACAGCAGCGGCCGCGGTGCTCGACGCGAACGCCGCACCAAAACAAACGATGCCACACTATTTGCGAAACGAAAAGAAACCGCATCACATGCCTGTTTGCTGCTGGCCTGCAGCACGGCTGCATACGCAGGGTTGGCGCGAACTTCGCACCAAAATCCCGACCGGGACGAAGCATTGCCATAACTGTTTACCAAACCGAACGCCGCGCCAAAACCACGGCCGGCAACATCGTTGTCACACTGCTCACGAAACAGCAGGGAGCCGCGTGAACATTCCAAGCCTCGAGGCACTGCCCTGAGGTTTAGGATAGAGGCAACGGCAGCACTGCGACCTGTTTGCCTGTAGCACTGCTGCATCCACAGGGCTTTGCGCGAACTTCGCACCAAAATCCCAGCCGGGACGAAGCGTCGCAGCATTGTGGACCAAGCAGTAGGAAGCATGCAAAAACACTTCCTGCTTGGGCAAGGCACTGCCCTGAGGATAAGTATGCCAGACAGTAGCAGCGCTGCTGCATGCTGACACGTAACACGGCTACAAACCACGCTACACTCGAAAGTCTGAAGGCCTCAAACCTCAGGGCACTTTTTTCAGGCGTATGAGGCGAGGCATTAGCAGCACCGCTGCATGCGTGCCTGCAGCACTGCGCTGCGAACAACATGCTTTGGGGGCCGACCCTGCAACAGCAACGGTCGCAGGGCCTAGCGCGGAGTTAACAACAAGACCCTGACGGACACCAAGCATTGACAAACTGTTCACTAAACAGCAAGAAGCAGGCGAAGGAGTGCAAGCCTCGGTGCACTGCCCTGAGGTGTAGGATGCGCAGGCAAAACTGCCGCCTGCCTGCCTGTAGCACTGCTACACGCACGGCTGCCTTGGGGGAAAACAAGAGCAGAGGTTCAGAGCTTATTGCGGACTCCGCACGAAAGCCTGGACCCACACCAAGCATTGGCAGACAGTGCACTAACCACCAAGAATCAAGCGGAGGGCCCTACTCCTCGAGGCACTGCCCCGGGGTTTAGGAAGTGAGGCATCGCCAGCACTGCTGCCTGCCGAAGCTGCACTGAAGGACCTGCGGGAGCAGTCCGCGCCAAAACTTGACAGCATGGAGCATTCACAACACAGTTTACTGAAAACTAAGAAGCCTGCAGGGCGGCCTCAAGCCTCGGGACACTGCCCCCCAGCTGACATCCAGCATATTTATGACTGCGAAAAGGAGATAACTTATCTCCTAATGTTGACATCCTCACGAACATCCACTTGAGCACACTGGAGGAATCGAGGGACAAGCGGCACTGCCGAGTCCGTGCTGGCGTCACTGACGAAGCGAATGGATACCAGCGACGCCAAGCTTTGGCCAAGGTGCCAATGCAAACTTTGCATTAAGGGCTCGGGCTCTGGGGCCTTGTGCGCGCACTGCACGGCACTGCCTTAAGGCAACACAGAAGCTCGTCATTACTAATGCGAGCCCACAGGAAGAGGCGGGCAGGGGGCCCTTAGCAGCTCGCAGGAGCCCTTAGGGACTCGCAGCGGGTCCTCACACCAAGAGGCACACCATTTACGAGCACTTTAGGCTTGGAACTACCTGCCTGCACTGTGAGTCAGACACGGCGGAAAACAGACCCCACCGAGGCCTCCCAGAGCTCAGTCAACGGCGAAATCGGAGTGATCGTCACTGACGTCCTCCGCAACGACGCGGGTGGCACTGCTCACAACCCACAAGAGATAACTTACCTCTTGATTGCATGCCTCTCGCAAGGCCTGCTCGAGGATATCTGGCAGACTGCGCTGCGAACAAAAAGCAAAGCGACACGGCACTGCCGAAGACGCCTCGGTGCATGCCGCTGGCCAAAGGGTATACTAACCCCAGTACTGCAAGGCTACAGTGCCAGTATGGACTCCGGTTGCACGTGCGCCCTGCGTTGTCCATGGCTCTGCCGGACAGTGATGCTAGGAGGTGGCATTGCACCGGGACCGACGACGTACGTGGAGGCTGCAGCAGCCGCTGGCCCTGCGCTTTCCCACTGGCAGGCCGAGGCCGCGTTTTCCTGTGTTTAATCCCTTCGCTAGGGTGCGAACAAAACTACCCGTGCCTTTGTCTTTACCATCCTTGTGGTAGGCGTAGCCACTGGCCTCCATTTTCTCTCTGACGCGCCCTTCTCAGGCAAGGACGTGCTTAAGCCTCCACCGTAACTTAACGTGTCATCTTCCTCCCCACTGAGGGGGGCCAAGCACACGCGGCGCTGCTTGTGCGTGCTTGCAGCACTGCCACAGGCACAAGCCAGCAGGTGCACCCAACAAGAGAAGAATGCATGAGAACGTGGAGCCTTGGGGTGCAGACGTGAGGCTTAGGATGCCAAGCATCGGCCGCACTGCTGCCTGCCTGCTCGCAGCACTTTCTCGTGCAGAACCTGCACGCAAAACCTCCAACGGCGCTGCCGCAGAAGTGGCAATGGGCAGCCACAATACTGTTGACACAATTGTCTAACCAGCAGATGCCTGCAAGGCGGAAACCTCGGGGCACTGCCCTGGGGTTTAGGATGCGAGGCGTATGCAGTGCTGCTGCCTGCGTGCCTGCAGTACTAAACGGATGAACCTGAAGCCTCGGGGCACTGACCTGAGGCTAAGGACGCAAGGTAGCGGCATCACTGCTGCCTGCCCCCTCGCAGCACTGCTGCATGCATAAGCTGCACTGCAGAACCACCAACAGGGCGGCTGCAGGGACACTGTTACAAAGCAGCAGATGCCGGGAAGGGGACCTCGGGGCACTGCCCTGGGCGTTGGGATGCGAGGCGTAGGCAGTGCCGCTGCCTGCCGGCCTGCAGCACCAAAAACATGAACCTGGAGCCTCGGGACACTGACCCGAGGTTTATAATGCTATGCATCGGCAGCACTGCTGCCTGGTTACTTGCAGCACTGCTGCATGCAGAAGCTGAACTGCAGAACCACCAATAGCACTGCTGCAAGGACGCTGTTTACAGCAGGGCACTGCCCTGGGGTTTAGGATGCGAGGCGTAGGCGGCGCTGCTGCCTTCCCGCCTGCAGCATGAAAACAAGAACCTGTAGCCTCGGGGCACTGACCTAAGGCGTATGATACTGGGCATCGGCAACACTGCTGCCTGGTTACGTGCAGCACTGCTGCTTGCAGAAGCCGATCTGCAGAACCACCAACAGTGCCGCTGCAGAGCGACACCGAGCAGCACAACACCGCTTACTAAACAGTGAGCAAACTGCATGAGGGTCTCAAGCTTCGGGGCCCTGCCCTGAAGTTTCGGATGAAAGGCATGGGCAGCACTGCTGCCTGCCTGCCAGTAGCGCTGCTACGGCACCGTCCATGGCACTACAGAAACTACCGGCCCGACAGAGGGGCTACTAGCCCAGCACTAATCTACCAGAAAATCACTTTGGATCAAAGGGGCTATTAGCCCACCGCTACTCTACCAGAAAATCACTTTGGATCAAAGGGGCTACTAGCCCGCCGCTACTCTACTAGAAGATCACTTTAGATCAAAGGGACTACTAGCCCACCAGGGTGGGACAAAAAACTAGGATCACTGATCCTATCTTCAAGCCGAAAGCTGCACGGCAAAGTTAGTCTAGTGTTCACAACACGCAAGTGAAAACACTGTTTTCCTTTTTCGACAAACTTTGTCTACACTTTCGGCGGGAAATAAAACTCATTCACGCACGCATGATGGAAGCTCCCTGTGTTGACAGCAAAAGGGAAAACCCCCAAGCTCAGCGATGCTCATGATATGGCAGCCACTATACATCAGGCCTCCTCTGCTACTCACCGTGAAGGGGAGGGAGAGATTAGAGCGCAACCGCTGTACGTCAGGCCGCCGAGGGCCAAGCAACCGCTGTACGTCAGGCCACAGGGGCCCAGCAACTGCTGTACGTCAGGCCAGCAGCAGGTGAAGTTAACTTCAGCTCAGGAGGGGTGAACCCCGCTGCGGCGAGAGACCCCCCTCCAAACCACCCCGGGCACTCGCCAGGTGAAGTCAACTTCGGTTGGCGAGAGAGAGGGGGAGGCCAGGCGACTTTGCAGCTTGGACGATGAGCACATCCAGACATCGCTGGCGAGGATGGCCTGTTGGACTTGCCCTGGAGGTGCTGAAAACTGAGTTCCCGGACTACGATGTCTTCCATGCCATGGGTCTCTTCTCGGTTTCAGGTCTCCGTCAGTCCCATCTTCCGTCGTCGCAGTTGCAGGACACAACTCAAGACATGGCCAGGCGACTAGCTCAAGTCTTCAATGTGAACCCCGTCGGCTTGATGGAGCAGCTTTCCAGGCTGCGGCCTTTGGCAGTGAACATGGTGAACAATGGCTGTGATAGCAGCAAGGATGCATGGGCGCAGGTTATGAAGAAAACACAACATCGCAAGTCCTTGCGTGCATCCTACCCAGCAAGCGACGTGCTTCCCGTACTGCTTCGTTACTTGGCATGCAGGCATCGACGAGCGGTCTGGAACAGACCTTCAGCCGGCAGGACCGCGCCCAGACTGCGAAGTCTCCGGCTTCGGTGGAACATGAGGTCCGGGCCATCAGGCTCGCCACTTTGAGCATCAGCCCTGAAGCTGAGAAGACTCTATGCCAAGAGGCTCAGAAGCTCTATTCGGAATGCTCTCCAGGGTCGGCTTGCCGGCAGAGAGGCGCAGCCCGTGTCGACAAGGACATCCGCCGTGGCATCCGTGCCAACGCTGAGTCTCAAGCCGCTTGGCTCAAGAAGCGACGAACGGATGTCCAGGAGGGCGTGGATCGTGATCGGCAATCAGCAGATCTGGCTTTTCCTTCATCTATGGAGCTCGAGACTTGGAATGAGGGCCATGAAGAAGCTCTGCAAAAGCAAAAGACTAAGCAGGCGGAGCGCCTCCTGGAAGCCTACGAGGACAATCTCTTGCTGGACCGCGAGATCACAAACGAGCTGAAGAAAAACGCTGCGAGTCACAAGGCCAAGGTGGCCAAGCTGGATGCCACGTTGAAGAAGAAGCGACAGAAGAATGAAAAAGCTGCTTCCAAAAATCATTTGCAGCTGTGCTTGGCCGAGTTCCATGGCACTGTTTGGCGGTTGGCGGAAGATGTATTCCATGACGTGAGCGCAATCTTGATGGCGAACAATATCAGCCTTCAGAATTCTGACGAGTGTTGGAGCTCAGCAGATGTTCTCGTGGTGAGAGATGCTCTTGAACCAGCAGAGCTTCTGGCGTGGGTGGCCGCTTTCTTTGGGAAGACTGTTGTGGAAGTCAGCGCGATCACGGACAACAGTGGGTTGATTCTCAAGTTCAAGCCAGTCTGCAGGCGCAAGCTAGCCATTTGGATGAGTCCTCAGTTCAGGCAAGAGGAGCCCATCATATCATCGTTCATCCGACAAGCTGTGAATCACAGAGGATCGAAATGGGAGGTCCAGCAGCGTCGAGAGGCGGATGCCTTGCTGGGGACGTCGGCAGAAGCAGCTCAAGGTCGAGACGATCGGTGGCGTGACAAAGTCAGCATGTTAAAGGAGATCTCCAAGTTGGACTATGACAAGTCCGGCAAATGCGGTCGTCATCGTTGATCGATCGGGGGTTGTCCAGTTTGTTTCTCGCAGCAGAAGTTCGACCTGCAGCGGTTAGCTTACTGAAGTCTTGCAATGTCGGGGGGGGGGGAAGCATCCTGACATCCTGGTGGAAAAAATGCTGACTCACACTGACACTCATCATTGTGGATTCCATTGCTTAATCCAGTGTTTTTCTTTGTTGTGCCGGCCCAGGTTCTGGTGGGCTCATGGGCTTGATCTCCGGCGGCTGGTGCTGGCAGGTCGCATGTTTCGATGTTTCAGAAAACTGCGAGAATGACTTCAGGTTGAGACGGGGCTGCCCTAGTTAGAGATCAAGTATCATCCCCATACCATGCGGGGTGTCTTTTGAAGTGTGCAAAGGTACAGATGTTACGTCCATTCGTGGCTTTAGAATGCACTCTCCCTCGCCCCCCTCAATCATATATAAGTAATGCATCAACAACCACTTAGCCTGTTGCGACAATTCTTCTTTCTTATTGTCAGTTGGTTCTTGGCTAGGGCGTGGGTGAACCGTGCTGCGGTGAGAGACCCCCCCCAAACCCAGGGGGGCACTCGCCAGGCGAAGTCAACTTCAGTTGGCCACAAGCCTTGCAGTTCCCACGGATGAAGAGCCACACCACACGCTCAGCAAAGTTGTGCACATGATGTCCATTTCCGCCAAATCTATGTTTCCTTGTCGACCAGCCTGATGAGAAACAAACCTTCATCCATGCATCACACAGCATCTCAGATGATAAGCCGGGGGTGATGTTCGATAGCCAGTCCGCGGCGACCGTTCCGGCAGCGAACCGGATCGTGTCTGGCCACCCGCTGCGTCACGGCTACAAAGGACGGAAGGTACAGAAGAAGCCTGGCCAACGGAGTGCTGTGCGACTCGAAGCGATGTTTTGCAGCTTTTATGTTTCTGGCTCTAGCGCCAAAGCCTTCAATGCACTCCTGAAGCTTGATTTCAGCAGCTAGCCACTCTTGAAAGTCAAAGGAATTGTGCACCACTTGCACCATGGCATTCTTGGACAAGACCATGTCTTCCATAAGATGATTGAGGACTGTGTCTGCTGAGTAGGGTTTCTGGAGCACACGTCTAAAGCCATGGGCGTGGACCGCCGAAAGGACCGCCTCTTCCAAACTTGGCCAAACCCCAGGAATGGTCTCTACTGCCTGTTCCTGTGTTCTTCAGGTTAACTGCTGTCACACCCATGTGGAGCATGACTCGCAACACCACCCAACGGTTTCGCCTCAGATGGTACGCCTTTTTTGCAGGAGTGCAGCACACCAGTTCTCGCTGGTTTGCATCAGCCGGTGTGGACTGATAGCACAACTCACAAAACTGCCGCTGCTAGTTTGCCTCCTCGCTGGGTGGCACCGCTTCTACTTGGTTTCAAAAAGGATTCACATCAACCAAAAATAGTCGTGGCTCTTGTGATGCAAAATTTTCTATGGTATCGGAAAAAGGCTCGATTGGGAAACCCAACCAGGAAGACACCACCAACCTAGCGAGACTCCCTGTCCCAAGTCTCATCCTCCTCTTTTTCCACGTCTTTGCGGGAGAGTGGGTTGCTGCGAACCCTAGACTTCATGGGTCCAACTCTCTTGCCGCCTATGGGGAATCTGAGTTGGTGTTGAAGGAGTTTGAGTTATAGATCCGGTCATCCATGACAATCACATATTTGGATCAAGTATAAATACTTCGATCAAATATCTCCACTTCAAATCATATAAAGAATTGTAGACCACATATGTTGGTCCGATTCGAATATATACAGGTGATAAGAAATTGATGCAGAACGCTCACACTTGTTTTCACGGCACAGCCGAGAGTCATGGGGAGTTTTCGCGGAAAACACAAGTGCACAACGTGTGCACCGGGCACTAAGAGTGCCCCTCCACCTAAGTCGAGGCACCGGGCGTGCCAACAGATCCAATCGCACTTTCGAGTGCAACGTGACCATCAATCTCCCCCCAGGGCGGGTTGGGTGGGATCAAAATTTTCTGGCTCGATCTCGAGACAGCTTCGATGGTTGCAGATTCAATCATGACCAAGTGTCCGTTTAACCGCATGGTTTAAAAATCGTTGCTCGACAGGAGAAACGAAATCATGCAACAGCGATTGAAAGTTGTTAAAAGTCAGGATTGTAAGCACTACTAAGAGTAGCGCAAAGATTGTCATGGCCCAAAATTTTGTTGCTTACAAAATTTCGTTTGACCTAGGATCTATAAAACATCGACACGCACGCGTGAAGTGATGCTTATAGATCCGGTCATCCATGACAATCACATATTTGGATCAAGTATAAATACTTCGATCAAATATCTCCACTTCAAAACATATAAAGAATTGTAGACCACATATGTTGGTCCGATTCGAATATATACAGGTGATAAGAAATTGATGCAGAACGCTCACACTTGTTTTCACGGCACAGCCGAGAGTCATGGGGAGTTTTCGCGGAAAACACAAGTGCACAACGTGTGCACCGGGCACTAAGAGTGCCCCTCCACCTAAGTCGAGGCACCGGGCGTGCCAACAGATCCAATCGCACTTTCGAGTGCAACGTGACCATCAATCTCCCCCTCTCGACTATGCGTTACGTTGCTTCAAGCGCCTCACCAGTGACAAAGCATGCCGGCGTATCACGAGTGAAAGGCCCGAGGAACGACAATTCGTCCCATCTGCCACGCGACGGTGGGTCTGCGATGTTACTCTGGCTCGGGACGCGATGAAACCAGGGCAAGCACGGGCGTGCTTCGTCGGCAGCCTCCAGATGGAGGAGAAGGCTCCTCCAAGATGCATCGATCGAGTTCGAGTTGATACAAGCACTCAACACACCGGAATGGTCAACGAAGAATAAGCACCTTGCGCCATCGATGTAACTCGACCATAAGATCCTGGCGAGCACGACCGCGTAAAGCTCAACTTGCCCTATGATGTGTTTCCTGCCCTCGGCCCATTGCTTGACGAGCTTGCTCGGAACCCTGCAGCCGAAAGCCCTGGCCACCCCTTTGCTGGGGATGAAGATGACACCTCCAACGCCTGTGGTGAAGCCGCCCTCACACGGGTCGCATGCGCCATCTGTGAAGATGAGGACTGGATTCGAAGGCGGGCTCGCAGCAATGGCGCGGGGTCTGCTCGCAAGAAGTCTCGCCCTCAGAACGGCCAAGGCATTCGATTGTGAATCAGTCAGCTGGAAGACACCCCCTTTATCGCCTAAGAGCCTAAGGTCAGCAAGGGCCAGGCGCCCCGTGCGACCGACTAGCTGAGCATCCGCAAAGCGAAGTTTACCAAGAAGGGAAGGCAGTTCCCTCGTGTCCACCTGGCCTTGTTCAAGGATGCGCCCTACTGACCCCTCGAGCATGGCAGCCCGCTCAGGCTTGTTCGATACGAAGATGTGCCCCATGCCAGGATCAGACGTGTCTAGAACAACACCCAAGGTTTCTGCAGTGCACGAGAACGGCTTCTCCTTCTCGGACAAGGAGAAGCCGAACAAGTCCATGAGGGCATGAACAGCATTGTCCGTTCCGCCCGACAAGAAAGAGGGAGTCATCGTCGGGAAGTCGTCGTAGTAGCACGTCACAGCTACCCTCAGATCCCAAAGAACCCTTTGCAAGAATAACGCCACCCTGTTGAACTGCATAACCGAGGCCGAAGCCCCGAAGGGCAGAGTATTGCACACAAAGGCCTTGACAGCGCGGGAGCCGGGCTCCCGGAGCAGGATAATGGATTTTGACCTTTCCCCAGGGTGCAACGCGAGCTGCTTGTACGCAGCATGAAGGTCATATGTCTTGCAGTGAGGACGAACACGGTCGAGGTCCTTCCACGCAGTATGGATAGGCCCCCTGAGTCTCTCACCCGAACTGAGTTCCAGATCAAGAAAGCCCGACTTCTTTGCGGCGCGGAAGACTTGCATGCACAGCCAACAGATTTCATCAAGGGCTTTGAGAGTGACGCGTTCAAAGCACCCGAAGCACGCATTCACCGCAGCTTCCGAGAAGTCATCGATGGCACGCCATTTGCCCTGCCATACTGCAAAACGCCGGCAGGCGTTCCAACCGTCGGGGAACATGCTCCCCAGAGAGTCGACATCGAACGGGCCGTCAAGCCAGCTCTTCCCAGACTTATCGGACTCTTCAAGCGTCATGTTCCAGAGCTCATCGGCATAGTCATGGTCCTTTTGGCCCTTGACCTTTTCAAGAAGAGTCTCCCTCCGAAGCGGGGCGCTCGACCAAAATTCATCAAGGTCCATCGTGGCAGGCTTAACGTCACTAGCAAAGACCCCCGTGCGACCTAAGTACCCTGTTAATTTAAAACCGGCTGCAAGGTCATCGAAGAGAGTGGTGTCAGGCCACGACAATTCTGCGGCAACGCTCTTCATGAGCGCTATACGCTTGTTGCCGAGGACCCTCCTCACACACGGATCCATGGCTGACCTGATTTTCTCTTCTTCGGGCTCAAGCTGTTTGGCAAGGGCACGCCAGTGCTGCAGCTTAAGAAGGCGATGTCTCATCGTGTCGACCGGACCCTTAGTGAGTGTGTCGAACAAGACTCGCAAAAGTTCGTCTGGGAGCGACCTGGCGGAATCAAACGGGTGCACGACTAGCTTTGCTTCGTTCAAGAAAGCCTGCATGGATCGATACACTCCGAACACGTAGAACTTGTTGCCCTCAGGGAGTCGCGAACCTCCCCTCTCCACTGACTCCCGGAGGAGCTTTGAACCTGCAGGGACGCCGTGCCAGGCAGATGACAAGCATTGTTTGGAATTGAGAGTGGGGGCTGCCGCGCTGCCAACAGAAACGGTATAAGCAAATTCGGAAATGATCGGTGGGAACTTGCGCCCTCTTGGCTGCACCTGACCAGCGGCGCGTGCAGCAGAGACCTTTGAAACAGCCAGTCGGTCCGGCGCAATGCCCCGCAAGGTGGCCGACTTGTCCACACATGAGATTATCCGTTCACAAAGAAGCTTAGGATACCCTGTTTCTGCAGCGGTTGCAAAGGTACGACCTTGCTTACCCCATGGGAGATGCGAGGAGCAGCCGGGACAGGGTCCCGAGAGGCAGTGCAGGAAGTCAGAATTAGTGAGAAGGGCCGTGGCCTTCTTGCGTTGCGAGCCGTGCCGGCACGAGTCAAATGTGACAAAGGAGTGCCGTTGGACCATTGCGGCCCACTTCGGGAATTGCCAAAGGTAGCTGTGCAACGGGTTCTCAACGGAGAACGGGATATGAGGCATGAATCGAAGCAGCCAGTCGCAGAAGGACTCCATGTTGTCGTAGATGGAGTTGGCACTCTCAACACGAGCTTGATCTACCTGTGAAAGGCCAGGGAGCCCACGCACATGATGATGCGACCGAAGCGGTTTAGGACCGGGCCCACATTCGCGAGCCCTGCTTGCAGTACCGCATGGAGGGGCCATGTGGATCCAAGCGACATGGTATTCGGAGCAAATGCGCCGCAGGAATGACCACGTGCTGGCGAGGCGGAGATCAAGCTGCAGAGTGTGCACACAGGATCTTTGTTTGTTGTGGTGCCAATCGATTGGCACAACAGTGTAGCCTGCCTCCTTGGCGACATAAGACAGCATAGCCGACCCGCTACAAATCTCTAAGAACAAAGGCTTTGCATGTTGCGAAGGCGACACCTTTGCATCCTGGGATCTCAAGCGTTTACAAGGCGGGTCGGCGGGCGGGGGAAGACTAGAGCCCAAAGGGGGGGGGACCGAAGGGCTAGACCCAGAAGTGGCAGGCTCGGGCGGAGATTGCGCGCCAGAGGACTGCGAAGTCACAGCGGCGGATCCACACGGAAAGCCCAAAGGGAGCAACTCGGAAGGTTGCCCACCTGACAGAGTATAAAGTGTCACGACCCATCGCTCGCCTGTGTAAGGCATCGTCTTATGCCACAAGTTGCAAGAAAAACTAGTGGGGTTGCAAAAAGTGTTCACAACCCTGCCCCGGATCTGCTCGCCTGCGGGACTCGTGGCCTCGGAAGTGCCTGCCGCATCTTCAAGCCAGAGCTGGCCGCCTTGAAAGGTGCCCAGCGAGAAGGTATGGTTCAAAGAACCCCGTTGGTTGCCGGAATCCCTGTGAAAATCCGACAGCGTATTCTGGCCCACACAGATTGCATTCCAGGACGCCTGAGGCACAAGTGCTTTGACGGCTGAGTTCAGCTGCTGGACAAACTCTCGCATCTGCAGCGTGGCGTTTGTAAGGAGATGGGGACAGCTGGCTCTGGGCCCGAAGTTGTAGTACCCCGACTGCTTGGGATCCGCTGAAGAAACAGACTTGCGTTGCAAGACAGAGTTGGGCCAATTGGCGCTCCGAAGCAATTGCAAAAGTGAAGAAAACTTGCTTGAATCCATACTAGCACTCTGCTGACACGGATCAAGAACTGCTAAAGGAGAACTGTTCGGCACAGGCGGAGCCTGCGGCGGTGCAAAACTTTGCCCAGCTAAGCCTGGGCTGTCTCGACTCTGAGTCGAGAACTGCGAGCTGCCGGGCTCGCTCTTCGACTGTCACTCTTGCTTTTGGCTAAGAGCCTCAGCACGCAACGGACAGTCCAGCGCAGGATGCGATTTGCCGCACTTGGGCCATGCGCAGATGTGCAATCCGCGCACGCAGCGACCACGAGTCACAGTTTCCCTGCACGTTTTGAGTCCATACCCAAAACATATGTTTTCACCTGCATTGGTGCAAGATCTGCAGCCCGCAAGAGCGGCAGGAACTTTCCCGCTGCCTTTGGTGCCCTTGGCACCTTTCCCTGTGCCCTTTCGGCCTTTGCCCGGACGATCATACGGGCCCGGCCCGTGCGGCCTCGGCGGCGGTGCCACTTGCTGCGTGACTGAAGCGCCTGCTGCCCGAGGCATCGGCTGAAGCAGATGAAGCACCTCTGGCGACTGCCATGTGTCCTCGAAGATGGCGTCCAATGGACGCCCCCCAGCTTTGAGCTGGATGCCTGAGCGAGTCGCTTCTCCGAGAAGCTGCCAAAGCTTCCTGTCAGCTTGCTGACACTGATCAAGTGTTGGCTGCATGTGCGTCGACGGAGGTGCGTCGAGGCGCGCCGCAAGAAGGCGCTCAACCCACATGTGGTGGCGATGGTAGTCGAGGATGTTCGCCATTTCCATAGCGATGCCGCGCCTTTGAAGCGCGAGCTGCAAGAGCAGCTCCGTGCTAGTATCGGCACGGACCTCAACCTTCGTCTCCGACCTGAGCTTGCCCGTACTGTCCAGCGAGAAGAAAGGCTCTCGCTTTGCCCCTGTTGAGGCCTCTTGTTCTTTGGAAACAAGCTTCTCCCACGGGACAAACTGCAGCTTGTCCTGTTCATACTGGGACACGAAGGAGTCGACGAGGCTGTCGGCAGGCTCAAGACGGTTCTTGATCGAAAGGCCCACAAGGCGTTTGCTCACTACCTCGAATCTCTCAGATCTCTCTGGGACGCTCAATTTTCTTGGGATGGATTCATCCGTCCGCTCCACAAGCATCTTCATTTCCGAAGTGGTAACAGCATATGCTTCATGAAATAACCTTCGGAAGGAGCTCTTCTGCCCTACAGAGGGCGGCGTCCCGAGGGCCGACTCGAACGCTGCAATGAGGTCCTTGTCATCGCCAGAGCCCGGCGTGTAGCTCGTCATGAAAGCGACCTTTGCGAGTGAATCCACACCCACCTTCTCGAGTTTTTCGACATCCGCAGATGCCAAACCGACCTGGGCACATCGTGATTTGAACACTGGCCCCGACTCGGAGAAGGCCGCCATGGTGTGCTGCTTGGACCACTACGAGCTGAAAGCAGCTGCAGGAGGGCTTTGCTCTTTCTCAAGTCACTCATCTTGCAGGACACGACATCCGCCAGATCTCTGCTCTTGCACGATACCACTAATGACAGCACTTGACCGGCTTGCGGAGCGCACGTGCACGACATCACCATTTTGCACAAAATTGCAGACACGAGCCGGATGCAGAGTCATGTGCCCTGCTGCACAATCAAGTATCTCCTGAAGCACTGCTTGCACCTTGGATGCAAAACTGCGGGTCGCGCCTCCAGCTTCCTGTACTGACCCGAAATGGTCCTACCGCAGCCTAGGTTGGCACCGGCTTCGTCGGCAGTGATGTGCACTACCCTGGATTGGCGATGCCGAAAGAAAACACACGAGGGATCAATCTTGTCAAGATCGACCTTCCCATGCCAGTCCAAAGCCTCGGCAACACAAGCTTCGTCCCCTGAGTGGTCGATCTCCTCCTCGTCTTCGGAGCCCTCAGAGTCTGACGACTCGATCTCATCGCCCGGGGGATCGGCATTCGCCGACAGCTCGGAAGCAAGCTGCTGCCCCCTTGGTTTGTCGGGCTTGAAGGCCCCGGACGACACCTCGTCGATCATAGATGACAAAGCCCTGAGCGGAGCCGACTGGGCGTCGGACTCATAGATGAGCTCTGATCCCGCGCCCGAGGCTCGGGACGTATGATACCCCAAGAGGGCCCTCAGTTCTCTGGGCAGACCACGCTTGCTTGCCCAGCTCAGCAAGGTTCTCTTAAGGCTATGTGTTCCTACATTTGCAAGGTAGGGATCGCTCTGAGCGTTCCCCAGCAGGCTCCTGAGCCACGAGCAAGCCTGATCGCACGGAAGCGGGATCATCTTCCACGAACCATTCGAAGAAGGGCAGGGGAGCAACGGGTCGTTCGGCTTGATCGCAAGACCCGCCTCTGACAAAGCCTCAAGCCACGCATCGGCCCATGCACACTTGATGCCCACCTTCCTGGCAGCCATTGGCAAGTACCTGGTCTTGCGTTCCAAAGTGAAACTCGTCTTAGACCTGCCCACACTGCACTCCAAGTAGAGCGGCGAATCAGTCAGCGATGCTACATTTTGCCCGTCACTGTATCTAGCTCTTGCATAAATCAAGAAAAGAAAGAAACCTGCAGCGATACGGTCCTGCAACGACGCAACGACCTGTCTTCAAGCTTGCAACAAATCCTTTCAAGAAGAATGACATCGGAGACCCTCAGAGGATTCCGTTGCTTGAGCTTCCTCTTCTGCATGTAAAGCTTCGACGCAAGGCCGCGGACGCGACCCGAAGTGTAAACCTTGTCACACCCTTCCAGGCCTACCACATGCTGAGCGAAAGCAACGGAAGAAAGAAGGCTCCTGAACGAAGTTGCCGCTGCTGTGGACTTCCTTTCCTCGAAGTATGCGTAGACAGCATGCTCGGTCAAGGGAAAAACAAACGGCATGTTCCCCTTTGCCCAAGAAACAAACCGCAACAAGCAATTCGCCCTGGCATTGATCGTCGAAGTGGCCTTGGCAGCAAGGCAATCCGAAATGCTGTCTGCAAGTGATCCTGAAGAGATCCCCGACGCCTTGCCGGCGTAGAAGTTCCTAGCTACACCGAAGGTCAAGGGCTCGACCATGACCAGGCTGAGCCACTTATTCACGGCAAGATTTCTTTCCTCGTTGATCATAACTTCCCATGAAGTGTGTTTGAATTTGGCCATCTTAGCACACACCTGTTCAAGCCCTTCCGACCTGATGAAGCGAGGGATCGGCACGGCCGGCTGATCAGCAGAAGGGTTCGCTGGGACTACAAGTGGAAGAGGTCCAAGAGGAGGCGGCAAGCGGGGCTTAGGGTCAAAAGCAACGAGTGCATTGTTCCAAGGGGTCTTCCAAATAGACCTCGAGTCTCGCAGGCACGACCTCAGGTGAAGCCCGTAACTCGAAGGGAGGGAGCTGTTCTCATCATCCCCCATTCTACTACAGCCCCGAAGTACCCCAGTGCAGGCACAATCACGCAAAGCGGAAAGCGCGTGAAACGCGCTGCACAAGTTGCTCCAGCCACCCCAAGCGAAGGGAGTGCTGGTATCTTTCGGCCTCAAGGTGCACAAGCTGTTGGCGAACTTCCTGCAGTTCTGATCGCAGCAAGGCAAGCTGCTGTTCAAGGGAATTAACTTGAAGCTGAACTGCGTGCAGGTGGGCCGAAATGGCCTCTTGAGTGTCGCTGGAAGACGACTCGGCCGCAAGGGTCGAGCTCGGATCCATCCGAGCCCCCGGCGGGGCTCTTGCACGGTGCTCTAAGAGCAACACCGAGTTACGGAGGGCTCAGGCCTGTTAGACGGAATTACAAGCCTCTAGAGAGCCCCCAAATCAAAAAAATTTTCTGGCTCGATCTCGAGACAGCTTCGATGGTTGCAGATTCAATCATGACCAAGTGTCCGTTTAACCGCATGGTTTAAAAATCGTTGCTCGACAGGAGAAACGAAATCATGCAACAGCGATTGAAAGTTGTTAAAAGTCAGGATTGTAGAGCACTACTAAGAGTAGCGCAAAGATTGTCATGGCCCAAAATTTTGTTGCTTACAAAATTTCGTTTGACCTAGGATCTATAAAACATCGACACGCACGCGTGAAGTGATGCGCCAAGAGAACAAAGGATCCAAGGTTTCCTAGCGGATCGTCGCCTTCATTCTCGTCCATTTCAAGCTTCCTCTCCTCCTTCCTCGTTAAAACCCAAACGCGCCTTGAGGCACACTTCTAGGTTTAGTAAAAGGAGGTGCAAGCCGACTGACTGACTACGTCACGCAAGGCTACAGCAGTGAAAGCTAACAGCACTTTTACACCTTTCGTCGCAACCAACTGTTCACCACGCGCTTGTCACGCAGTGCAAGTCTTGAGCCAAAGTGAAACGGGGCGCGGACAGAGACTTCAGCACACTCACTTCCGAGGTAAGTCCTAAGGACTCCTAACGGCTTCTCTGCACTGGCAACTCTGCTACACGGCCCAGGTGTTCCCCGGACTTCGTCTAGAAGTCCGCTCTCACAGCAAACAAACTGAAAACACTCTGATGTTCATCATGCTTCAGGAAAGTTCAGGGAAACACCATTCTTCGTGAAAACTCGTGAGGAAAACTCCGGTTGGACACGCTTCTGACACTGATCACTTTCACCGCAAGGTGAGACAGGAAGCGTGAGCGCAGCGACCGACAGACAGACAACTTTTCCCTACTCCTACCGTTCACAGCTACACCTAAGGTTCTCTAAAACTCACAAAGGAGAAAACAGAAAGTGTTCCTGACCTTGGCGAGACACAGGGGCACCATTATAGGATTGAAAATCACGCTCGAGCGGTCGGTCCGCTGGGCTGAGCCCAGTTCGAGTCAGGGTGAGACGAAGTTTGAGGGGAGTCACCTCACCCTGAGTTCTGAGCCTAGTCCACTTTGGGAGCGGCGAGTTTCTCTAGACCAGTCTGACATCAGGTGATGTCCTTAAACAGCACCCTCGGCACAGACTGGTCGAGCTCACCTGCCTACTGCGGTTGCCCTCAGCCTACCTTCCAAGGAGTCTCCTCACTTTGAGCTAGGCGGCAACAAAAGGGTGCAAGGGAGGTATCTCAACCTTGTAGCTTCTCCAAGTCCACGGAGTCTCCTCACGTTGTTGGCTTGTAGAGCAAGGGAGTAACCTCACCTTGAGCAGACTTAGGCTTGTGACCAAATTGGCTCGTTGAATTAAAGCTGGAAAGGGGAGTCTCCTCACCCTGGAGCGGCTTGCAAGCTTAAGGGAGTCACCTCACCTTAAGACCCTTCAAGGGGTTTCTCAACTTGTTGGGGTGTCCAAACTTGGGATCGGAACGAGCTGCCAGGTTGTATCATCCGGATTGCTCCAAGGGTTGCTCAGGGGAATGACCATACCAACCCTGTAGCACAAAGGGAGGTAGGTTAAGAACCCCGAGTCCTTTAAACCCTCGAAGTGGTGCGGGAAGTCCTGGAGGCGGTGGAGGAAGACCTTGGCCAAAACCTCGGGGGAGCCATAGAGATGGATTTGTTCTTCCACCCATGGCCCAAACATTTCATGTTTGGCACATAGGCCAAGGAGCCCCTTGGTTGCCGCCTTTCCAGGCCAGTGCTTGTGCTGCGCTTCTCTCCAGCGGCCCCCGTCGTACAAACAAACCTGCACGTAGTCGGCCGAGCGCAGCTTTGCACTTTGGAGCGCCATGTTCTCGGCGCGTGTGCGCGCCAAGGTCGGGAGGGCCCAACCTACGTTGTGCTCCCCAAGATCCGACAAGCGGATATGGCAGGCACACAAAAACGCGACCACACTTAACAAGGCCAGGAGGTCCGGGACATCAAGTGTCCTAAGCCTTCCCTGCGGAGAAGCCACAGGGATGACCCGCCTGTAGAAAACCGCGCGGGCACGAAGGGAAAAACCCCGGCCATGGCCATTCTCTGACAAGGTGAGCAGGACTTCACCAGAGGACCCCGGTCGAGGAATAAAGGTGAAATCTCTGGATAATCCCTCCAGAAAAATCTGCTCCTGGTCCATGGCCTCGGCGAGCCCCAGCTTGAGGACCTGAACTTCGGCTCCAAGTCCCCATTGAGCCGGGGGCTCCAAGGTGACACGACTGCCACCTACCCCCAATACGGCCCATACCCCTCCAAGCTCGTCCTCCAGCTCCGCCGGAGTGTAAGTAGTCCAAGGCGTGCCAGACGTGCCTTTTTTGTTTAGGGACACGCCTCGGAGGGATCTCGGGATCTTCAGGAGCTGCTTGAAAAGAAGCTCCAAGGGAACCTCCGGATCTGGTTCCCCCCTGATGTCCTCGCCCTTGATTCCGGTGGTGGCCGGTGAGTTTGCCTCGACCTGGGCACTGGGGACAGGATCTGGGTGAGGTGAGGGTTCCTCAACCTGCTCAGGCACCAAAGAAGAGGCTGGCTCAGGTGAGATCTTCTCAACCTGTGTTTTGGAAGCCGGGCATTCTGTATCCGGCTTGGGCGCCGGTGAGGTAACCTCAACCTGGGAGCTTTGGGCAGGCTCCTGCTTAGGAGAGGTCAGTACCTCTTCCTGCTCAGGCTCCAAGGGAGAGGCCGGTTCAGGCGAGACCTTCTCAACCTGGGTTGGATTGAAAATCACGCTCGAGCGGTCGGTCCGCTGGGCTGAGCCCAGTTCGAGTCAGGGTGAGACGAAGTTTGAGGGGAGTCACCTCACCCTGAGTTCTGAGCCTAGTCCACTTTGGGAGCGGCGAGTTTCTCTAGACCAGTCTGACATCAGGTGATGTCCTTAAACAGCACCCTCGGCACAGACTGGTCGAGCTCACCTGCCTACTGCGGTTGCCCTCAGCCTACCTTCCAAGGAGTCTCCTCACTTTGAGCTAGGCGGCAACAAAAGGGTGCAAGGGAGGTATCTCAACCTTGTAGCTTCTCCAAGTCCACGGAGTCTCCTCACGTTGTTGGCTTGTAGAGCAAGGGAGTAACCTCACCTTGAGCAGACTTAGGCTTGTGACCAAATTGGCTCGTTGAATTAAAGCTGGAAAGGGGAGTCTCCTCACCCTGGAGCGGCTTGCAAGCTTAAGGGAGTCACCTCACCTTAAGACCCTTCAAGGGGTTTCTCAACTTGTTGGGGTGTCCAAACTTGGGATCGGAACGAGCTGCCAGGTTGTATCATCCGGATTGCTCCAAGGGTTGCTCAGGGGAATGACCATACCAACCTTGTAGCACAAAGGGAGGTAGGTTAAGAACCCCGAGTCCTTTAAACCCTCGAAGTGGTGCGGGAAGTCCTGGAGGCGGTGGAGGAAGACCTTGGCCAAAACCTCGGGGGAGCCATAGAGATGGATTTGTTCTTCCACCCATGGCCCAAACATTTCATGTTTGGCACATAGGCCAAGGAGCCCCTTGGTTGCCGCCTTTCCAGGCCAGTGCTTGTGCTGCGCTTCTCTCCAGCGGCCCCCGTCGTACAAACAAACCTGCACGTAGTCGGCCGAGCGCAGCTTTGCACTTTGGAGCGCCATGTTCTCGGCGCGTGTGCGCGCCAAGGTCGGGAGGGCCCAACCTACGTTGTGCTCCCCAAGATCCGACAAGCGGATATGGCAGGCACACAAAAACGCGACCACACTTAACAAGGCCAGGAGGTCCGGGACATCAAGTGTCCTAAGCCTTCCCTGCGGAGAAGCCACAGGGATGACCCGCCTGTAGAAAACCGCGCGGGCACGAAGGGAAAAACCCCGGCCATGGCCATTCGGATTGAAAATCATTCCAGTGGCGCTTGTCCACGGCCAGAGGCCTGTCCGAAAAGCTGCACCGAATTAAGTGGTATGCACAAACCTAGTCCTGCACAGACCCTGGGCGAAGTCAAAAAGACCTCAGCCCCAAGAAAGCATTCTGTCAGAGCCCTACTGTACTGGCAAGGAGAGTGACAAGACTCCTCAAGCCCTTTTTGGGAAAGACAAACCCTGACAGGTGCTCAAGCCGAACAGTGAGAGGTGAAAGCTGTACAACCTAACTGACACTACCCTCAGTCCTCCCCCTCATGAACCTGTCGTCGAGAAAAGGTATCGGTCCACTGGCTGCTGTTGCGTATTGGGCTCGTAGATCTTCTCACGGTCCACGATAGTTTTATGGCTCTTCCAAAAACGGCTGCGGCTGTACAAAGAGGCGTCAGCACCTACCAAGCACTCAAAGCCCTAAGAGCTGTGTGAGCAAAAGCTTCGGGGTAGTGCTGGGTGTTCTTCAGAA